ATGGCAGAATGTATGTACGTTTTATCCGTTAATGTTTGTAATATACAAAATCGTCCTGAATAGCGTTTATCATTGCTCTCGGTATTTATCCATACCCATCCATTTACCACAATTGGCGACGAGGATAATTGGATTAAAGATAATTGGAAAGGATAATTGGTTAAAAGAAAAGGTCGATATTTTTTTTCAACATAACCTAATTGGACGCGTGCTCTAATTTTTCTAATACATATTTTTTTGGGTTACGTTCGTTACAACTTGGTGGAAAGATGCCAGCCGGTGCACAAAACGTTGTAGTTACTGACGCAGTCATGGGACACAGACCAATTGTAGGCTCGATGGCAGAATACAATCCAAAGGAAGATTGGGAGTTATATAAAGAGCGTTTGGATCAATTTTTTGAGGCGAACCAGATTACACATGCACCATATTGCACAGCGACACTCATCACGTTAATTGGAACATCAACGTACCGAATTTTGCGAGATTTATGCAGCCCAGTTTTGCCAAAGGAGAAGACATATGCGGAGCTTTGTCAATTGTTAAGACAGCATTTTACTCCAGCGGTAGCAGTATTTAAAGAGAGGATTGAATTCTATAGTGCAAAGCAAGAGGACGGAGAAACTATCAACGATTGGTATTTACGAATTAAAAGCTTAGCTTCAAATTGCAATTTTCATCATTTGGAAGACATCCTCAAAGACAAATTTGTCACGGGAATGTTGCCAGGCAGAATTTTAAGTCGTATTTGTGAAGAAGATCCAACCAAGAAAGATTTGGAAGCACTCAAAGTTTTAGCACAAAGTTTGGAGGTGACGCTGAAAGAGAGAGACAACATTCATTTTGTGGGGCGAAGAAAATCTTCACAGTTGCAGGGGAAATCTGGACAACAGAAACGAGAGGTGCCGTCAAGGAGTTTTCAACCGATTCAAAAATCTTCAAGTAAATTCCAGCCAGGGGCTAATACGAGGTGCTACGCTTGTGGTGAGACAAATCATAATTATAAATTTTGTAAATATAAACGATATAAGTGTACTAACTGTTCAAAGTTTGGGCATATTAGTAAAGTATGTGCAATTAATATAAAAAAGCAACATTTTTTACAAGTTAACGATGAAGAAGTTGTTGAAACAGACGATTTTCCAGAGGCATTGTACAATCTATTTAAATTGAGCGATAAAGACATTGTAGATAGGCAAAGTTTATTTAGTATTCAGCTAGAAATAGAGAACATTAAATTTTGTTTTGAGGTAGATACGGGGGCTAGTGTGTCCATTTTGCCCGAAGGTATTTATAAGGAAAAATTGTCTATGATTCCATTAAGAAGATGTAATACTAGTTTACAATGTTATGATGGGAAAATGATTATTCCATTAGGATCGATAAGGGTAAACCTATGTTATCAAAATAACAATTTTATGACAACTTTGTTAATTGTAAATAGTAATGGTCCACCATTATTGGGTCGAGATCTGATAAGTAGATTAGGAATTAAGTTAGTGGAATCGAAAAACAATAATGTTTATAGTATTAACATGGTAGGGAATTCTAAGAGCTTGAACGCTTTGTTAGATAAATATGAAATCATTTTTCGTGACGAGTTAGGAAAATTTTCCAAAAGTAAAGTTTCTATTACCGTTCCAGTTAATACAAAACCAATATTTTGCAAACCTTATAATATTCCATTTGCATACAAGGCCAAAGTTGAGCAAGAACTTGATAGATTAGAGAAAATTGGCGTAATTACAAAAGTCGAAACAAATAATTGGGGAACACCACTAGTTCCAATTATTAAGAAAGATAATTCAATTCGTTTATGTGCTAATTACAAAATAACTGTAAATAAGTTTTTAGATAACTTCAATTACCCAATACCTTTAATTGAAGATATATTTGTAGCATTACAAGGAGGTGTAGAATTTACCAAATTAGATTTAAGCCAAGCATATAATCAGCTCATAGTGGATGATCAGACAAAATCACTATTAGCGTGGAGTACTCACAAAGGAGTTTATTTAGTTGAACGATTACCATTTGGGGTGAAAACGGCATGTGCAATTTTTCAAAAAGAAATTGATACTATCTTAAAAGGGTTAAAAGGAGTGTTGTTTTATTGATGACATTATTATAACAGGTAGTACTCGCCAAGAACATTTGCAAAATTTAGAAGCAGTTTTAGTTAAGTTAGCCGCTTCTGGTATCAAAGTAAAGCTAGATAAATGTGAATTTTTTAAAAGTAAAATTAATTATCTAGGTTACGTTATTGATCGAGAGGGGTTACACAAAGATAATGCGAAAATTCAAGCAATTAAAAATGTAAATAGGCCTGAAAATGTCACTCAATTAAAAGCTTTTATAGGTATGGTCAATTATTATGGCCGATTCATAAAAAATTTGGCAAATATTCTAAAACCGTTGTATGAACTATTGCGTAAAGATGAAAAGTTTCGTTGGAACAAAAGTTGCGAGGAGGCAATGGAGAAAGCAAAGGATGCTATTAGTTCAGATAATGTACTGATACATTTCAATCCAAAGTTACCACTTCAGTTAGCTTGCGATGCTTCTATGTATGGCATTGGTGCGGTTTTGTCACATATTGACGAACAGGGAATGGAAAGACCAATAGCATTCACTTCAAGAATTTTATCGAAAGCTGAGCAAGGATATTCAATGTTAGATAAGGAAGCTTTAGCTATTTATTATGGAATTAAAAAATTTTCTCAATATTTGCTAGGACATTCATTTACGTTGCTTACCGATCATAAGCCGCTTGTATCATTATTTGGGGAAAATAAAGATATGCCTGCGTTAGCAGCAAGTCGATTACAGAGATGGGGTATATATATTAGTAATTACGATTATAAAATTAAGTACATAAAGGGAACACAAAATTCTAGTGCTGATGCATTATCTAGAATGCCATTAGTAGTAAATTTTGTAGAAAATCTAGATGTACACCCTCAGCTCAATTTTATTGAAACTGAAAAATTAGCAAACTTAAGTCAAATTCAACAAGAAACTCAAAATGATACAGTACTAAAGCAAGTATATAACTTTATAATGAGGGGGTGGCCTAAATATTTAAATAAAGACGATGTTGTATTAAAACCGTATTTTGACAAAAGGAATGAATTAACTGTAGAAGAGAACATTATCATGTTAGGATATAGAATAGTGATTCCTGAAATATTACGAAAAAGTATACTTGAGGAATTACATTCCACTCATTTAGGAATTAATAAAACCAAGAGTATAGCTAGATCATATTTTTGGTGGAGCACAATGAATAAAGAAATTGAAAATTTGATATTATCATGTGATGCTTGTTTGGTGAATAGACCAGAACCACAGAAATTAGTAAAACCATGGCCAAAAACAAATGAAGTTTTTGAGCGAATACATTTAGACTTTGCAGGACCGTTTAAGGATAAATATTTTTTAATCATAATTGATTCTTTCAGTAAATGGCCTGAAATATTTCAGTTAAATACAATTAATACAAAAATTACAATTGAAAAATTAAGGGAAACATTCGCTCGCTATGGAATTCCTAAAACAATCGTATCAGACAATGGAAGACAGTTCACATCATCGGAGATGAAAACCTTTTGCGAAAATAACGGCATTAAACATGTTTTTACACCACCTTACCATCCGAACAGCAATGGAGCAGCTGAAAACACAGTAAAAACCTTTAAAGCAAGTTTGAATAAAGCATTAAAGGATCCCAAATGCAGAAGTGCATCCATAGAAACACTGATATCAAGATATCTGTTGTGGTATAGGAATGCAATGCATAGCACAACAGGAGAATCACCAGCCCAAAAGATGTTTGGAAGGAAACTACGAATGAAGTTTGATAGGATTAGATCAAATAATAACATCGAACTGGAAGGCCAAGTAACAGACAAGAAGCAATGTTTGGTGGGGGCACAAGTTTATATAAGAGATTATAGAAATCCCAAAGAACAAAAATGGATTAGAGCATCGATAACAAAGAAGATCGGCGAGGTAATATATGAATGTGAAATTCCGGAAACCGGGACAACGCACAGAAGACATCGGGACCAGATAATACAAGTAGAAAAACATTCAAGGAGCACAGGAGACAAAGGAAAATCAAAAACTAAAAGGATAGGGTATGTACCGAAGACGATGGAAGAAAATAAGACGACATCAAATTTGGATGAGAGAAGCCACACGATTCAAGACGAAGTATTAGACAATATCGATCAAGGAATTGTTACTGCAAGTACACGACCAAAGCGTAATATTAGAAAGCCAGATAAGTTAGATTTATAGTTCGAAATAGAATTGTGAGGGGGTAGTGTTAGGTTGGCAATAAGCGAGTTTGGGACAAGAGACACTTGCAATAATGTAATGGCAGAATGTATGTACGTTTTATCCGTTAATGTTTGTAATATACAAAATCGTCCTGAATAGCGTTTATCATTGCTCTCGGTATTTATCCATACCCATCCATTTACCACAAATACAAAACGATTTTCTCTAAATTCACTCAAATTAAATTTGACGTGTGGTTTGGTTTCCAGGCAAATTGCGCGCTTAGGACAAATGCGCGTGCCCGATCAACATGTTTGTGATTAGCCAGTTTAAATTATGATTAAAAAAATGGCGACCGCTTGCAAACAGTTTGACAACTAGCAATGCGTTCAGTAAATATGCTTATATAAAAAGCGCAAACGGTTTGCAAACAGTTGGTTCTGGTGAACGCACCCGATAATACCAAGATAATACATATTCTATTTTCATATACAGAGCTCTTATTCCGTTGCAAATATGAAGGACTGTACGTAAGCTCCATCTGTTATGTTTAAGTCAGGTTGATTGTATAAGATCCACTAGATTCTAGAAATTTTAGTACCCTCCACAACACTGAACTTTACAGAGCTTTCTTTTGGTTAACTGCGTTGGCTAATAATAGATGGCGTTAATCAATTTGAACTTTTTGTTTTGTTTTAACTCCTTGTCATATTCAGCTGATATTGACATTTTGATGTCGGTGAATTACGATGATAACGTTTTAAGTAGGTCCATTTAAATTTTATGGAAGATAATGACTTCCACAACACAACCTGTGATATGTGAAGAGATATTCGACGATTCTAGTCAAGCTTCTGTTGCAGGTATATATTATTTTAGACCTGGATTGTATTGAATTTTTTTTCTGTTTGTTGTGCAAAAGCTATTCATCTTCTTTATGTACTATTCTGTATAGGTACTTGTATTTTCAGTATTATAAATTCAATGTGTTATTTTAGAAATAAGGGATTATGCTGCAAAAATTGGTATTGATCCTGATTTGGAACCTCAATTGCTGCCTTTGGCTGCTGAAGGGCTTATGAAACCCTTACCTTCTGGTTGGAAACCCTGGTATGTCATGAGTTGAGCTTATTAGCATGTCATCATATATGTATTTATTACCTGCAAAAAGTTTCAATCACTTTCATTGTGCATGTTATTTTTAAATTGTGGATGGGAGCCTACAGTAGGTAGGTACAACTTTATGGCAAAATCAGTATATACCTACCCACAGTTAAATAGTGAATTAGAAGGGAAAATGCCCAGGTATGCACCTTATGGGTAGGATTGGTTTGGTTCAGTTTAGTCTATCTGACAATTTCCATGGCAACAAAATGAATTCCAATAGGAAGTTGTCTATGAGATAAGTTCAACTGAAATGAAAAGAACCTCCCCTATTAAATGTTGTAAGTATTTAAAAGTCATTCGTACAACTCCAGGTACAACTATAATATGTTATTATCCCTATCCCTAACATTAAAATAAAAAGAAAAGCGAAATTACATGAAATTCATAAATCTGAAATTTGAACACTTCATGAGATAAACATCTTTGCGTTTACAACTTACAGGGTGCTATTGTATGCGTGCTATTGTCTACCACAAACATACCTACAAACAAAAAATTGTGCTTTATAGAGAGGTAGCAATCTTGTCACTATAGCCTGCTTACAATAGGCAAACTTTCAGATCAATATATCATTGATGGTAAATTTATAGTTATAAAGCCTCACATTTACACTGTTTTAGTCACAGTACAAAAACTGACAGATTCTAGGAAAGTTAAGACCTCCAAAACAAATGCATTCATTGTTCATTTGTCTGCAAATGTGAAGGTATTGAGATTTAGACTGGAATTGAGAGGGGCAACTTTAATAAACTAATTTTAGTTAGGCAGACTATTATTTACAACAGCCGCTATGTTGTCCACTACAAAAAATGATTGCTCTGTTACTGAATTACTGAATAATCCATGGTGCAGTGGTCCAAAAACCACATATACTTCAACAAACTTCATTGAAGTTTCAATAGACTTCCCATAGGCTTCAACAGTCTTCAAAAAATTCAACGAGCTCCACTTCAGTGAGAGTGCATGAGTTTCATAAGACTTCCATGGGACTTCAGGACCAATTTAAAATACCTAAAAGGATGAAAGTATCAGGCTTACCTTACGTTTTGGGACATTTTCTAATCTTGTAAAATATTTCTAAAATTGTTTACCCGGGCTGAGGCACTCTGCTGAAAGATGGTTTCCGAAAGGTCATGAAATGGACTATTGATGTGTACAAAGGAAAATAAGTTAAAGCATAAATATTCTCTTAAATAAGGACTTAGCATTGCGCACTCTGCGCATGCGTACACCTAATGTTTAAAATATGCGATATGTTTGCCTTTACAGGAAGAATATTTGCTTAAAATTTCAAAGAAATATCTCTAGAAATAAGAAACTTGACATTGCACCGTTTGCGCATGTGCACATTTGATTTTTGCAATATGCGATATGCTTGTCTTTACTAGAAGCATTTGTGGTAAAAATTTCAAAAAAATATCTATAAATAAGAAAGGTGACATTGCATATTCTGCACATGCGCACATCGTTAAGAGCTTTTTGTTGAGGTACCAGAGCTATAAGCTACCGAATGCAAAAAAGACGAACTAAATATCTTGAAACCTGTAGGTGTAGGTAAGTCCTCGAACGGACGGACAAGTGCCCTTAACATTGCTTTCCGACATGAGTTGGAAAATGCGCTAAAAATAAACACAAAACGCAGAACAACAAAATACAGCACAAAAAAGAAGAATGACGGATTACGGATTCGCGCATAGTTAATAGCGTGGTTTTTAGTCTTTAAACTGTTGTGGTTCAGACTTCAGAGGCGTAGAATAGGGGGTACTACATTTATATTTATTAGAGGAGAGCAACTTATAATTTGCAACTGTGGCACCTCTAAAAAAAAGCATTATGCTGGTCACTCTGTAATTGGGCGCAAGCCTGTTGAGGGCCCATAACAAGAGAGGGATAATAAATAAATAAATAAATAAATAAACTGTAACTTCATATGTCAGAATATGAGTGTTTTTCTTGGATGTTCACTAACGCATTTTAGCATATACAATGACATATTTTTCTATTTTTTGTTTATCAAAATTTGATGGCAAGCACACTTGGAGTAAGCTTTATATTTGAACCCATTCCAGCTGCCCTTTGTTTTTTTTTCATAACGATTTTAATGTTTGAAACTTTAATTCAGTCTTTGCTGGACTTTTTGTAGGTAGTAGTTTTCTTGGACAACTAGTTTTAGGACAGCTTGTACTTGTTAGTTTCTAAAAAACCTTTCGTAACATTCTGCTTCCTGTCTTGTGCTATTATATTGCTGTGTGCAATGGTATTCGGTCAACTACACCACCCACAAGACACCTGCCCAGCTAGCTCAAACAAATCAAAATGGAAACTTTCTCCTTGTCCATTTCTGAATCCGAATATTGAGCTAAATTAAGGTTTTAGAAGACTCGGTGGCCTGGATCAACTTCCGAAAATTCCTAATAATAATTTGTTACAATAATTTTTATCAACAGCTGAAATAAATGTTGGACACGAGAAGGAAAATCTGACATGAAAACTCTCTCCTGGTCGTGCAATGGGTTCGAATAGCAATGACAAAAATGTATTCTAAAACACAAAATGAAAATTAAAACAAAATTCCTGAAATAAAATAGAAGCTTACAAAGCTTGTTTTTATACTGGGTGGTGACTTCCGTAATGCATCATAGGGATTTCAATGTAAAATTCATAACGTGCGATTATTGGCTCCCCAAATTATTTTACAGCAAAAATGTACAGGGTGTAAATCGAAAAATGGAACATAGGCTTTTAACATGGGAAATTACTTTTTCTTTGTGCAAACGTTTCCTAATTATTTTACGCAAAAATACTTCAAATAAAAGTTATAGAGATATAAATTCTGCATCTAAATCATGTGAAACGATTATTCTACCTCTTGTACGCGAAAACGTTAATTATAAAGATTCTGTTTTCACGAGTTTTTAGTCTAAGTAGCCATGGACTATGATAAAAGAAAAACATAGTCCATGGCTACTTAGACTTAGACTAAAAACTCGTGAAAACAGAATCTTTATAATTAATTTTTTCGCGTACAAGAAGAGGCAGAATAATCGTTTCACATGATTTAGATGCAGAATTTATAGCTCTATAACTTTTATTTGAAGTATTTTTGCGTAAAATAATTAGGAAACGTTTGCGCAAAGAAAAAGTAATTTCCCATGTTAAACGCCTATGTTCCACTTTTCGATTTACACCCTGTACCTATTAACGTTTTTTGTAGAAAAAATATCCAGTTATCAATTAACAGCAGTTCGAAATGGATATTATGATCGACTTGGTTATTGTCTTGCAGTTAATGGTGACTTATTCGAACATTTATTTGTAAATTGTTATATTAGGAAACCGTTTTTAGTAATTTGGTCTTTCTTTATGTTCAATTCGCTGTTCTAAATATAATACTTTCTGATAGAATTTGATTTGTTTTATAGTATAGTAGTAATTTTCCACGGCATGACGGATATTGGCGTAGTTTTGTATTATAAAATTCCATGGCATCACAGATAATTGAAAAAGAAGCGGGTTTTATTTTCCCAATTTTCCGTCTTTATTATGCAAAAAATTAAAACTAATACGGTTGATTGAAATTTTTATACAAAAAACCTTAATACATTTTTGCTCTAAAATAATTTGGGGAGCCAATAAACGCATGTTATGAATATTACATTGAAATCCCTATGATGCGTTACGCAAGTCACCACCCTGTATACTACCCCGTACTCAGACGGTCGATAAATGAAATAAGAAAATCTTAATAATCTAGTATTTCAACGGTTTTCGAAAAGCAAGGGCACTTATACTTCACAAACGCTGACAGCTTCTGAACATCACTTTTCTTTCACACAAACTTGATCATAAGCGAACTGGGTTGTTGAATATGATGAAAAAAATTATCGGTGGCTGTGCGAACGGTATAAACTTATAATTTTTAAACAAAAGAACGTCAGTAGCAAGCCTCACGTTGCACTAAAATTGCTTCTTTTAGTTTTTTTTTTTTTTTTGAGTTGGATCCATCGTTCCTCGAAATGGGGGTTGAAATATATTATGTTATCAAAAATCTCTAAACCTTCCCCATATAGTTTTATTCGTTGAAGTTTTTAAAAATAACAGCGACTATAATTTCGGCGTACTGCCATCATCAGGCTTTTACATCGCCTGATGATGGCAGTACGCCGAAACTATAGTCGCTGTTATTTTTAAAAACTTCAACGAATAAAACTATATGGGGAAGGTTTAGAGATTTTTGATAACATAATATGCTTCTTTTAGTTCAACCAACTTTTTCCGAATACAGACAACAGGTGTTAAACTTTCCACAAGTTTGTAAAAACTTCAGTTGACTTTTTCTGTACAGAAGTAAGTATAAAAAAAATGATGAACATGCGTCTCCAGTCGGTCTGCAGCCTGCAGCCTCCTGCTTGCAGTATTTAACGAAACATCACCTCCATCATAGAATACTTTCCTTCTTCCGGTATTTTAGAAATAAAGCGCCAATCAGAATTAGATAACGCGCCCTCACTTACGCCGCAAATAATGCGCACAACGTTGACTGTATGTCCCGTTATCTCTTCTAACGGCGATAAAAACGCGTGCGTTAATTAACTTACCTCCGAAAAATAAAAACTCTTATCGCAAACGACCAGATGTGCCCACATTTTAACACACAATGACGTAACTTCAGCCGGCCTCCGGATAAAATCATCGAAAAGAAAAAGTTTTATATCATTCACTTACACTGATAGAACTATTAAACGTAATTTAGCAGCCTACAAGTGTTTAAAATGATTTTTTTTCCAGCTATGACGATAAGAGGAAGGCATATTACTACCATAATCCTATGGTGGGTAGAACTCAATGGGAGCATCCTTTAGACAATATATATCGCGGCTTAGTAATTAAAGCGAGAACCGAAAGTCAATCGCTTAGCTTAGGGGAACCGACAGAAGATGGCACCTACACTCGAGACGATTTACCAAGTTACGAAGAACCGCCCCCGTTGCCTCAGTACGCTTACCCTAGAAAAGACGTCAAGTTGTCCCCACTTAAGCTAAGACCGAAGCTCTCGGACATTGATTTAAAGTTGTGCAAGCAAAAATCTGAGGAGAGGCCGACTACGGCGAATCGTAAAAATAGTTTCAGCTTATTTACTAGTTTTGACGAGAAACTCAACGATCATCCGAAGAAGATCGATAAGGCTGGTCTCACTGTAAGTGGTGGAGGTGCGATGTTCTTAAAGTCAAACACAAAGAAACCAGCGGAGCTTTCGCCAAGTTTAAGTAAACCGGAAAACCTGTATCAACCACGCGGTATTTTACGTGAGAATTCCAAAAATGGCGACATAGACAAATTGGCTCTTGACAAAGTAGAGAAAGAAGATGATGATAGAAAAAGTGTACGGTTCAATGTGGAACCTAATTTGGACTTTTCATCAGAAGATAGTAATAAAGAAGATAACAATGACGATATTATTAACGTTAAAATTACAAATAAGTCTCGATTTACTGTAGTTCCTGTGCAACCTCTTAACACAAGAGTTCTGAAACTAGTTAAGCCGGATCCCTCCGAACTAAAGAATGATTTGTCACTTAACCCAGAGGTTTTGCTAAGCTCCGACTCCGAGGAGAACTCTGCTGCAGATATTGAAATACGCAATGAGGCAAGCATAAATGGTGTCCTCAATAACTTCAATTCGTTAGACGAAGAAGCTCAAAAAGACATTCAAGTGTATAGAAACGAATTATTTAAATCTCAAAAATTAGAGCGAGACAAAGTGCTAGTCGAAGAAAAGACGAAACATGAAGCCATTATTAAAGAGCAGCTCGATAGTTTAAGAAAAGAAATGGAGAATCGATTGAACGGAACGCTAGCTGAGGAAAAGACGAGGTTGAAGTCACAATTTGAACAACGGAAGGCTGAAATTACAGCACACTACGAATCTATGAATCAAAATTGGGAAGAAACCGTAAAAATGCGAATTCTGTCTCAGCAGGAGGACTTAGAGAAGAAATATGGCGAAAAATTAGTCTTACTGGAACGAGAGTTAGATGAAAAGTTGGAAAAAAATAAGGACGACTTGATCGTCTCGCACAAGGCAATCGTCGATCAGATGCAACAAAATCACTCGGCGATAATTAACGAACTGCAACAAGACTTTAAGGCCGAGGCAAGTATAATTTTGGCGAGATACATTTTCATTTTTGATACTTTTTAGGAGGATATTATTCGGCGAGAGCATCAAAAGCAGATATCCGACTTGAGAAATAAGGTTTCGCGGGATACCGAAATCGAAAAAACTCGTACGGATAGGGATCCCGAAGACGAGCGGTTGTACGAGAAAGTGCGTTGCGAAAAGAGGCTCTTAGAGGATAAGTATCGATGTTTAAAGGATAAGTACTTGAAACTGAAGACTGAGGTTAAGTTGTCCATTGAGAAGCGTAACAGGAAGAGGGAGCAGAACCTGACTGCTACCACGACGACTACCACGACTGGATCTGAAACTGAGCGAAGTCCGTCTGGTAAAAAGGAAAGGTAATCACAGTACGTACACTAACAGTACACAAATCACATTCTAATTTTAATTGCTATTGTTGCATTAATCGCGCTGTGAAGCATTTCACTTTATCTATATGAATTGTATTTCCATCTCTTCCTAGATCAATTTTTATGCTATTTTTATTCTTTTTGTTTTTCTAGAAGAGAAGGATGCGCTTCCATCTTATACTGGAATGCGCTCTGTACTACTGGATTTGTTGTCCTTCCTATGCAACTTGATGCAGGACAATTTTTGAATGCTATGATACTGTAACGTAAAATTAATTACGTGATTTATTTATATACAATTAATTATTAAGAATTACGCTCTCTTTCAAAATAACGCGAGACGGCCTTGTCTATTCTTAATTCTTGCTATTTAAGAAAAAAAACCACTTCTACTAATAAATTCAACACCGTTGTTCTCAGACGACACTCGAAATTCCGCACCATCGCCCGAACTGATTGACACCTGCGTTGCTTATTTCGTACGTGGCATTGTTTATCGCAAGCCCAATTAATATTTTTCCAGTAATCACTTTTTTACTAACATCAGCTGGCCAGATCAAACTTTTAACATTACAATTAAATGTTCCCTTATTTATGCGTTTTAAACTTATCATACAAACTAAATACAAGAAATGGAATTAAATGAATTAATCAATTACCGACTAAATTCGCAATAAGAAACTAACATTGAAAATGAAAATTCAACAAATTTTTCCCATTTTGTGTCTAGTTGAAATAAAAAATTCTCAGGTCTTATGAAATAACGTGAATTACGCAATATGCAGGATGTCCCGACTACCATTTCCGATATTCCGACCGAATTACGTTTACAACACGTATTTTTTCACTGCAAGGTGGCTCGCTCTCATCTTCGGCATTGTTTCCACCTAGAAAAACGACACCCCAATGCAATATACACAACAATAGATTGATTTATGAAAATTAATTATTTATCAATTACTTCTACTCAAATTTATAACATGTAAATTTGTAATATGGGCCCAAATTTCAGTATTTATCGCTTCGTCATCAATGTTGGGACATATACTAAACACAATTCAATTTGCTTATAAGTAGCAAACCAAAACCTTTAGGGAATTCTCGAATCACCATTTCGTATTTCTTGAAAAGAGTGCGCCACATCCGCTTTCATCTCTTATCGCCGGTGAGTAATCCTTTGCTGACTTGCTGGCGCCTTGATTTCGCGCTAGAAAATTCGTTACAATACTTACTAGTTAGTATAATGTTAATTTCACTTTTTTTGTACACTTAAGTGTTTTCTTGTTGTCCATTTTTCTTGTAGTTTACCCTGTGTAGACATTCTACTTAACAATAAGTACATTATATTTTTTATTAAGTTGGGTTTGAGTCTGGTTGTGAGTTACATCACTTTGAACATCTAAAATTCTACACAAAGTAAATTAAGGAAGAGATGCTCAAACAATTTGATACAACTTCATCATTTACCTAATATATTTTGGGGGAAATTAGTAATAAACAATGGTTAATAAAGTGGAAGTAAGATGTTTCCCAATGGCATTTGCTGTAATAATAAAAGAGCATGTAAATATCCGACATAATACCGTTGTATTTAAAAGGTTACGGTAGTACTACACAATTTGTATTGCTTTTTTGAATCTACAGTTTAGTTAGTTGCGGACCATTCGGTCTACCAACATTCTCCACATAACAATGGGTACAACTCTCTGTTAGTATATTTGATACTTTCGACAGAGGCCGATATTTAACCATTTTTTACATGATACTTTGGGATATTTATTGAACAAATGAAACAACTGGTAAACCTTTCGTGTGTTGCACTTATGTAGGGTACTTCAGCCTAATTTTCAAAAGCAACTTTTGACATAATTATGGAAAACTAATTCTAAATGTCAAAAAATGTGCAATAAACATTAAAATGCAAAAAGCCTTAATATCTCTTTTGATAACAAAGGTCATTAAAAAATTGTCAACAACAGTTAATTCTTTCCTTTGCTGTTAATACGCCTTTGGATTATTAAAGTGATTTTTTCTTTGTTTTCAGAAGGTACCGCGCAGTGCTTCACAGTGTTGGCGCATGCGCAGACCTAATTTCAACACAAATAACAAAGTTGAAATGTCTTTGCGCAGGCTCAAACATTTTTTACACTGCGAAATTAAACTGTTCAATTACATCAAGCAAAAAAAGTTGAATTAGACAAATGCATAAAGAATTGACAGGTATATGCATTAATTTTACTCCAAACGGTGCAAACTGCAGTAGTCGTCAGAACGGTATGGTAAAGTCACTAAATATAGAAAGTACCGCAATCCATTGGGCTCGTGTGTTAGAGAGAGAACGCATGATTTTTGCCCAAAAATGGCGGAAGTTACCACATTCTAGTAACTTTAATGTTAGGGATTGTTCCACCTGTTTGGAGATATCTGTATATATTTTTATAAAACATGACAGTACTATGAAGTTAGGTTATAAAAAAATGACAGCTAGTCAGATTTTATTTGTCAATTTTTTTAAGTTGGCAGCAAATTTGCCCAAAAATGGCGGATGATTGCGGTACTTTCTATATCTAGTGACTTTACGGTATGGTGATCTTGAGCGCCACCAGGAGATAAAAAAAACAAAATTACAGCACACGGAGACGGAACCAATTTTCATTCGGGAACGGAAGCACAAAATAATTAACGGTATCTATTGGAAAACGAAACGAAATCCCCTTTTATAATTAACGGAAAGAAAGGTGCGAAACGCTTGCCTTTAAAATTAAGCAGTGCGGTTATAGTTATTATTCTATTAACGTAATTAGGCCGATATGTGCCAAATAACGGACTCAGGAGTCAGGGCTCACCTTTCGCGAATTCAAGTGTAAGGTTAATTATACTTAGTGCAGCGGAGAGCCGGCGTTAACTCGCTTATTTGAGGTAGTTTTTTTTTTCGGAGTAGAAAGAATTGGGACCCACACCATTTTGTTCAGAAATGTTTGAACCTTCAGAATCTCGCTTTACGACATTTTCCCGTGGTCCTGACAAAAGTTATAGGCCGCTAAAGTTGAACTTTTCTCATTTTCGCGCGCGCGACAAGGCCACCGAAAGTATTTATTTTCTCAGCAACTAAGCGATAGGTAGGTAGTAGGTATACATCAATAATTGCTTTTGTAAAATGAAAGTACATTTATAGCAGAATCTAAAGCATTCATATTTACCTACCTTGTTATGCACAGTTTTTAGAAAAATGACCGTCAACTTCCAAAATTCGTGTAGCAGATGAAAAGTGCGCACTTTGAACTCTCATAACTTTTTATTTCACGATATCAATTTCCAATATTTATAGCTCATTCGATGCTCCAAAGCATTGTGATTATTTTATTTTCTATAACATTACCGTGAATGTTTCATAATAAAAAAGTTACGGTCATTTAAGTAAAAACCTACCCACCTCGCCGAGTCGGGAGTCGCGAGTGAGACGGAGAGAGAAGCATAGTCAGCAGCGTTCGCGCAACAAGGAGCGATGCGTAAGAGGTTCTACTTTACTAAGAAATTTCTCTCCGAATACCAAAACTAGCTATTTAGGCCGTTTACAAATGCATTCCGCCGGGTTGCATTGTAAAATCTCAACAATTCGTTAACTCCATATATTCGTTTAGGAGCCATCCTCAAAAAAGTGGTAAAGTTTCCATTTCTCCTTTAATTTTTTTCTCAGCAACAGTTACAGATGCTGGTGGTAAGTATTTGAATAGGTTTTGCTGTATGCCCTTTCCGATTTTGCAAATAATTTTCCAAAATTCCTACCACAAAAGGGCACACCCCTCAATAGAGGTGCGAAAAAATGTTGATTTCGACGAAATTTGGTATCTGGTGGTTCTTGAATATAAAAATCACGAATCTGAAATTAGTTTTTGAAAATTCGAAAAAAATAATTCCACTGCAATTCTTGGCCGGACAACGAAAATTGACAAAATTCCACGAAGTTTGTTGCGTAGGTACCTACGGAACAAAATTGTTGAACGGTTTTTCTTAAGGTCATTTTTCAAACAAAAGTTACACTCATTTGCAAATTGGTCTTTCGGGTCAGAAAATGTTCTCCGACAGTGGCATAACAAGTACAGTAAACGTCAATATTACATGTTCTGCTAAGCGTGTCTACCTACATTTCACAAAAATTTGTCAAATAAAAAATGATAATTTTATCACAGCGAACATTAATAACTTCGACATCAATGAGGAAACAGTCACAGAATAAGAATAAGTAGGCCATATTCTGTGGACAGACGAAACAAATTCAACGCCACAGTCCTTTTTCAAAAGCGAGATACATCGGCAGAAGAAATCCACATTCCTCGTTTACCTATCACCAGATAACTGACTTTAACAGCCTAAGTACATGCTGATAATCCTAAGTAAGTTCCGGTATCTAGCATTCAATATATGTATGCCATTTTTGAATTCCCCACCAACAAGCTACAATACCATCCTAACCATCGTCTAGTGAAATCAAAAAACAAGCCTGAATCTTTGGGACAGAATCATACCGTTGTCACTGCTGATCTTGCAATATACTAACAGTACAGCACAAGAGATACCTAATGTGGAGTAACCCGCAAAATTTACAGGGAAAGGTACCTATTTGTACCTATAGATTTCACCAAAGAACTGAGATAGATGGAGTTAATGAATTGTTCGAGATTTTACAATGCAACTCGGCGGAATGCATTTGTAAACTAAACGCTAAAAATAGCTAGTTTTGGTATTCGGAGAGAAATTTCTTAGTAAAGTAGAACCCGAGGTAGAACCTCTTACGCATCCCTCCTTGTTTAGCGAACGCTGCTGACTATCCTTCCCTCTCCGTCTCACTCGCGACTCCCGACTCGGCGAGGTCGGTAGGTTTTTACTTAAATGACCGTAACTTTTTTTATTATGACAATTCAACTCATGTATAAAAAATCGCATAAGCCGCAGTGCAATTGTCACTTTGACAGCGGCAAAAGTTACCTGCAACTTTTCCAGCGACAAATGCACTAGTGGTTTTTTCACTATTCATTTTCGAACCAATTATCGCATTATCCTTTCCCATATGACTAGTTTGACGTCTGTCAATAATTGATTAGTTGGTGAATTTCTTGTTCGTTAAATTGTCCTGCCGAATTACACTCGAGGTTTGTATTTAAACCGAGTAAATTTGGGTTGTTGCAATTCAAATATGTTTCCATTTAGCAATTGAACTCGAAAAACTGTCAACCTAAAAATGCTCCACCTTCGGTGTCGCATTTTTATTAGTTGACAGTTTTTCTCGTCTAATTGCTAGGCAACAGATTTTCATTACCTTAACAACCCAAATTTACTCGGTAAAATACAAACCTCTTGTGCAATTATAAGTGAAAAATTCACGGTAATGTTATAGAAAATAAAATAATCACAATGCTTTGGAGCATCGAATGAGCTATAATATTGGAAATCGATATCGTGAAATAAAAAGTTATGAGAGTTCAAAGTGCGCACTTTTCATCTGCTACACGAATTTTGGAAGTTGACGGTCATTTTTCTAAAAACTGTGCATAACACGGTAGGTAAATATGAATGCTTTAAGATTCTGCTATAAATGTACTTTCATTTTACAAAAGGAATTATTGATGTATATCGCTTAGTTGCGGAGAAAATAAATACTTTCGGTGGTCTAGTCGCGCGCGCGAAAATTAGTAAAGTTCAACTTTAGCGACCTATAACTTTTGTCAGGACCACGGGAAAATGTCGTAAAGCGAGATTCTGAAGGTTCAAACATTTCTGAACAAAATGGTGTGGGTGCCAATTCTTTCTACTCCGAAAAAATTTTTTGAACGATTTCGCGGCTCTCTCCGCTGCACTAACTCACTTAAATGGCCGGGCTGAAATTGCGAAATTTATTTTACCTATCCCATGTCGGGGTTTTTTTGCGATCAAGCAACAGGTTACTTTACGCGTTTACGGTTTATCTACGTGTGAGCGAGCAACCTTGTCTGTGTCTGTCTATAGCTTTAAATTATCATTGAGCGATTAAAATCGGCCAATCATTAATTAACGGAGCTGAAACCATACAATATTAATTTTCTCCCTTCTCTTGCAATCGAAAAGAGCTTTTGAATGCTGCAAGCTGCAAAGATAATTACAATATCTTTACGGGAACGGCTACAAACGGCAAATTAGTTACAGTATCTTGATTCTAATTTGAATGTCGCGCCTTGGTGGCCGATTACGGAACCAATTTTAAGTATAACAGGATCGAAACTCAATACAAAGGGTGTAGTCTTGTTGGGGCTTATCTTGTCATTCTGCAAGGTCAAACGAACTTAAGAAGTTTGGCTGATGTGAGCATGGTTTAGCTTATATAAGGTGTTTGATGCAATTTCATAATAAGTACAGAGAAGTGATTGTTTTCGAAAATCGCTATCTTCCCAAAATGCTGCCATCCAAGGTAAAAATACGATGCCGGTATTGTTGTCCGGGCTTGATTTGCATCTTTATAGGTCAAATGAAAGATATACAAAGAGGCCATTGTTTTAGATTGCAGGTTTGACACTTCGCTAAAGCTCTTCCGATCCCAAACTCTGTATTCAAATCGAAAGTCAGAGAATGCTATTCTTCCCGGCGCCAGGTCACATTTCCGTTACGACGCATACATACAGAATCCATTGTTTTTGATTACAGGTTTGCTGTTTCATTAAATGGTCTAAGACCAAAGGGTCGTGTTGTTGGCTTAATTTTTCTGTTATGTAGATCAAACGCCATAGGAAGTGGCTATTGTGTTGGAGTGGTTTGCGGCTTCAGTTAAGGACGCGTGGTTTTTTGTCACAAGTGATTTATTTGATAATAAAAAAGATTACAAAAGCCATCCTATATCCTCATCTATATAAACTTGTATGTACAGTGTGTCCTATTTTGGCCCACCTTTCCTGAGATTTGACCTCGGACTTGACCCAAAGTTGATATTTTTTAAATGCAACGCCTTGTATATTTTACGGTCAATTGTTTTTCATTCTTTTTCGTGATTTGATGTATCACAACCTATATTTTTAGCACATTTTTTAAGAATTAAAAAAAAATGTGCTATTGTTTGCATTTTGTCCGTCCATCCGTCCGGACCCACTTCTGCCGTTTTGAACTACTTCTAGGGGAATGGTCCTAGAGTCCTGGAATTTTTTGCAGTAGGTAGCCTATACCTTGAAGGTGTGCGGCCATCAAATTTCGCTGTCTAAAAGGCGCTCCCCCCTTCCCCACGAATTATGTCCTGAGATTCTGTTTTTGAAAGTAAAACGTGCATAACTTTTACATACCTACGACAACCAATTGGTTTTGCATACGCAGGCCTTTAGTGGTGCCAAGTTAAACTGTAGAAAATGGGGGGGGGGGGGGGTAAACAGTAAACACATGTTCTACCCTTCATGGTATTCTAATGAAAGGTCTCATCTCATCATTTGTAGAAACTATTAACTTTCCCGTGCGACTATTTTTCGAGATCAGTGAGCGACGGAGCCTGGGGGGGGGGGGTAAAAATTAATGTTATCTCTCATTGTATTCTAATTAAATGTCTCAACGAAAGGAACTGTTTTCTACCAACTACTGCCCTTCTTTCTGTCCTCGGGGCGGAGGGGGGAGTGGAACTAGTTTTATTCTTCGAGTTTATATAAAACTGGAGACGGAAAACGTAAAATAAATCAAATACAAGAAGCAAAGTGTAAACTCGTAACGTGAAACCGTGACACTTACAGGTGACACTGTCAAAACAGTATAATTAATAATTGTACACGGAATGTACCGCGTCGTTTTGGAGGCTTTCTATTGGCCAGTTTGGAATTTAGCTCCAATATGGCAACCGGAACCAACGACCAATCAAAAACGAGATACCCTGTTGTCGCCACTGTGTCTATAAAGTCACTGTAGTAAAACCTATATGGACAAGTTTATACATTGTTTTTGCCTTTATACTCTCCAAAAAACTTGGTTTGTAACTTAACCTTTACTGGTCCTGTTATCTATTTATTGCCTCAGGAAGTCAAACGTCAACATCAATACATCCTTTGTTCTTTGGCCTTGGACTTTGTACTCTCGTTTGACCTAGCAGAACGCCCCACAACCATGGACCCTTATGACTTTCAAATTAGTTCCGCAATCTGCCACCAAAGTCACTACTTTGTATTTTCTAGGTGGTTACTATAATTATTACCTACCTTTAGTTTGCTTTTATGATAAATTAGCGTTGCAGTCTAGAGTGACTGTATACAAAGACAGTGATGGTCATATACTCCATGTCCGCCTTGTTTTTTCCAAATTTGTCGTTGAGGTGATTGGTCTATACATGAAAATGTTTTCAAATATTTCTTGTATCACTACCGTAATATTTTAAATACAATGATGACGCTAGAAAATTAATGAAAATGTCTGATACTCATTGATATTTCAGGACGCCTACCCACTCCCCTTCATCAATTAGAAAACACTCACCGAAACACACGAGATCGACAGATTTAAGTAAGCACAAAGCTAAGATACGTCAAGTGATTATTCAGGATCAAGACACATCCGCTAGCGACCGTAGTTATAAAGTTGAAGATAAGTTTAATCGTAACGATTCGCAAAGAGAGTACGACTCTTCCGATATAGACACGAATCCAGGTAGAAATAGAAAAAAGTTATTTTCCCGCATTAAAAGCTCTTCCGCCTCCCGCATTAATAACAATATAAAATTTAGAGAAAATCAGCGCTCTTGCTCGCCCGTAGAAAACTTACGAAAGCAACTGCAAAAGCTAGAAGACCTAGAAGATCAGTTTCCGCAAAACGCTCAAGGGGACACATATCATTTACGATATCCGTTTTCCGACGGTCAAAAGTTCGAAGGTAGCTCAGAACTTGAATTTTTCAGACATCGCATTCATTTGGAAAGAGACTCCATTCGTAGGGCGAAGGAAAGTTTACGTAAGCAAAAGTCTAACTTTAAGCAGAGGCAGGACGAACTGAAGTTGAAATATGGACCAACCGCGCGGCATACACTACAGCAGTTATATCAAGTAAGTATCGCCTTGAAATGAATTTATATGTAAGTGTTTGTATTGTTATGTGTATTTATATCGATTTATTTTAATAAAAAAATTATTGAATTACACTGATTTATACTAGACCAGTTAAACTTGATTTTCGGTATTGACTTTTAGACGATCTTTTAGTTGAAAACCGTGAGGTTTTGATACTTGTAGGTAGTTTTTGTTTAAAAGGATCTAAACAGAGCATCATACAGAAAATTTTACTCTGATCAAAATTTGACAATTAATATACACAAGTTTTTATTAAAAGCTTAGTTAGACATCTGTATCTCAAGAACTCATAGAAGTCCAAAATTGTTTCAAACCTTGAGTGTGGAACTATATTTTCTGCAAAGTGAAAATGAAAAGGCTTTGCGACACAGAGTCTAGACTATATGTATGTGGCTATTTTTTAGTTACGTGACTCCTGATTTTCAAATTAGTAGTTTTAGACTAGGCGGTCTGGTATAATTGGTTATAATAGATTAACATAGTATATGCATCTATGGCTGAAAGGCCAAGTACGTTCGGTCTGGGGGATACGCCTATAGATCAATGATTTGGGGAGGATACTTCGAAACGGCTTGCAAATGCATGGTGCATTTTGTGAGAATTAATATTCTCAATGTTGATTAGGTGCTGGAGGATATGACTGTAGTGGCTCTGGGGCTCCAAGACTTTTTTTCGAGAAATGTCATTGTGTTAAATAGCTAGATTAAATTGTACTGAGTTGTTGTGCCATTAAAATGAAAGTGTTCCGTTAAGTTGCCATTGTTCATTTTTTTAAATGTCGGTAGGACTTTACCCCTGGGCAAAGAACTTTTAGTTATACATATGTCCAACTTTCACTTCTGAAACGCCATCTCTTCCTCAAACTGCTCACCTAAATAATTTTTCTTCGTAAGATGTCCCCAATATGCACGCCAACGCGCCGCGCACACTCACGCGTATTTTTAACAATACGCCGTTTTGATTCGGGAACAGTGACAACTAAGGCCTTAAGTATGCCTCTCTGTATTATCCATCAGAAACCATACCCATATGTACTTTTTCAACTGATCCTTATGTTTCAATTAAAATGTGCACCATTTGGAAATAAAAACACCAAATCAATCACAACAACAAAAATATATAAACCTAACTTGAAACGAAAATACACAAAAATGTCATAACTCATAAATAGACTCTCGGTACAATGAATGGACATTACGTTCTTCGTTGATGCAAATGCATAATATGTGACATTGAATAAATCTTGCATGCTATTACTCTCTGATACAAATCGTATATTGTTCACCTCACTGTCTGGCCCTTTACTTACTAGGTGGTGAAATAAGAATGACATGTGGTGGTCTCTCATAAATAATAAATGTAAAACTTTGTAGTACATTTTTTGAATTATAAGTGGGAAATTACTGACTGTCAAATTTTAATGGAGTGATAAATCGACGTTATTATCTTAAAACACGGAAAAATTCAATACAAAATGATCCTGTATATTTTTCTGTATCTTTTAAAATAAGGAGAGAATGGATTCTTGGATTTTTAAAAACTAGGGTTTGTAAAGTCAATGCACTAGATATTTCAAGCGCGAGTTGGAGTAGTCATAGGTGCTAAAAGGTTCTGTGGACGTTAATTCAGTCACCACCAAAAATAATGACACCCTGTATATGACAATATTTTAATTTATTAAGTGTAAATCTGGTGGATTATTTTACGAAAGAAGCACAGAGTTGGTTTATTGTACTTGAATGTGTTATCTCAGTGTCTACGTTCCCTTTTGTTTTGTTTGTAATTGAGTATTATTTTCTTGTTTAAATTTTATTGCTTTTGTAAATTGTTTATTTAGATTTGCGTGTTTAATTGTAAAACGTGAAATTGCGTGTTAAAAGGTAGGACACATCTGGTCATTTGCGATAAGGAGTTTTTATCGGACGGAATTTAACTAACGCACGTGTTCATATCGCGAAGAATTGCGCGTTATTTCGGCGTAAGTGTGGTCGTGTTCTTTCGGAGCTGACGTTATCAAATCTAATTGTGATTGGCGGTGTTTTTGAAAATGCCGAATCCAGTTTTGATTAGTCAAGGAAGTCGCCTTTCAAAAAAGAAAAATAATATGAATAGATAACCACATTGTTTGTTTGGCAGGGCAGGTTGCCTTCGATGTAAATGGTGTATATTTCGAACGTATGGGAAATGTAACCATTGTTTCCAGGGCTTTTATTTATTTCATTTTGCCTTTTTATGTGGACGTGGATAACGTCCAAAAATTAAAATTATTTAATTACCAGGTTCCTTGACTTCCGGAAAAAATCGGGGACAAATTTTGAAATGTAAGTTAATTACGAGCGCTTCTTTTTAGACTAGGCCCAATCTCATCGGACGAAGTTTGCTGCAACACAATTAATTAACTACGCTTAATTATACTCACTTAATTGGCCGGATTAAAATTTCCAAATTCGGTAGTCGATTACTGCCCATTGTTACATTGCGGGTCAATCGCTAAACGTTTGCAGTAATGAAATAAACTAAAGGGTCATGGACGTTGTCGCGGCTATGTTTGAAGTCTCTAACCCATTTACGCACTTTCCCTTCACACATGGCATTAGCACCGTAAACTGAAAAAAATCTGCCGTTGAATTTCTGCAGCAGATATTTTTTTTTGCTTACAAAAACCGTATCACCGAACAAACTTCGCCAGGAGCGGGCGATTCGATAATAATAATCTTAAACTTTTTGCAAGCACAGGTTAGCTACAGGACTCCAACTGAGCATAGTTGTTGCCAAGGTATGCCAGGACGCGACGCAAAGGATTGTTGCGGCGCGCACGCGAGCAATGAGTGAATATAAACAAGATATCTCTACGGGAACAATTATGTTCAGCAGCTGATTTGTTTATCGGCGGCTAAAACACGACCCTAGAAATCAAACCAATTACCTGTAACGAAGTGCCTCAAATTTATATCACGTTTTGATACTGTGCGTTCATGTACCGGGTGGTTATCAAAGCTGGTAGATCTCACTGCGGAAAATGTGCTTCCTAAAATGCGCAATCGTCACAAAACCATCTACAAGCATCTGTCGAGCTAACTCAATTTAAACTCAGGTTCTGACAAAACTCTTAAAAGACGTGAAAACGCAACTAAAAAGCTTAACCAAAAAAACCCGAAATGTCTTCTACACAACTTTACAATTAAGTATGACAGACTGTCTTTCCAAATACACCACCAAAAAAACTTGACCGACTGGTCACGATCAACGTTCGTCTCCCCTATTTAAAACAATTTCCCTTTTTAACTTCCGCTTCCATTTCCTTAAATGCGTCGTTTTTTCAATAATCCCACCTGTGTTCAGTTTATCTTGAAACTAGTTAAATTAATGAAACTAAGTATAAGGACTCTTATCGCAAACGACAAGAGATAAACTTTTGCAAATCCCACGCAATTATTTTCAGATGTTTAAATATAGTCTTTTAAAACACAATAAAATAAATAAACAAAGCGATTAACTAAACAAAATTGACCTCGAATATAATCGATCGGAGCTGGACCTTATTTATTCAATTTGTTTTTTTTTACTTATTCTTGTCATCAACAATAATTGTCGGGAATCTTTTTGTCAACATTGCCTAAAAAAGATCAAGGGGAAGTAATATGCAGCATTTATTTCATGAGCTACCTTTACTACCTACAAGCGTTGGTCATGTTCGAGATACTTTGAGATAATAAAGACATTGTTAATATTCCTTTGCACTGCTGGATCTATACCAACAAATTTCACGTTTAAGGTCGCATTACATACAGAATGTTGAAATTGTGGTTAGAGTAAAATCCCTCAGTATGATGCCCTGTTCAGGTGCAAAATTACTGTAGTTATAATTATGTCTTGCTTTGCTATTCAACGTGAACACCGTTGATCTATCGTAATCACCTGCCACTTATTTAAATATTTTTATCCTTATGTACAGGGTGGTTCAAATTCGTTGCCCACCATTGGGATCTCTGTAACGGTGAGAGATATAGTGTAGGTTAAATGAGCGTCAAATTGATCCTTTTTGTGACTAAAATCGCATTTGAAATTTTTGAAAAATCATTGGAAATAATCGAGATCACTGAAAAATATTAAATTTCGTTTTTATTTTTCCTCACATTAACGGTCGGAAAAGGAAATGCCTATAGATGACACTAATGGGTACCGTCCCGACCTTTTAGGCAAGGGAAAAGGAAAACGAAATTTGACTTTTTCAATTTTTCAGTGATATCTGTTATTTTCAACTTTTTCAAAAATTTTAAATACTTTTTTTTAGTCAAAAAAAGGTGCAACTTTGCCCCCATTTAAGCTAGACTGTATCCCTCACCGTTATGGAGATCCCAATGATGTACCACGAATTTGAACCACTGTGTACGTTACTTAACATATTTGGGAATATCATTTCTTCCAATCAGTCAAATGTAACAAGGGGCAATAACAGAGCTGCTGTAATAGCATTTAGGTTTTTAGTTCAATTTGATGATATCTAGCGAAATTGCGAATATTGTATGCTTTAACAAAACCCCTGCATAACACGATGGCAATATATATCTACATTTTTCGTAGACATGAATGTTGTAAAATTTTGTTGGGATGGACTTATCAAAATATAAATATATTGTGCCGTAAGAGCGCCCTCTTTATAAATGAAAACGCTTTCAGGAAGAAAAAGAATTAACCGATATGGAAGTATCGTTACATCGCACTAGGAGTTTATTAGGAGAGAAGGTAATAAGACTTAGACACCTCGAGCAATCTTTACAGCGTGCTACAATAACTAGCGATCAGCAAAAGGGGGAAGACGCGACGCTTAGCGATTTATCGTCGCACAGCGCAAGTTCCGGAATTAGCTCCACCGAATTTGCGACGGCCGACTCGCCCGCTCTTAGAGTTACCCAATTTAAGGAGTCATCCGAAATTATTCAAAGTCTCGAAAATCTTAATTCGGAAATAAGGGAAATATGGGACGTACTAAACAAACAGCATCAGGCCAGTAGTATCGCAACAGGTAATTTGCATTCTGTATTCTACCAAGCAGTACATTGACGGTTTGTAGTGTTTCCTCCGTTGCCGTTGTTATACCCCGACCTTGGCTGGCCGCTGTTAGCCGGAGCTGCTCCGGTTCCACCTTCCATTCCCACCCTTGCAGATCGCTTGCAAAATTATCGACAGCACATCGCGCTCGCCAACGCTCAAAGTACAATGGTAACCCACGATACGCAGGGGGCGACCACGACCTTGGTTGAGAAGACGCGAAACCTGAGGCAATGGTTGAGGCAAACGACCATTGACAGTGCTGTAGATGGTGCCGCGCCTCAAGCAACTCTGTAACTGGTTAAAACGTTGTAAGAATTTTGTTGTTCTCGTTAGATATCTATCGATAGAATTGTTCCCAACTTATTCAATAGATGTCATTCCTTGCTATGGAAATCTAGATAGCTGGTTATTATTATTACCGGTTATCTAGGGCATTACAACCTTGCCCTTTTTAAGAGGCAGGCTTAATTAGATTCATAATAGACAAACCTTATACCTACAATCTCTGTCATTGTGCAAATTAGATTGCCTCTAGAAATTCATTTGCTGTACAGTACCTATACATATATAATATATTATGCAAATCATATATAAACCTGTTGAGCCCTTCAATTATATCTGAACATTGTTAGTTATTGAAAGTTTACCAAATTACTTGTTAGGTACTATATTGATTATGAACTGGGTTACCTATAGATATGTTCGGAAGTTCAATTCAGATTCTACATGCTCTTTTGTATAATTGAAATTCATTCAACAGAATTTCGAGAACTTTGTGTTATGACCTATTTTAAGCTTTGAAAAACACAGAGTTGGCATATTTCTATTGAACAGAAATAAAGTCAGGATACATGTTGAAAGCAGGTGCAGTGTTGACAAGTACACTATGCTTAATTGTATATTATATACCGCGGGACTGAAGTAGTACTTTTAATCCCGAAGGTAAAGTTTATGGCCCGACCGAAGGGAGGGCCATAATTTACCTGAGGGATTAAGACCACTACTTCAGTCGCAAGGTATATACGATATTTTTCGTACTTCCTAAACTGAAACACTAAAATCTGTATGGAGTTAGAGAACGCGTTCTTTCAAAAAATCGCTGCGTAACAAGTTACCATAGGAACGTTGCGTTGGCGTTGGTACGACAATCCCTATGCTATGGTAACAAAAATAATTTGGAAACTGTCATTGCTAGTGTCATAATGTTGGTGGTAGGGTGTATTTGATATTGATAAAAAGCAGCCAAAGTAGGTAAAGAATTGATACCACCGAAATCCAAAAAACTATATGAGCAGCAGTACGATGCGTTTAAGAAGTAGTGCCGCATACAAAATGTGAAACAACGTACTGAAATTGCCTTGTTAGTAATTTCATCCTTCCGGGATTTTCGTCCAAATTTAATCCCGGCGGGACAAAAAGTGACACTTCAGTACTTGTCATAACGGAGTGAAGTTGTCACTTTAGTCTCGGAAGTACGAAAAAGTAACATATGACAACAGTATACAAATTCTCACCACATGCCAATGTTGTAGATAGTAGAATGTACCTACATTTTCTACTTCATGCATTTCGGACAAAAAGTACCTAACTGAGAACGATGTATTGCAGGTACTGTCACTGTATCAGTCGTATCATTCACATTTAATGAAGTGGGCGATGTCGCAAAGTCTTTGTGATTGCCAGCGTGTCACGTTTTTGCACCGATTTTTTCATAAAAGTTGTTTTGTCGTTTCCATTTCCCATGCCATCACCTTAAAATTCAAATTTAAATCTTGATTTTCGAAGAGAAAGGCAGATGGGAACTAAACACCCTCACATTAGTAAGGGAGGTAGTTTGTAGTCAAAGTCGCGCAGGTGTGTGGGTAGTATCTGTGCTAGTCATCACAGCAAATTTTCTTGTTTATACAACCATCTTGGAAACACAAAAACACTAGTATTGACTTTAATATAGAAACATGTTGCGGAACAATGGTATATTGGTGAGTGAACTACTTGGAAATTGAAAAAATATCAGCGTACTTATACTATTATACAGGGTGTCCATTTTTCGGGTGCCACTATGGGGATCTCGCTTATTTTAAGAGATATAAAGTTTGTTAAACGAGGGCAAAATGGCGATCTAAAAAGAAATGTTGAATATATTGACTAGTTTTGAAAATACCGCGAAATAATTTTTGACTTTCGTTTTCAATTTTTTCATAATAAACTAATTGTACTAGATATTTTTAGCCAAAACATTCAGACACTTTTTTATGGAGAATTCGAAAATGGGATCCTGTTTTTAATAATTTTCAAGATGGCGGAGAAACACGTGACAACCCTATTTTTCTTATGGGCGCCATTTTGGATTTTGACATTTTTTCAATTTACAACGATCTATCGCACGTGGTGGTTCAGAAACGCATTTTTCCTAAAAATACAATTTTTCACTTTTGGTGAAGAGTACTTTGGAAAATAATTCAATTAGAACATAATACATAAGAATAAATTATATAACGATTGAACATTACAACATGTGTTCAAATTACCCGCCTCCCTAATTCTATAAGCACAGTACATACCAATCTCTTCCTAAGATTTGCTACGGCTCTTGCAGTGGCGGCTCGTGAGTTCTGAAAGAGGGTAGTATAAGTAAACACAAATTGAATGTTTGAAATGGTATTTTTCTATCATAGAAGTGACAGCAAATTTCGAAATTTAAATAGTACACCCTGTATATTTTTACATTTTTTGATTCTACAGACTGTTCTCTATCTGATATGTTGTGTTCATAATTACATTCTGTTTTTTAATCTAGGTGATAATAAATTTTGCCTATTTTATTCAATAATAGAACAACTTTCAGGTGTTAAATTGTCTGTAAAATTCCAACATGTAAAAACATATATACAGGTTGTACCATTTAAATTTTGAAATTTTTGGTCACTTCTGGTAACTGGAATAATAATATCATCCACTAAAATTATATATCCCATCACCAAATTTTCCAAAGTCGAGTTTGGTTTACAAAATTATAATCCATATAAACAAGATACGATTTCAGTGGGGGAATTTTTTGCCACTCAGCTCGTATTCAGAAACTGATCCTTTAACTTGTAGAAATCGATTGGCGAAGGTTTGACATCGCTGTCTCTTTTCGTTAGACAGTAGATGTAAAAAAACAATTTTTCTTTTATCTGTCATTTTACATCGCAATATGACTCATAAATGGCGCCAAAGCGAGATCTATTACGGCTCTAGAAGAATCCAAACCGTTGGCTTCGGGCAAAAGGCGAAAAAATAGACGGTCAAACGTATCAATTACGTATGCCTGCGAAGGTTTCTGATCTACTAAAACACTTCCTGAAATTCCAACGGGAACGGGAACAGGAAAAAAACAGGATTTTATGTTTTACAAAAGAGAATTGACATTTAGAAGGTAGATTGTCTTTGAAAGCGTTAAGGAGCAGTACTCCAAAAGAGACTTCCCGAAGTTTCGAAACAGACAGACGGACAAAATGTAAACAATATGACATTTTTTTAATTCTTAAAAAATGCACCAATAAATAGGGTAGGTATAGTAGAAGGAACTAAAACAAACATTTTTTCCAAATGAACTACAGTATACAAAATCTTTCATTTGAAACTTAGAAAATTTAACTGATATTCTTACATATAACTCTCGCCATGAAAGATTCACCTTGTGTCAATTTACAATCTATGTTTTTTTTTAAGATGCGAGCGACTTCCGGAATAGGATTGTACCAATGTTGAACGACAAGACTTTTTGTTCAACATTGGCAGGATCCTATACCGGAAGTCGCTCAAATCTTTAGAAAAACGCAGATTGTAAACCGGGATCAGGTCTTCTGTGACCGGCAATCTTTCCTGGCGAGAGGTTTATAGGTTTTTGGTCATTCATTTTTAATTTTCAAATTTTTTCTAAAATCATCATAGGAACCTGACGCATACCTGAAGGAAATAAACAAAAATTCTGCTTGTAAGAAGTTTTCTCGTGGTCTAAGTGCTTATTTCACAAACTCTTGGTGAGACAGAAATCATGCACTATTTTCTAAAGATAATGGATTTAAACAATACCAGCACATGCACTATCATGATTTTTAGTTGAAATAATGGGCGCATAACTTTAAAACTAGAAATGTGGCGATATGTTTTCCAGTCAACAATTGCATTTAGAATTTTTCGAGTTTTCAGAAACTGATTTTAAAAATCATTATCACATGGAAAACCTTACAGGTAGATATACTAAACTTTAGGTTTTTTCACACACCTCTTAAGGCAGTTTTGTAGCAGGACTGATGCACAGTACACAGAAAAAAAAACAAAAGTTGGAAACTGTGGGTTTCATCAGGATGGTGCATCCGCCCACAACGCCCTAATCGTGTGACAGTGTGTAAGTACTTTTTTTACGGGCCATATAAAAATTAAACTTGATAATGATTTCTCCGAAACGATACGTTGCATTGAAAATTTTAACAGTGTCTTGTAGAGCTCAAAAAGGGGAAATGAAAATGTGTTTTCTACTTTTTTAGCGTATTTTTCTCAATGTGAAAAATCGCTATTGGCTGCCACTTTGACGTCCGTCACACGTACTCCTTCTACACCACTGAACCGAATTGGTCGATATAAGACTCATTTGAAACGGCTTGGTCCAAGGATTCCGTGCATACCAATATTTTTTGGTTTTGCGCATGCGCGTGTCAAAAATTTGGTTTAACGCATGTTCGAGGCTAACTTCTTATTTATGAAGATATTTAAATGAAACTTTATATGTAAACATTACAGTAAACAGTAAAATTAACCACATTTTCAAAATGTTGTTTTGCGCATGCGCAATGCCAAGTTTCTTTTTTCTGAAGGCAATTAATTAAATGCAATTTTATACACAGGCATTTGGCATAAAGACAAATCTAACACCAGTTGCAAAATTTGGTTTTACGCATACGCAACGCCAACTTCCTTATTTACTGAAGCATTTAAATTAAATTTAATACATAGGCCCTTGGAATAAAAGCAAATCTAGCACCAGTTTTAAAATTTGGTTTTGCGCATGCGCAATGGCAACTTTCTTATTTATGAAAGCAGTAGCAGTTAAACGAAATATCATATGTAGGCGAAACTAAAACTAATACCGGTTTCAAAATTACTCTTTACGCATGCTGTATGTTGGATTTATGAAGGTATTCAATGAAATTTCTAATGTAGACAATGCGCAGTGCTATTTACGAAAGCATTTAAAAAAAGTTTCGTATGTAGCCACTTCAAATAAAAGTAAAACTAATGCCCATTTCAAAATTAGTATGTATAGTTGTATACGCTCCACTATTTTTCAGTAAACTGTATCGACTTTGACGACAGGCGGCTCATTTGAAAGAGAATGGGGTAAGGATCTCGTGCCTACCGGTATTTTTTCCTGGTCCTAGCATTAATATTATTAGGAGGAAAATACGCTCTCGTCATTTATGTTTGCATAATGACTTTTTAAACTTGTATACTTATATTCAGTTCTCTACTTGACAATTGACATGTGTAAATATCTTCAGATAATACTACACGAATAAACTTTATTATTATTATTATATCAAATAACATCAGAAAAAATTAAAAAGAAATCACAAAATTCCTGCTTTTCTGGCATATCTTCGGAAGTAATCGGAATTTTTTGGTATTCTTCAAAGTAAATAGCTCTTTAATTGTGCATCTTTTCTCTACTTTGACCATCGTTGTATCTTCTATGGTTTTGGACCATGATAGACATCCTTATCTTGGACACAGTGTATTTGTTATTTTGTGTGCATTGGTGTCAGAGCTGGGTGGAGCGTTCTAAAAAACCACTCGAGCGACGAGCGATTTAATCGTCTCAAAAATGCTCGCGCGCATCGAGTTGTTTTTCAAAGCGAAACCGCTTGCGAGTTCCGAGCACTCCTAAACGTGCTCGAGCGAAAAAAGCGCGTGGGAGCGGAAAAAACGACTCGGGAGTAGAAAAAACGCTCGCGAGTGGCGCTTAATCCTTCAGCGCTTGAGGGCGGTTAAAAACGCTCACGAGCGAAAAAAGAGGTTGCAAGCGGAAAAAAACCGCTCGTGGGCAGAAAAAAAAAGCGCTCGAGCGCCGAGCACTTTAAGTACACGCTCGACCACCAAGCGGCCGCTCCGAAAAGTGCTCGCAAGCGCTCTTTCCGCATGGAGCGCTTTCGCGAGCAGTACCCACCTCTGATTAGTGTTTGGGGGTGATAGTCCAGTCAAAATAGACATATTCATCCGAAAACCTGGAAAGGAAGGTAAAGCAGACTCAATCAAAAATTAAAAAAATTAAATAAATAAATGTAGGTACTTATTTCTATATATATACCTAATCTATTTGTGTAAATTTATTTTTAAATCCAACGAGATGGTTAATTTTCAAAAATTACTAAAAACACGAAAGTTTAAATTAGTGTATCTACTAACCTAAACTATACATGTTAGGGGGGTCAAATGAAATATCAAATTAAAGGTACTTTTATACACTACAATTTTGAATAAAAGATGATTTCACCTAATTATTGCCGTTAGCGAGTTATTGCAGAAAAGCCGAAAAAAGTCAAACATCTTTGCAGATTTTTGACCACAGAAATTTCTCCTGAGTTCATTCGCATTGGCAAACTTAGATTTTTCTCTCTTTGTTATTTAAACAAATCGAAAAAATAAAATCTTCTACCAGACCTTTTGTAACCATAAGTACAAATTGACTGGACTATGAGACTAAGATAGTAAAAATACTGTGATGCCTACAGTAAAATAACTTCAAGCTAAGGGTGCAATATTTTGAACATGCTGTATAAAATTAAACCTCTATACCTACAGCATTAAAGTTGTCGCCACCAATGAAAATTGGACATCCTTCAAAACACATTCAGGCAATCTGCTGAACTGAGGTCGAACTTTTAGGATAAAACCGACCCCAAGTGTTAATATTTATTAACCCTCAATTGCTCTGCTTTAAAAGTATTAGTATCTGTATAAGACAATAGCTCTATTTTATGGAGCCATGATTTGAAAGTAAAATTGTTTTTCCGAACATATCTCTAATTATGTCTCAATTGAATGCGTCAAATAATGCTAGTCATTTTATTAAAAACAAAGGCAGGGAGGAAAATTTTTGGAGCAGTTTTATTATAAAGAAACGTTACGGCGGCCTTTTAAAAAAATAAGACGAAGCAGGGATTAATCTAAAATCATTATTATGTGATATTTTATGGTGGGGAGGTACTAGTAACTCACATACACTTAAGTTGTCATAGATTATGCAGTTTTCCGAACTGCCTCACTCAATTTGCTAGTTTACACATATGCCAGTGCCAAAAGAAAATAGTAGTAGCAGTTTGTTTTTAGATTGTACAACACATGAAGGATAAAGGCTGATAGAAACTTCTATTATCTCTCTATAAGACTTTAGTAGAACTTCTTACGTAATGTGTTTAATTCCCGTCCATTATGTTCTAGTCATTTACTTGTAAGCACATTTTATTGTTAACGATGTTAAGCACAAAAATGAAATAAAAATCGTAGACTTAAAACTTAAATTTTATTTAATTTTCAATGTTTACAAACTGAGGATTGCAGCAGTTTGCTTAACTTTACGCTCCTTAGCTTTCACTTGTGCAGCAATACGATCCAAGTCTCGTCGTCCCTGCGAAGTCAATTTACGTCCACCGTCGGCAGACACTTCGATTAACTTAAGCGCTTCTAAACTTTGCAGTGCTTTTCGTGCGACACTACCGCCGGATCGACAGAAATGGGAGGGCATTGTACCATTGCGTTTACGGCTACCAAAAATTTTGGTTACCGTTTTAACACCAATTGGTGAACGAATGTAAATGTGACGCACTAAGGCTGCGCAGCGGATGTAGTACCAATCGGGATCATATGGAGCCAATTCCTTCGCTCGTGACGTCTTAACTAGATCCACCCATTCTGGTATCCTCAGCTTACCAGTTCTAAAATGCAAAGTGAATTGCTGCTTCTTGTGAAGCTTTGCACTTACTTCTTTAAGAAAGCTGCAAACGCTTTCACGAACTGATGCTGATCAACATCTTTAAGTGTAACGGAAGGCATTTTCTGAAAAAGAAATGTGAAAGATGGATATCACACGTGTGATTGGAATTTGAGGTTAGACACTTCCTTATGTTCCTAATTAACAAAGCGTGATTTTCAAATAGAGAAATGGAACATACTACATGTTTTACATTATAACTATTCGAGATATATGCAAAAACAATTTAGAGAATTACTTACTTGAAAACTTACTCGCTTACAATAGAAAAGGCGATACAAAAAGACACCACTGAAGTTAAACGCAGAGAAGTCGGACTACGGCACTACCAAAAACTGACAAACAAGCGCGCCAACATTGAAAAATAAAATCCCCTCTTATAATTCAAATCAATCAAATATGTGCTTTCGTAGTTGGGAATCTAGTTCTAAAGTCAAACGTCTGACCATTATTTAAATTAAAGGATTTAAGCAATGGTCTGACTCTGATGAAACATAAAAGCTCAAACAAAAATCGCAATGTGATACTAAAATTTTTCTTATACAGAGTAAGTCAATATAAATGGATTAAGCGTGCGAAATAACGGAATCGATTGTGTATGACCGTTGTCACAAAAATCAGCTGTCAATATACCCTTTTTTAACTGTATAAGTATACTCGTCAAATTTCTAGGCGTTTTTACAAATTGAACTTAGTTTTTTTAAGGCTTACAAAAATACCATTTTGATTCTCTCGCCAATCGATACCGTATGATAGTCATAAATTCAATGACCGTATCATAGACATATAATACTCATATGTCTATGGACCGTATACGTTTTACAATTTCCCTGACGAAATTGATATAATAAAACCAAGTTTTATGAGTTGTAATGCTACTGTAACACAATCGGTTAATATTTGGTTTTCAGCAGCACTTCTCAATTCTCAAATTGTATCCATAACATAGTACAAAGTTGTGACGTTGCACTGGTAAATGTTGTCAGTGTCAATGAAAGAACAAACAAGTACCTATAAAATAGGTTAGGTGTTCTAGTTTGTTTACGAAATTCCAACATGTGTGATTGGTTGCGAGCCTTGACATGCGGCATTCAAAAGTACAGAATAACCACAGAAGAAAAACCTTCATCCTGCTAAATTGTTGAGTGCTACCAATTCAACTTACTTAAGTATATCATTTTGGTACAAGCTGGACTAAAATATACCATTATAGAAAGGATCTATTTGCTGTATTTATTAACGAGCTCCTAGCGAGTTTATAATTTTGCGGTGTCTGTCCGTCTGTTAGCACGATATCTCAAAAACGAATGAACCAATTACGATAAGATTTAGTAGATGGATTCATTATCAAATTTGTAGATCGGAGTTCTTGAATTGGCAATATAGTCCAAAAAATAAGGAAGGCCCTTTTGACATCTCCGTGAGTTATGAACCGAATTGCATGAATATCAATATGCGTATAGCTTTAGCTATATAAAACGCTTTCCAAAAATTGAGCCGAATCGATCAACATTCACAATGCCCTTTTCACATCTCAACCATTTATAAACCGAATTGCAAACTTTTTTACTTATGAAGGTATTTAAAGGAAATTTGATACAAAGCCACTTGGAATAAAATCAAATTTAACGCCAGTTTCAAAATTTGGTATTGCGCATGGGCAGTGCGAACTTTCTCATTTATGGAGGCATTTAAATAAATTTTGATACATAGCCAAGTGGAAACCAAATTTAACGCCAGTTTAAAAATTTCGCATTGCGCATGCGCAGTGCCAACTTTGTTATTTATGGAAGGATTTAAATGAAATTTGATACATAGCCACTTGGAATAAAAGGAAATTTAACGCCAGTTTCAAAATTGGTTTTGCGCATGCACAGTACGAACTGTCTTATATATAGAGGCATTGAAATAAATTTTGATACCTAATAGCCACGTGGAATAAAACCAAACTTAACGCCAGTTTCAAAATTTGGTTTTGCGCATGGGCAGTGCGAACTTTCTTATTTATTGAGGCATTTAAATAAATTTTGATACAGCCACGTGGAATAAAACCAAATTTAACGCTAGTTTCAAAATTTCGCTTTACGCATGCGCAGTGCCAACTTTCTTATTTATGGAAGGATTTAAATGAAATTTGACACATAGCCACTTGGAATAAAAGCAAATTTAACGCCAGTTTCAAAATTTGGTTTTGCGCATGCGCAGTGCCAACTTTATGGAAGGATTTAAATTTAATTTGATACATAGCCCATGGAATAAAAACAAAAGTAGCGCCATTTTCCAAATTTGGTTTTGTGTAGGATGTACAGTGCCAACTTTCTTATTTATGGAAGCAATTAAATGAAATTTTATACATATATACTTTAAATAAAAACAAAACTAACATCAGGTTTAAAATTTGGTTTTGCACATGCTATAGCCATACCCATCAGGAGCTCGTTTTCTATATTTGTTTAGTTTATTTGTGCGTAAAGTCTCGTGTAAAGTATATTAAACATGCGGGTTATGTGATTGTATGCCTAATAAATAACAGACTTCACCCACTTCTGCTCAAAAATTGAAATTTATTTTGTCAAATTTTTCAGACTAACAAAAATTTTTGAGCATCTGAGATTAGTACAAAATTCTGATACAAAATTTGATATATAAACATCTTTCTCTGACTTTTTACTCTCAAACACCATTACAAGGTATATATTTAACTCCACTGCATACAGAGTGTACGTGCATTGTTCCTGAAAAATCAGAGAATAATATCAACTACTATCATTATAGACTTAAAAATTTACCTGCGTACTGTACTTGTAAATTATTTTATCATTATTGAGCAATTCACTGGATGTATCTGCAATCATTTTCAGTATGGTTTCATGTTGTGGCGGTGCTTTCTGAAATGGAAGTAAAGTCAAGCAGTTAGTTTTGAGTTCATGTTTACCAGAGGGCAGGATACAATCACAGGAAAACAGTCGCATTGGTTAGTATCACAACATACTTGATTATCTGAAATTAACAACACTGTGCTCGAATCGTATTTCTTCTGAAATTGAACCATCCTAAAAAAATCTGTTATTAAATTACAAGCAAATAAATCAGGATATGAATAATTTACATGCGATAAAAAAAATTAAGTGAAAAGTAATAGAACATCCTGCATTTTTACCTTTGGTAATAATCATTCTGCAATTTAGAGCACAGTTGTTTCATTTCACTTAGCGTTGTCTGTTGTGCCAACGTATCATGAAAATATAAACTAAATTTACTTAAGACGGCACCTTTAAATCGCACTAGCCACTGATAGAGGAGCGGTAGCGGATTATTCTTTAAGAAACCTAATTTCCATGTCTACAAAAAAAATCCAAGTTAACTTGTTCCTTGAAGGCAGTAATAATACCTCTCGATTTTGCATTTTATTTTCCCACGCGGAAAGTCTAGTTTGTGCTCCATGAATTAACGCTAAGGACGGCAAGAACTGCAATCTTTGCAGTTCGGTTAATGCTTTAAAAAGTTGTTGTAATATTTCGCATTCCAAACTAAAAATGGCTTTCATAGGTGTTAAACCTACTTCTGTAAACGAATGGGAATATTTGTCAATTATAACTTCTATTTGTGCGAGGAAGTCACTGTATTGTAAAAATCTGTTGGAAGCTGTCATATGTATTTTATCATAACTGTAAAAGTTTAGGAAGATATTAAGACTATTCAAAACTAGTTAGAAAGTCAAATGTTGCCTAGATCTCTTTACAAGGCAGGTCCGTGCATCTGCCAGCCACTATCAAAAAATAAAATTATAGCTCTTGTTGTTTAAGTATTTGGTTTTTAACCCTCCCGGTTTTAGACAACGGGTGTCAACTTCCCGACAGTAGCCTACTTAAAGAATCAACTGAACAAGCTTTTTTTGTTAACTCAGTTAAGGATACAAGTCGATTAAATTAATGCGAGCTGTTAAAAATTGTGCCAAACGTTTACAATAATTTATCACGTGTTCATCGTGTTGATTACAATTTTCTTCGTGTCGTTTGATATCCGATTTCAACGATTCATAAATAGACCTCAAGGAGTTCTAAAAGTAATACATAATAGGAACGCAGATCAGTTTATACCCACAAACATCTTTCCGAAGGAAACTCTTATGCTTATTTTGCAAAAATCCAATCTCGATGTAACTTTTTTCCGCTAGAATTATTTGTGGTAGGATGTTTAAGAATATTGTCCATGATGGGGAGTGAGGTCCAACATTTGAAACTCCTTCTCGTTCTTTTTCCTGGAGAAATTTATTGGGGAATGTTTCAAACTTACTCAGGAAACGCTAATGCTTACAATATGTTCTTTTGCTTTATCAAAACATAACTGCGATATGTGCGTAAAGAAATTAAACAGAAATTCATCTTCTTTTTCCATTTATTTTTATTTTCAGGTTAAGTATGTTTATGTTTTGTGGTTATGTTCATGGTGGTTATGGTACGCACCGTGATCGTAAGTGGCGAACAAAATATGGTACAGGGTGAGTTAACGAAAGCACGGAGTTCTATTACTGTTCTAAGGAAGCATTTGTCGAGATTGCGCTATTGTATGATAATATGGTATAATATTCTGCATATTTTAAACATATTTTCAATTATAAAGATTGCGATCAAAAAGCAGAAGACTAAGGGCCGGTTGTACAAAAGCAGTTTAACCTCGCTTGGAATTAACCAGTGGATTATGGTCTAAGATTGGTTGAAATTTGATAAAACGTCAAATTTCAACCAATCATATGTCTTAATCCATTGCGTTAATCTAAACGAGGTTTAAACTGCCTTTGTGCAACCGGCCCTAAAAAGTTGCATTTTTAAAATACATCGCCCTGTAAAACGAGAGATATACGAATAAAGAATTTAGGCCTGTACAGAAAATACACTATAGATATAAATATTGGATAATGGATACACTACATACGTATGTGGGGTTAACTAAATTCTAAATAAATGATGTGAAATCAAAATTTAAGAAGTAATTTTCACGATACACAAAGCTTGCTAATGCGATTTTTTATTATAAATCCGATTTTCTTTTTGTTGGTTTTACGTATACTAAAAAAGAAGTAGAATTTCCTGTAGAAATACAAATTGAAACTAAAAACAAGGTGTCCCTTTTTAAAAAACTGAAACTCTATGGTCCCATACTTTGTGATCGCACCCTATATAATTCAAAATATTCTTAACGTATGCAGAACATTCTACCATATTATTGTACAACACCACAATCTCGACAAATCTTTCCCTAATGACATAATAGAATTCTGCACAATCTTTGAATCACCAGGTACATGATCGGTGGGTCTCGCGATAAATTGAAGCATAGTGCTAAAAAGAGTCGGATTATAAACCGCGTTTGGTAATTTTAAGTAACCGATACAACGAAGTTCCGCTTCCGAAGAACCAAACAACTATTTTTATACAGAGTCACTTTTTTTATACGGGGATTTCGGAAAGAGATAAGAATTAGGTTAAATGAGGAAAAATATTAATATATGTGCCTGATTCAAAATACCCTTTGTTTTTTCAAAAATATTCATGGCTTGTTAGATATTTTTATTTATGAATGCTCACGGAGGGTAATGTAGGGGAGAAAATCTGCATCACATCTCCAATATACAAAAATTAACCATCCGAGGGGCGACGAAGCCACTTTTGAATTTCAATCTGACGTTAATCTAATCCATCATTTGATAATCCAAAGAATGGCCAGCTCAAATAGATTTCAAAGCAACTCAATGCCTTAGAAGAAATAGAACTATACGGACTGGATGCAGAAAGCAGAGACGCTAAATTTTACCAAGATTCTAATGAACTGAACAAGATGCAAAATCAGCAAAGCTAAATCAAAAAATCATTTTCTTTATATACAGTCTATCATTTAAAAAAAGTATTAATTTTTTTAACGTTTATTAATGAATAAGGTATTTATGGTATGGCACTTTAGTTTTTATGTGCACATATTTGGACTGTCAGTGGGCTCCAAATGGCAGACGAGCCTGCTCCTTAATATAGTACTATAGTTTTTATACATACTAGACGCACGGGCCTCTTAAAAAAAGCGGACCGTGACTAGACGACGTCTAGGGACCTTCCCCTTTAGATCTTAGTGTAACTGGAGACACTGACACTATCTTCGGCCGTTATTTAGACACTTTGTAGACGTTAAGGTAGTCACACTGGAATTCTTCACTTCCGAATGCTTTTTTTGTAAATAAAGTCATTTAATTTAAGTTGATTAAAGTTTTGTATTCATTTGTAAACCGAATTAATTGTGAAAAGTATGACTACCTCCAGTGAAGAAATTTTATTGCAAGTACCTCATGTTCGTTATAAAAAAGGGGATGGTACATTATATTTAATGGACCAGCGGATTGCATGGATGATGGAAAACAGAGATACGGTTTCAATTTCCCATTTATACTCGGACATAAAAAGTACACATACAATTGAAATGTTTTTTTGCGCATACTTACACATTTGTATGTTGTAGCACAAAAGATTTCTCCAGAAGGCAAGGCGAAGGTACAATTGCAGGTTGTTTTGCATAGTGGGGTGTCTTCTACCTTTCATTTTATCAATAGAGGTGGTATCCAGGAACAATCCGCAGATCGGGATCGAGTAAAGGAACTATTACAAACGCTTTTGCCAAAGTTCAAACGAAAAGTATGTGCAATTTTACAATTAGTTTGTTGTTAATGCTTGTTTAGGTCGATAAAGAATTGGAGGAGAAAAATCGATTGCTGTCTACCAATCCTACCTTATTGCAGCTTTACAAAGACTTAGTTATGACAGAGGTGGTAACGTCTGAAGAGTTTTGGACTCACCATGCTGTGCAATATACGCAAGCACAAAAAACGCAGCAGCAAGCTATAGGTGCGAACCTACACTTGTTGTACAATTGTTACGTATTTGGTTTTTTTAAAGGTGTGTCTGGAGCATTTTTAGCAGATATAAAGCCACAAACGGATGGTTGTAATGGTCTCAAGTATAACATAACTGCAGATATTATCGAGTGTATATTTAAAACATATCCTGCGGTGCAGAAGAAATATATTGAACATGTACCTGCCAAATTGTCGGAGGCGCAATTTTGGACGAAATTCTTTCAGTCACATTATTTTCATAGGTAGGCATTGTAATAAATGCAAAAATATTGAGAAAATTATATAATAAAAAGATAGTTGAACATCTCACAAATGGCTCATAACAGCAGTTAATTCTGAACTATGCTATATATGAAGTTCTCCATTCCAAAGCATAAACAACGGGCTCAATCATGAACTAGTGATTTTTGTTGTCTCATTAAATTTTCAGTTTTAGAAGCTTCTCCCATTTAAGTACCAAAATTGTGTCGACACCTTAGAGATAAGATTTTTAATTCTTCTACAATCTACCTACATGATTATGGCCAGATCATTTTAAAACCAAAAGTAACATTAGTTGTGACAGTGATCAGTTAGGGACTTATTATAAATATCTCAGTTCTTGTTTTGTAGGATTTCTCCAGAGCCATTTTATTGAGTTATATCTAATTTTTTATTTTGTAGGGACCGAAAGTATGTCGAGAGTAAAGATCTCTTTACCGAATGCGGAAAAATGGACGATCAAGAAATGAAGAAAGACATTCAAACCGGTGTAAAAGATCCGTTAGTCGATATAACGACATTTGTAGATAAATCGTTGGACGAATGTTACGGTATGGAAGTTGAAAAGACGCCTGGTAGCAGTGGGACTGTTAGCCAGGCAATGATCAAACGTTTTAATCAACATTCGATTATGGTACATTTCGATGATCGTCGATTAAGTCATTTTAAATTCTGCTTGTAGGTGCTCAAAGCCTCTAAAAATAAACACCCAGAACCGGAGAGCTCTGATTCTTCTCCGAGCAATGTAAAAGGTGTGGAAGTATCCAGCAACAGTATTAGTAACGGGATAAGTAGCGCGGATGACGCACATGTTAATAAAAAAATTAGGATACAAGAAAAAATTACATACGAAGATTTAGATTCAAGTAATGACACGAGTAATGCTTCGAAGTCCATTTTAAATTTATCAAAGGTATATAATTGTGTTTTAAAAGATGGACGCTTGAGGCGTAGGTTTGACTTTGAAAACAAGACAATGGAGTATGTGTTACCCCACATCACTAAACATATTCCTAAATTACTTAAAAACTCTAGATTAACCTATCTGAAGTAATAAATTTTGATGTCTTCTCAGTCTGAGTTTTTAATTAAATTGTATATAAAATATTAGTATACACTGTGTCCATGATCAAGATATCTATCATGGGGATCTCAGAAACAATAGAAGAGTAGTGGTCCGTAAAAAAAGTACATACTGATTGAGTAGCACTTTATTATGAATAGAGCACACAAAAAAAAACGGAAACTGTTGGTTTCAACAGGATGGTGCACCCGCTCACAATGCCCAAAAATCCTGTTGAAACCAACATTGGTTTTTTTTTAATGTGCCTAACATCGTTGGTTGGATAGTAATGACTAATCTAGGGTAGAAATGGTGTCCAAGTTTCTGTCAAGGTCAAACTTAGGTACGCCACAGCCGTCTGTTTGGAATTGACTCATTTTACATTTTTGTTTAGGTAGAACGATATTTGCATGGACCAATGCCAGGATCGAACGCCGAATATTTAAGTGTAAATGACGCCTCGTCGATAAATCGAAATATATTAAACGAATGCAAGCAATGGCAAGGTGGACGGCAACAGACATCCAATTTAGTTAGTCCGGCCGCAGCTGTAGGCGCGTTGGGTGAACTTTCACCTGGAGGTGCACTCATGAGAGGTTTTCAGGAACAGTCCTTAGCCCGTACGTTGATTTTTAGAATCCATTCATTTTAGTAACTATGGGGTTGCAGAGTTGGTACCGTCTGATATAGAAAAAGAAGTTAGAAATTTATATCTGTCCTTATCAGAACTATTGAATCATTTTTGGAAGTGTTTTCCACCTACAACAAGTACGTTAGAACAGAAAGCTGTTAAAATGCACGAAGCGCTACATAGGTTTCATGGTACTAAAGTTAAACCGTTTGAGGTAGGTGAAACTGATTGTTGCAAATTACTATTGAATTGATCTTTTTTAGGACAAGTTAATTCGTGAACTCTCTCCATTGTCGTATCACCTAACGAAGCACTTAAATCAGCTACTTAATGTTGCGTATCAAAAATTTAATAATTGGCAGAAAATGAAAACATTACATAGGTAGTAGTATTATAATACGCAGTGAGATGTGGTTCCTTTATTGTCTCATAATGGCAACAAATCTAGTTTTTTGCAACATCAGAATGTGGTGTGTAGATACGTGAAATGTGTACTTTTTGTCTTCTTTTGAGTTTTGTTGTATAATATAGTTATGCGTAAATTTCTATGTTGTTATAATATGGTATAAAGAAAAACGGCTGGACTACCTGATTTCTTCCTATTTTATAAAACTAACATCAACCTTTCTTGTAGTCCAGGGAATAGAGGGTTTTAACTTGCAAAATGAGAAGTAGTTCCAATTTCTTTTGCATGTCATAGACAGTCATCTGGTGGTTAAGAATCCAAGTTTTCGACCTCCCACCCCATGTGCTTCCCCCGTACCACCCCTGAAATTTGGTTGGTTTCTTAGTTTTTCAATCATATCTTTTTAATGGTTCACTTTAGAAAAATATATTGTTATCAGAAATTGTAGACCACAATTCTGATATACACTACTTTTTTTATGAAATGTTTATTTAAAAAGATGTAGAGCTTGAGAGTTGCTTATATTTTTAAGAATTCTAAAATTTGTATCCGAATGTTATACTTTATCTCTATAATTAAGAGTTTTATGAGAAAATATCTTGAATTTATGGTGTATAAATCACCCTACATTGCACCCTTACCAAAGGGGATGCATAATAATGAAACTTGCACTCCTTGCTAGTGGTGATATTTGAATCACTGTGAGTTTGTAGAGCTTTCTAATACACGTTTGAAATTAAAAAATTGTCACTTGAATTCAGCTTCATCCCCCCCCCCCCCCGTCGCGTGGCGGTAGGAATACATATTTCAACGCTTTTGTGGCGATTGATAAGTTAGTCAAAGAGTACAACGCTTATTACATATATTTAATTTTTTTGTTTCAAACATATATTAGAAAGCGCTACAACAATCTCACAGTGATTAAAATATCCCCACTAGCAAGGGTTGAAAGTTGAATTATTATGCATCCCCTTTGGTATGGGTGCAGGGTAGGGGAATTTATACCACGATAAGTTCAAGATATTTTCTTATAAAATTCTTCATTATAGAGATAAAATATAACATTTGGTTAAAACATCTACATACAAATTTTACAATTCTTAAAAATATAAGCAACTCTGAAGCTCTATATCGTTTTTAATAAACATTTCACAAAAAAGTAGTGTAGGTATATCAATTGTGTAGAATTTACAGTCTATTTGAGATAGCAACATTTTTTTATAAAGTGAACCTATAAAAAGATATGATTGAAAAAATAAAAAACCAACCAAATTTCTTTGGTTTTAAGGGTGGTACGGGGGAAGCTCAAGGGGTGGGAGGTCGAAAACTTGGATTCTTAACCACTAGATATTCTCCCATGATATGAAAAAAAATTGGAACTACTTCTCGTTTTGCTGGAAATGGTCCATTTTCAGTCTGTATTTCCCGGACTATTGAATTAGGTGAACATTTTGATTTTTTTAAAGTTTTTTTAGGCACTTGCATAATTCTCTATACTATTTCATTTTTAGAGTCTACGTAAAAATAAAAATATGGGGTTTTCATTTAAAAAACACCAGTTTTAAGGATTTTCTCAATTCAATGCTAGTTTTTGAAAGCTCCGTATTTATGTATAATCAAAATACCCACACAGTCCACTAGGGCGGGACTCGTAAAAGAACACCACTCCCAATTGAATAATAGCTCTTGTATAGAAGCTAGGTGTCAAGTAAACTCCTGACTTGACTTTCCGGCGGCTACTTTTACTAGTCATTGCAATTATCTTTCCTCATTGTGTAATATTTAAATAATGCCCTCTGATGCCTTTATTTTGAATCTAACACAAAAAGTGTATTAGACTTTTGTAGATTTCAACAAGACACATCTTTTTTGTAATTAACCATTTTCGGCTCTGGTGCTTTCCAGAAAAATGCAAACTTGGAAAAATAATATAGTTTATTTTTCGTTTGCCTATTATATGTCAATTATATATGTCATATGTGATATATAAAGCAGTCCATTACGCCCAAGGGCATAATGGATTGTCATCTCATTATGCCCTCAAACGCCCTGTCAAATTGATAGAGTTATATTGTGTAATAAAAAAGATGCAACTTGATTCATATGAAGCACTTTAATGTTGGGCAAACAATAATCATGACTCTTTGGAACGATGAAAAATAAAATGTTGTATGCACTTCAGGCATTACTCAATATTTAACCCTCGGGCGACTTACAATCCCTCGGGCTCTATCGCCCTCGGCATAAATATCGCCTTGATGCATAAATAACTATTCTTGTCAATTCACAAAGCCACTTTGACCAGTGTATGCGAAAGAATGAAAAAAAATGTTTCAAGCCATCAAGGTTCTTTTAAACTTTTGAAACCCTTAACAACCATAAAGATGGTTACAGATCAAAATAAGACGTTTTCGCTTCCCATACCAGCATATGCACCCCAAATTTCGTGCGCGTTTTTTAGTTACATCCTGTTCGCAAAAAAAACGAACCACGCAGACATCAAGCTAAACATTTGGGGTCCGTGTACACGTGTACTTCAGATATATGAGAATAACTTCGCTTAGGTCGTCGCCAAATGAGAATAAGTAGATTGGGCGCAGAGTTGAACTGGGTCACTAAATTAAACTGGGTCACTGGGTCACGTCATACTCTTTTCAGTTAGACCCAACTTGACCCAGTGACCCAGTTTGACCCAGCGATTCTGTGATGTTTGCTTTAATACTGCCGTAAAAAACTTTCCATGTATCGAATTGTATTAGAATAATGTTATTTCTTTGCTTCAGGGCTTACCAGTTTGCTTACAGGTGTTCATTCACATTTAATTTTTTTCTACTAGTTAGCTTAATCCAAATAAATCTTTTCTCTAAATACTTTCATTGACTACTTGACTACAAACTATAAACAAATGCATTTGATTTTTTTAGGTATTAGTTTTCTTGAATGAAATTGGGCTACATGCTTGTTGCCGAATATTATTGAGGAAGTTTTTTTTAAAATTAAAAGTTACTTGAAATTGTTTTGGATGATACCTAACAATAATTTAATTACTGGGCCACCGGGTCAGGACGGGTCACTGAGTAAAGATGGGTCACCGGGTCAAGCTGGGTCACCGGGTCAAGCTGGGTCACTGGGTCAAGCTGGGTCACCGGGTCAAGCTGGGTCAAACTGGGTCCACCGGGTCAGTAAACTAACTGGGTCACCGGGTCACTCTATGCTTGACCCAGTCCAACTCTGATTGGGCGACAACCTGCGCGAAGTGTGAATGGATGTTAAGGTAAAACAATAAATTTAATGTAGAGGGACGTGTACATGTGAGGTTCAGGTACGCCAACAACTTGGTGCATGGTCTTATACAGCCCGGTCTTGATGGCCTATTCCTCCATGCTCGCGGTGAGTGTTGGTCCCTTGATGTGGTGCACTAGCAATGCAGCTATGTGACGGCCTTATTGGAGGCGGTAGGAAAGCAAATTTGTATACCTACTTATGCCAGTAGGAGTGTCACAGTTTTATCACCCTAATAGCCGTCCGGTTTATGAACGATTTGTAGGTATTTGAAATGTCTTGGGTTACGGTTTGTGAACATGGGGCTTATACTGTCCTTTTCGGGTTTTAGGTAGAATTCACACCAAAGCAATAGGCAATAAGCGATGCGAGATCCGAGTTGCTCATATTATGCTGTATACAAATGCATTGTGTAGGTTGAGACATTTCAAACCGAGACGACAGCGATATCGTATTGAATAATAGGGTCTGAAATCGGATGATTTGTATTGCAAACGATATTTAGGTTGTGTTGCTAATTGCTTGTTGCGTGAAAATGTAGGAAGAAAAGCAAAATATTCATATCTTTCTTGAAGATAATCGGAGAAACAAGTCTCAGCAAAACTGAGAAATTCTCTTTATTCATCCTGTAGAAACTTTTAAATGTTTCAGGGTCCAAACTCAGTTCTATAGCAACCACAGTCACTGAATGAACTATACTTCTCACATGAAAAGGTCGCACCCAACATCGACGTTTCTTTTTGTTTGCTTTTAATCGTATTCGTCGTAACATGTAATAAGAAATTACGACGTTGTTCACTACGGACATTTTGTATATCGAATGAATATATTGCTTCGATGAGAACAAACGCACGATACGATATTGTATATCGCATGTAGCGTATTGCCTGTTGCCCATTGCTTTGGTGTGAATTCCGCCTTATACCGCTGCAGCAAAACATGGCTCTGAACTGAATTTATCGCGATACGAGATCTTGATTTTTGATACACACATGTTTCCAAGGCAACCCTACAATCTGACCTGAAGAGTAATGACAAACTCGGAATACAATTGGCTGACAACAGTTGAATAATGAAAACATATTGAATAATAGATAACTATCTCAATTAAAAACGCATCAGTATTCTACCTGTTATTTAATATGAGTAGAAAAAACAATTTATTGCATTTTTCACAATAACCATTATACCATGCAATACCCTAACCTACATTAAACATATATTGCAACTTTGACATTTCTTTCGCATGCGCATTATTGTAAGGAGTTTAGGCGTTTTAGCTTAACGTGAAAAACCTCTCAACCTCGCTGGTCGGTGGTTCATAACATAATCCCGTTGATGGTCTGTGACATAATCAACGCCTCGCGCTTATACGATACCTCGCCTGTCCATGATGTACCATAAGCCCTCGGCGTAGGTAATGAACCACTTCCCACCTCCGTATGTAAGCTACTATGACAAAAGGTCATTCTTTTTTATAGGAGAAATTAAGAGAAATGGTTTCATTTAGAGATTGGCCCAGATATATCTAGCCTTATTGCCTTCACTGCCACTTTGAAATAGGTTACCTAATTATGGTAAGTTGCATGACTTAACAAATCGCAAGTACCTACCATTTTTGTGTGCAGCATGCCAATTGTCATCATTGACCAGGATAGCAGCTTCAATGTTTAACATGAATATAAATTACAGTTTAATTTGTGCAGTTCGTAATGGAGATATGGGAAGAGTGAGAAGGTTAATTGATGCTTATGGTCAGTCTGCTTCAAATGCATGGCCGGAAGGTTACGTTTTTCTTCGTGGTGCTATTAAAAATGATCAACCAGAGATTGCCAAATTACTTCTAAATGGTTGCAATGTTATGGTTAATAGTCGAAATACGCTGACGGATACACCTCTTCATTTTGCTGTTAGAAATGGCAACTTAGAAATTGTTGATATGCTTCTAGACAGACATGCTGAAATCAATGCTAAAAATGTAGATGGCACTACTCCACTTCACATTGCTGTTGAAAATGGTCATGAGAATCTTGTTAAGTTGCTTCTGGAACGTGGGGCTGATGTTAATATTGAAGATCGTTATGGTAGAAGCGTACTATATGTTGCTGCTGCAAATAAACACTGCATAATTGTCAGACGAATTTTAGAATTTTGTCCCGATGTGCGCAGCAAAAGTAACAGGACAGCTCTTCATGTTGCAGTGCGGGAGAGGTGTTGCTTGATTGTTGAATATTTGCTTGAATATGGTTTTTATATAGAACGTGAAAATGTAAATGATTATGAACTGCTAGATGCTGCTGTTACGGAAGGATATTTGGGAATTGTTGAACAGCTTTTAAAATATGGTGCTGATGTTGACAAATTAACATATAATAAACTTACACCTTTACATAGAGCGACAGAAAGTAAAGTGGAGGGAGTAGTTAATTTATTGATAAATTATGGAGCTGATGTTAATTATAAAGATATGCATGGAAGAACTGCCATATTTTACGCTGCTAGGAACACAGATTTAAACATTTTTTACCTGCTTTTACCTAATTCTGATACTAGCATTATTGATAAAGATGGACAATCACTATTGCATTTTACAGCTTTGGAAACTGACGAGCTTTCTACTGATGCTGTTGATAATGCTAGGGGAGCAATTGCAAAAATGGTTTTAAGTCAGGGTGCTAATGTAAATGCTCAAAATAGATGTGGTAACACACCTCTTCACATTGCTGTTCAATCAGAATTTGTGCAGGTCATTGAAGCTCTTTTAGAACATAATGCAGATGTTGATTGTTCCAATCAATGGAACAAATCCCCACTTCACCTTTCTGCTAAACAAGGAAATAAAGTAATTACCGAAATGCTTCTAAACAAAGGCGCTAATGTCAATGCCAGAGAAAGAAATGGATTAACTCCCCTTTATAAGGCAATTGAAGGGGGACATAAAAATGTTGTAGAAGTGCTACTCGAACATGGTGCTCATTTGGATTGTATGATCAGAAATAACTTAACACCATTGCTGCATTTTGCTGCTGCTCAGAGATGTTGTGAAATTATTAAAACTATGTTAAAATTTGGAGCTGATGTTAATTCCAGAGATCATGATGGCAGCATAGCACTTCATGTAGCTTCTAGGAACGGACGTAAAGAAATTGTTTTGACTCTTTTAGAATATGGCGCAGACATTAATGTTATAAATAAAAATAATCAGACACCACTAATCGCCGCTAACTGTACTAAAGTGTATGTAATTCACTATAATCTTATTAATGAATGGGACCTTGATATTGATTATGAGCATGATTCATTGGACTTGACTGGTGATATTCTTCAATGCCACATAGTGAAAATGACTACTGCAGGTTTGTATGTAAGCCGAGAGAATTTAGATGCCATGTATCAGTGGTATGGCAAAATGGATAACTTCGAAAATGACTGTGAGCAGGAAATTGTGACCATGAAGAGTGAGAAAATTTACAATACAAACATAACATTTTATGATATATTATCAAAAGGTATAAATCAATTAGTATTATGCATAAGGAACGAACACATTACAAGTGTTTTAAAACCTGATAATATAGGGAAAAAATTTCCATTATATTGTAGCATGCTACAAGATCGTGTCCGAAAAGGTTTGGAACGGAAAAGGTTACTTGAACAAGGTGATAGAATTTTTCAATTCTTACGCAAAAACCTTCCTAGTTTACCATTACCCTGCACAGAAAGAATATTTAGTTATCTGAGTAATAAGGACTTGAAAAATTTCATTGGTGCTGGTGAGTGGTGAGCTCATAATCTGACGTGCCTTTGTGATTCAATCTATATCCTTATGAATTCTTAGTTAGTTTTGTATAATATATGTGCTTTATTACAAAAAATCTAGTGTGTTAAGTTTCAATAAATTTGTTTTCTCTATTTATTAGAGATCCTTCCACATCTTTCTATTAGCTTTGATTTTATGTAGGCATAGTTGCCCCGAGGACTGTAGGTAGTACCATTGTATGTTTATTATAAGTAGGTCAACAGATGCAATAATGGGCTCTACAGTGAACGAGCTCCAATAAAGTTGTGCAACATTCCTGTAGGTTGTAGGTTTATACCTGAACTAAATGAGATGTACTTGGATGAACTGTATATAACTACACTTTTAATAATATAATTTACATAATTGCAATAGTTTCCAAATAAAAAAGCTAGTGCTACTTTGTAACGCAGCAGTATTCAGTGTATTACAGGCGCAATATTACCACACAAAAAACTGTCCTTTTTTATTTAAAATTGTACTTTTGGTTTCAGCCTAACAACGCATACTCTAGATACAAAAAGCAGTCATTTTACTTTGCGTCGGTACTTTGAAGTTTGTAACGCCAAAAAGGTACTGCGCGGACAACCGGCTACGAGTTAAAATGGGCAGATCTCAACAACGCGGGTGTCATAATTTAAATTGAATTGCGCGCCAAAGGAACATTTCTCTTTTTGAAAATATTTTTTTAAATCATAAGTAACCTATTCAATTTCATTTCATTAAAAAAACTGAGTTTTTAGTCTTGGAAATTTTTTTAAAATCTCCAAAGGTGCGGTCGTATGCAGTTTAACTTTATACTAAGGCAAAACAACGAAATTATCCACCATTTTGAAAATATTTTATATCGATTCAGCGTTCAGAGTAACAAGTACAAACTTTCAAAAACCTATTTCACTTTCCCAGAAACGTTTAACTCTCGGTTTAACTAAAACTCCCAAAAAAAACACCCTGTATACATGATTGTATGATGCACAATATAATTAATTACACAATAGAAAAAAATTTGCTGTGGCTAGCAGTACCTGCGCATGCGCGATTCTGCCCAGTTCTGCCTATGAATGTGTACCAAATTTACCAATCGATCAGCAGTTCAGTCGGAAACGAGAAATAAACCGATATAGACATCATCAAGATTTTGTTTGAGTTGGATACCTGATGCTTCAAAACGTGTATTTCCCTTAAGAAAATTGGGAGTCATTTTTTACCCCAACGCAATACCTCCCTTACTAACGTGCGGGTGGTTTTAATTAACAATTTATAGCCTTCAAAACATTCATGTCATGGAAATGCGTCGCAATTTATCTCCATTGACTTTAGTGTCTTTTAGTTTGAGGATTTGTCGAATCGCATTTGCATTTCCTATACAAATGTATATGATGCCTTTAGAAGGATAAGACAAATCCCCTCTATCCTTATAGTTAATAAAACTACCTAATAGATTTTGTCGATCATTATGGTGCTGATTGACAAGTGTCACACCTTAAACTTAATCTTGTTATCACGAAACCAGTACTCCCTGAACAGAACATAAAGAGTAGGAGTACGAAAAAAGGCATGTTCATTTATAGGTAAATTCATATTCACAATATCAGCATCAAATTAAGGCATTCGATACACTAACAGACAACTGGATCATCAAATATTTATCTACTGTAACAGGATGCAGTTGGCTAAACGCTCTAAACCACTACCGCGTGCTTCCGAGCGAGTAAGTATCAGCGTTTAGCACGGAGTTCCTTAACTACGGCAGTTAACTGGGCAATACGCTTTTTCTGGAACCATGTTTTCTTCTGTAGTTGCCTTATTTGCTTAGCCTGTCGAACATTTATCATTGCTAGTCGACTAATCTGTTGCTGCAGCTCAGCTGTTTTCGGGGTATCGCCTGCAGTTGATTTGATTTGTATAATTTTTGGTAGTTCAGATGTCTCCAGAACTTGAGGCTCAACTATAGACACATGACATATGTCTAAAGGGTCAACAGCTTCTGTTTGTTTCCCACTACTTGGAATACCTGAACTAGAAGCTGCAGGAATGGGAACTGGTTGTGCTGATGATTTAATTTTGTCCTAAAACAAATACCCTTTCTAAACATCATGTACACATTGCATGGAACAGTAGAAACATAAATTACAAAGAAAAACACTCGATTGTATCAGATTTTTTTCTTTCTTGTCCCTATTAAGTAGGTACAAAGTAATAAGCTTTTAGGGTTAAAGAATGGAAAATTTGAACTTTGGAATTTTGCCTGAAAATCATATCCTACATTCCAAAAACTGGAATCTATTTAGAGTAACCTTTACAGTTCTGTTTAAGAGTATCAAACCAAAAGGGACAAATAAATTGTGAAGCATTATGGCAAGAAAGTTAATACGTAACGGTGTGTTGGTGTCCCATTTCTGTTTTTATTGCATCATGTATCACAGAACAACTTTATGGCCGTACTTACATATCTATGCCGTTTTACTTCTATAGAAGGCACTGCTGTTCGACTTAACATTACTTTGAATGATGATTTGTCAAATTCAGACACTTCGAAATGCTGTGAACAGAGAGCAGCAATCTTCGGCATTGTCTCTTCTGTTTTATTGACAAACATCAACCATGCTGCATATAACTTCGGGTTTTTTGGAAACCTACAAAATACACACGTTTACCATGCCCATTTACAAACTATCAATAAAAATAAATATTTCAAAATAATTTTTCGCACCCCCTCATGTAGGAACAATGCGCCGCTACTGATAAAAAAACATAAACAAAGATGGCTGCCATAATTCACGATCGTTTACATTACATGAAACGACGTTATATTGAATTATTCACATACAATATTGTGTGTTGAAGGAATAAAATGCTTACCTGTGAAATGTAATTCCAGCTTTGCGAGCCTTATCCGAAACTCCGCAGGCTAAACAACTAACCATGTTTTGAGCTATTATAGAAACGTTATAAGTTGACGAGCCGTTTGTATTGTTGCATGCGTGGTCCGCACGCGGTGTCATATTTGAATTTCTCCAGTGGCGGATCAAAAATCCACATAGTTATTGTAGATGGATATTAATCATGATACCTTTGTTGTATGACGGATATTAATCTTCTTCTTCCTTCTTTAGTTTAGGCGACAAACGCCTGTTTAGTTCTCAGTGAGAACTTCTCACCATTCTGCTTATTGTGCGGGTCAATTGACGCTCCACCTTTTTCGGGGACGTCCTACCCTCCTGTGGCACTCAGTCGTTTATGTTTTCTACCTTGCATCTTTCTATCACATTTTCACTCCTCTCTCTGTCGGAAAGTGTAATTTATTAGCCGCGTCCAATCCCTAAAATGAGCTACTCAAAATTGGTTTTATATCCCAGTCAATCTATTACTATATACCTACCAAAATCGCCAAATGAAAATAAGAAAATTTATAATTTTGAAATTTGACCAACATGTTCTTTAACCCCCCTTCCTCTTGACCATATCCAAAAACCTCACATGTGGGGTGCGCAACAATGCTACCATTTTGAATTTTAAATCCGTTTTTGTTCGGTTTTTCTTCAATATCTCGAAAACTATCAATTTCTTCATAATAATTTTCAAATAAATCACCTTTCCTTATTTTAGACTCATCAATCTTAATAAATATCCCATGAGAAGTTACAAGTGCGTAAGTTCTATTAAATCGAAAATTTTGCTGCACGCGTTCGCAAAAAGGTGTGCGGATAAATAACACCTAACAGCATTCCTTAGTGCTTGTTTAGAATGAACGTATACGTAAGAAATACATAAAACTTAAAAAATTTCGCAAAGTTGAACTGTATACTGTATAGAAACATACAAAGGTGTTTACAATGAACGTAATTTTTACGTACGTATACGTAAGCGATATGTAAGTCTTTCGCATAGTCGCAAAACTTGAAAATGGTTCAAAGTTACGTACGGTCAAAGAATATACTACTATATGTAGTATGCTATTTGGTTTATTGTAAATAGCGAAGTAAATTTACGGAAACGAAAACGAATATGTACGAGTACGGTTTATGAAATATTTACGTTTATACATATATGTATTTACGTATACGTTCATTGTAAACAAACACTTACACTTACAAACCGAAATAAAGGAATTAATTAGTAAATGGAATCCTGGTCGCCTATGCGACAGGTATGAGATATTCAAAGGACATTAAATAAGGCAATGGCTGTACCTTACTACGAGTCCATCATCAGTACAGCCATTGAATAATGTGCTTATTCAATGGTACAGTCATTGTATATTAAATAAATATACAATGGCACAGCTGACAGCCCTTACCTGTTACCATAAGCACATTTTAGCAGTGTATGAGCAAATACTCGAGATGAGTGTTATAACCAGCCGAATTTATAACTTCCAGTTGAGTAAACAGTAAAGTAGGAGTTCCTCCTCTAGGTAGCTTTGGTACTCAAGTGAAAGTTCCATTTGACATATTTCGAACCATCCCTTTTTCTCACATGAGTCGCATATTTTCTTAATTTTTATTAATTTTATTTTGCCTTTATTTTTGAGTGGGCGGGGTTTCAGCCAAGGCTGCTGTACCAACCCAACCCACTATAGGTACATTTACAAATATTCATGCCCGAACCCGGATTCGAACTAAAGACCCTTAGCACCACAGTTCAGCTTTAACTGAACTGTGCCACACGGCCAGCTTACCAAATAAAATTGTTGAGCTGTAATAGTTAGCTATGGAACATTTTATAAAACGCCAGGTTGACAATTTCTGATAGTATCCCATACAAAAATGCTCTCAAAGGCAACGTTATTACAAGTGAACCTAGTTAAACGATTTGCTCAAAAATACGCCTCAGCTAATCCTTTACCTTCAGAGCCACTCACCCATCAACAACCAAGACCAATCATTCCAGGTAAGAAAGTGCACTTGTTAGAATACCAAATAACATATCGCCTCCAATAGAAGCATTGAACACACACGCTACCTCGCAGGAAGTGATTACCACGAAGGATTTCGATCGGTTCTTTAAGTTGGAACAATCAATTGATGGATCTGGTTTGATACATAGATCGCAGTCTTTTGATTCTGTCCCCGGCCCGATATCCTTACGATACCTTTCTAAATTTTGGAAGATTATCCCCGCTGTGAACACTACTGCAATAGGTACCATTGTGCAGTATTTGTTAACCGCTGGTAAAATTAATTTGCCTATAATTATTTTGCTCATATCACTCATACCAGGTAGCCAACTACCTTCCGGAAGGAGCGCATGGGTTCTTTCAAAATGGTTTGATCAGTATGGACCAATAGTACGCCTTCACAGTCCTTTTGGTGGCGATATTGTGGTTGTGACTCGAGCAGAATATGCCGCGGAAGTATTTAGACGTGAAGGGCGTTACCCGATGCGCTCGTGCTTAGATTGCTTGAACAAATACCGCGAGTACAAATGTGCAGATCGCTATTCATGTGCACAAAACCACTCCTTCATTCAGAGGAATGGCCATGAATGGGACAGTCCTACTGTGGAAGATTCCACAGGCACCGGCAAAATTGAAACTTTGAAAGATATATGCGATGAGTTTGTTATTCGAATTTCGAATATTCGTAATAGGCAAGATGAGGTGCCCTCATCTTTCGATGAGGAAATTAAAAAATGGAGTCTTGAATGTTTATTGTCCGCCGTAGTAAACAAACGGTTGGGTTTTTTAAACGCTGCTGGTACAAGTCCTGCTCCGGAACCTCTACAGATACTAAAAACTTTAAACAAAGCACATAACGATGTAAAACGTTGCGAGTCTGGTATCCATTAAACTCTGTTTGGCACTGATTAATCTGTGAATTACTTTCAGGTGTTCACCTTTGGAAATTTTTTGACACACCTGCATGGAACAGTTTGATAGAACATTTTGATGCATTAGGATGTATGCTACGTACACACATTTATAAGACCCAAGAGTCTCTTGAAAGGAAAAAGGAAAGAGAAAATGAAGGTTTATCCATATCCCAAGTTCTCTTTGTAAAAGAGGGCTTGCTGATCGAAGATGTTTTGACTGTGCTATTTGACATGATGTTAATAGGAGCGAACGGCATTTCTCATACAGTTGCCTTTTTAATGTATAACCTTGCTCGAAATCCCAAATCGCAGCGAAAATTTTACGAGGAACTTAAATCAATAGACATACATGATTTTTCAAAAATGAAGTATGCTAGGGCGTGTATTCGAGAGAGCTTACGATTGAATCCACCGATGCCATTCTTAAATCGCGTACTTTCCAAAGATATTTCAGTGCGTAACTATCTGATACCCAAAGGCACGCACATACTGGCTGCTACTCATATGTGCAATCTGCGAGAGGAATATTTCGAAAATGCCAATGAATTTAGACCAGAACGTTGGATCGAGGATGATCTATTGGATACCGACAACGTGGTACTTCCGTTTGACAATGGGATCATGCCTTGTTTACCATACCGCTCAGTAGAAACGCAAGTTATCGTCCTGTTTTTAAAGGTGTGAACTTTCCTTATGATTTCATTAACGTTCACATTTACTATAACGTTACAGTTGCTGAATCAATTCCAAATTGAGTACCACTACGGAGAGATTCGAAACAAATATCGTGTTACAGCAGAGCCTAAAAATTCGCTAAAATTTAGATTTGTTGATAGAAATTAGCTATAGTGAATCCACATTTTGATAGTAGTGTGTATGTTACCAATGTCATTTATAAAATTCACACAGGCGAAATAGTAGTTTCCCTGATTGGGCACTATTCTCCAATTCTCTGAGGATAAGTTATTTCATCTTTAACCAATTTTTTGGATTGTATTACAATTACAAGGGTCGCTTGCATCAAATCTACTGGATTCGTACGAAGAAATGCGTAGTCATCTCCATTTGAGTTTAAAAATATAAACGCTTTCTCAAAATTTTAATCCAACCGCAGAAATTGTATCATTGAAATTAAATGCAAAATCTCAATTAATGAATCAAAATACCCTAAATCCTTTGTTTCTTAAAAATAAATACAATACAAAATTTGTTATGCAAATGGTTCTCATAGGTCGATTCTTTCAGGAACATTAAAATTACTCCAAACAAAATTATTATGCAAATTCCGAAAAAATAACCGGCCATTACTTTATATAAAGCAAAAAATTTAAAATAACTTACAGTAATTAACGTGAATGAGATTCCTTTCAGGTTACAATCCTCTTATCTCTCCTTGGAAAATGCTGCACTCTTTCGAAATCGCTTCTGTGTGGTACAACTAACTCCGTGATGAACGCCAGACCAACATGTCGATACCTACGTATTGCGAGTTCAAGCGAACCGGTTTCAATTCCACAAAAGTAAAAATCAAAATCGTAATATTAAGTAATGGAATAAAATGCCAATGTTCCAGTGTTTGAATGTGCCCTTTCATAATTGGGTTTTCCTGTGAACGAGATATAATTTTTTCCCGCCGTATTCCGTTAAACACAAAAGTTTTTTTTTATGCGAAGACTTCGCCTTGGATTTTAAATTTGCTTAATATTATTAATACAAATTTTACACAAAGCACTTGCTCCTACGGTATATTTGAAAAGTTTAATCCACACGGAAATGTTCCTTCGCGTAATTTTATCACTTGTAAATACACGTACCTACCCGCTCCGAATTAGAGTGATGACAAGTTCTCCCTCGTCCCGTAACTTACACGCTGTTATCACCTTTTATTTGAGACACAGTTACGTTCATGTTCGCTATGAAGCGGTACATGTGTAAATTTTCCTATGTTTAACAAAATACAAATTTAGCAATACATTTTTATTTCCAAAGCGACACACAAGGTCAAGCGATAATATGTAGCTTCTAATCTCGTAAAAAATCATGTCTACCTCCCGGCGAGAGTGGTGATAAAAAAATAAAGAACAAGGTTAACCCTTGTGTTATTCTGAAAATCCGTAGCGGATGAGGGTACGCACTTTTTCTTATTTTTTTGTATTGTGGGGCCACCCCCAGCGCAGGGAGGCTCAAAGCACGCGTTTGGGGTTAATTTTCAGAAGTCATACAATTTTGCAAATTCGTCGCGGGCGAAGGAGAAAAGATACGAAAAAACTTAATATTACACGCGCGTAGACCAATCCTTGGTCTAGTTATACTACGGCGAGTATACCCCGCCCCCCCCAACACTCCCTCCAGGTGTTATCCAATTGCGTTTGTTTACGGTACTTTGGTTTTGCAATGGCACTTCCAAAACCTCTAAGGTTGTAACGGGAGTCCGTTCTCGCATTTTCTTTGATTAGATTATGTTTCGTGGTGGAAATTTATAGGTGTGGAAGCGGGAAAGAATATCCCTACCGCAAAGGGCGCTGTGTGTAGTCGGATGTGATTAAACAGCAGCAAGTCAGTCGCACTTCTAGCATTGAAGTGGCGAAGGGTGTTATTTGAATCACAAAGTTTCAAATTGAAACATGACCAAATTAAGTTAGGTAAAGACCCTGTAAATTAGCGCAGGAAGTTTTATGTTGAGCTAGAGGGTTGTTCCGACATAATTGTCAGGGAAATCTCATTGAGCCATATAAGCCAACTAAGCAGACTACTTGTAAAGTACCGTAGAGTACGTTTTGTTTGGGAAAATCTATTTTGAACAAGACGTAAATTTAGTCTTAATTTCCATTCCATTCAGTTTATTAAGCAGGCAGTGTAGGTTACAAGAAACTCAAAAATCTTAGTTTTATTAAATTCTTAGAAAACCCAAACACAAAAATGGAAGGTCATAACGAGGACGTTAAAAATATATTTTAAGAGTTATAAATATAAAATACATTTTTATTAAATAACATTAAATTTGTGGAGCAACAGACTTTTTAACTTTATTTAAATTATGACCTTTATTTCCTTTCTTCTTCTGTTTCTTTTTTTTGGATTTACGTTTCTTCAACAGTTTTGCTTCCTCTTCGTCCGGATCCAAACCTTCTAGAATCCACTTCTTTCGCAAATTGATTAATTTCTTTTGGTAGAAATCTTTTTCGTCTAACTTGATGTGTGCTTCACTTTCAGTAACTGAAATTTGGGTAAATATTTTTCCCACTTCTCTATCTGAAAAAGCGAAATCATCATGATAAAAATTATCCATCTGTGTACTCACCATCGATTTTAAATTCTGTAAGTTTTGTATTGATACGTTCTTCGATCGCATAAAGTGATTTAAGATCAGTAGGCGTTACTAATGTTATTGCCATTCCACCTTTTCCAGCTCTCGCCGTCCGACCAACACGATGTATGTATTCTTTTGGAATTTTTGGTACATTGTGATTGACTACCAATTGTACAGAGGGTATATCTAAACCACGACTGGCAACATCAGTTGCAATTAGCATTTTGACTGTATTCGATTTAAACCTTGCTAGAGCAGAGAGTCTTTCCTTTTGGGAGATCATAGCATGTAAGGCTACATTTTCAAAACCAACTTCGTTCAATGTCATTGACAAGATTTGGCATTTTCTAAAATATTTAAAATGTTGTCAATAGGTATACATATAACTCTCGCCAGGAAAGATTGCCGGTCACAGCACACCTTGTGTTGATCTACAATCTATGTTTGTCGTACGTTGCGAGCGACTTCCGGAATAAGATCGTGCCAATGTTGAACGAAAAGTCTTTTTGTTCAACATTGACACGATACTATCCCGGAAGTCGGTCACATCTTTAGAAGAACATAGATTGTAGACCGGGATCAAGTGTTCCGTGACCGGCAATCTTTCCTGGCGAGAGGTTTAGTCGTTTTATCAATCTGAGGTTACAGAAGGTTATAGGTTGCATGGTAAGTTTCGGGCAACAAAAAACAGTTTTCAAATATGATGTCACAGTAATTCAATTGACAATTTCAGACCACCTGTCATAGTCTAAGAGCCCACGATACTAATACTATATAGTTCCTTGGATGAAAAAATAACTGGATTGCTAGCAAAGTCAAATTTATGAAACCAACATCTACAGCGCCATCACAGGGCAGGTGTGCGTTTTGTGAAACGAAATTTGACACACGTCAATGTTACGAGATTTAATTTGAGTGTTTTATTGTGATTTTATGTAATTTTGTTATAGTTCAGTTGTGTTACTTTTATACAGGGTGTTTTTTTGGGAGCTTTAGTTAAACGTTTCTGGGAAAGTAAAATAGGTAGGTTTTTTAAAATTTGTACTTAGGAGTTACTCTGAAGGCCGAATGTAAAATATTTTCAAAATGGCCACACTTCCGGAAACACCGGAAGTAGATCGTAACTTCGTTATATTAAATGGCAATCCCTATTTTTTTTATTGCATTTTTGGATTCTACGTAAAATTTCGGTTCTTTTGATACCCACATGTCCATATCTGCCATCTATGGTTTTTAAGTTATTTTGACTTTATGAAAAAAATGGCGGATGCAGATGGTACCTAGATAATTGATTACTTGAAAACGGTTATAGTCATGGCAACCCATTTTTATCAGTGCATAGAGAATGAATAGGGCTTTCTTTTAGTGTACTTAAAAAAAGTTAAGTTGCATACAACCGCACCTATGGAGATCCAAATTTAAGAAACTTCAAAGTCTAAAAACTCAGTTTTTTTAAATGGAATGACCATGTTCTTACTATTCCATGAGATAGATAATCGAAATTGGAATATTTTGATATTACATGTTCCTATAGCTATCTTTAACATTTTCTGATTTATTCCCATTTCATTGAATTGATGCCATTTTTTTCGCATTTTCATTTTAGGAGTTGGCCATGATTTTATAACAATCGAATTTTAAACAAATCAAGGAAAGGATACTTACAATCATTGATTCTAATCTAGTATTAAGGATATAGGACGGAAAATTTTTGAGAAATCTAGACAGAGTCATTCAACTGAATTTCTTAAACAACGTATAAGTCTGAAAATTCAGAGAGATAATGCGATATCTGTTCTAGCAACAATTCCATACAAAAAATGTTTCAACGAAGTTTTTACATTGAATTTATTTTGTTAATCTTGCATTTACAATTCAATTCATTTTCTTAAATATTCTCTTGTAGAGCTTTGTATCACTTGTGCTTCAACGGGGATACAACATTTCCAAAATTCGTACAATTTCGTTCCAGTGTTCGAATGAATGTACGGCAAGCATGTGCCGCGATTCTGTTCATTTCACCATAAATAACAAATTCCAAAATAGGTGAAACCACTGCGAGTCATTTTTCGATTTTTGAAAAACTTATGTTAACCTATAACAGTAGGTGACGGATTAGTGTCACTAGATTTGTTTAAAATTCAATTGTTATAAAATCATGGCCGACTACTAAAAAGAAAATCCGAAAAAAATAGTGTCAATTCAATAAAATGGGAATAAGTCAGAAACTGTTAAAGATAGCTATAGGAACATGTATTGTTAAAATATGCCCATTTCGATTCTTTATCTCATGCAATATTAAGAAAATGATGATTCCATTTAAAAAAACTGAGTTTTTAGTCTTTGAAGTTTCTTAAATTTGGATCTCCATAGGTGCGGTTGTACGCAACTTAACTTTTTTTTAAGTAGACTAAAAGAAAGCCCTATTCATTCTCTATGCACTGATAAAAATGGGTTGCCATGACTATAACCTTTTTCAATTAATCAATTATCAAGGTACCATCTGCATCCGCCATTTTTTTCTTAAAGTCAAAATAACTTAAAAACCATAAATGGCAGATATCGACATATGGGTATCAAAAGAACTGAAATTTCACGTAGAATTCAAAAACCCAATAAAAAATTGGGGTTGCTATTTAAAATAACGAAGTGACTATCTACTTCCGGTGTTTCCAGAAGTCCGACCATTTTGAAAATATTTTACATCGATTCGAATTTTCAAAAACCTACCTATTTTACTTTAACAGAAATGTTTAACTAAAGCTCCCAAAAAAACACCCTGTATAATTAATTAAAAATGAGACGCTGAAGTTGTTTTGAAAAAAAATGTGATGAATGTGATGCAGTTTATAACCTTAAAAACAAGGACATTAAAACAGAAACGTTTTTCGCGTAAGTAAAAGGCTAATTCGGTTCCTTCAATTTTCCCAAATACATCAAATGAAAATCCGATTTCTAGTGTGATGAGACTACCAAGTTTCGATTGTTCCTCAAAACAGGGGAGGGGTAGGACTATACGTACATACATATATGTACCTACCTATAATGCAGTGCTGCAAGCCCCCCTGATTGGCTATATCAGTGGCAGCAGAATGATAAGCGACGCCTCGTACCTATGCATCTAGTATAATCGATCTCCTCAAAAAACCAAAGCTCACCCGAAAGATCCTCAATTTCTGTGTAAGAAAAACCACTGCTGCACCCCCCAAACAGCGGAACACGGACACAGAGCCATCATCGCTTTAACTAATTACCTCAGTCTGTGCGTTCAACCGGGCAACTGCTGTCATAGCACAGCTTACTTACTATCCAGCTCCGCAACTCTCGAGCGGCGCCTTTGATCTGGCGGTCTACAACCAAGCGAGATGGAATGGTGCCCTCTTTCTCGCGCTTGGGGTAAAAGTCGGAGCCGGATTAAACGAATTTTCATCGCGCGGTCGTTTCACAGTACCGTAGTAGGTGATTTTTGAGCTGTATTGTAATGTGAACGTTTAGAATTTGCTGTACAATATTACGTAATATTGCAATGAAACTAGGGTTAGGAGTTTAATACATTTTATTGCCTAATTGAATTGAATTCGGGACAATGGCCAACGTGGCAACACTGGGCTTGATTGCACGCCAAACAGGCAATGCAGTCTTTTACCCCAAGAGGCGGGGCATAAGCGCTGCGCGCGTAGATCGGCGCAAACCGCTCCCGCCAAGAGAGTTGTGCAGCTGGATAGTAAGTAAGCTGTGGTCATAGCGCCAATGTAGCGGTACTATTGTACGCGCGAGTATTATAGTCAGCGGAAGGTGAGGGATAAAGGCGCGCATGTATCATGATCTGCCATTATGTGTTTTTGTTTGTACTTCGTAACTTTAAACATAATTTTTTATTTATCTGTAAATACTTATCGTCACCATGAATGAGGATGTGACATAATTGAAAATTACCATTGATGGAAAAAGTAGACAAGAAAGTTAGGTTAGGAACGGTATAGTAAAAAAACCAAACTAAGCGTTTCAAGTGTACGCTTACTGCTCAAAGTAGCGCTTATAAAGCGATCCTGATCTCGCTTTCTTTAAAGTGGTAGTTGCAGGGCCGGACCTAGACAAAAAAATTGGGGGGGCAGACATGACATTTTGCCAACTCAACTGTAAAAATTTCCAACTCAAACGGGTAGTCTAATAAATCATGTAGAAAATGTAGGATATCAGTATTCGGTCTCTAATACTAATTAAAAGCATTACCAAAATACCAACCTTGTGTTGAAGAAGAAGGAAGTGACGTACGTTCCTATTAAAGAGTCCTTTTTTATAGATTTTGCCGTAATTCCGCATTCCTTCAATAGTCGATTTATTACATTTACGATACTTTAGCGGCTTCGCCAACTGGTAATGAAAATTACCAACTCTAGTATTGGAGGGGCAACCTGCCCCCCCATAGGTCCGTCACTGGTACCAGCGAGTCGTTTACCAGACATTTTTGCAGCGCTCCCGAAGCGCTACGCCTGGTGAACACACCCAATGATAAATTTGGAAAAAACAAGGCCGACATGGAGCATATGACCCACTGTCTTTATCTACAAGTAAAAAATAAGGAGAGAACTGGGTATTAAAAGGGTAAACGACGAAATGGATAAAAAGGTCATGAGAGTTGGGAGAAAGGAGTCACCATTGCCAGTGGTGTAATAAAATCAAGTCAAGTTAACATAACTGACTAGCGCAAAGGAAGTAAATATGATGGCGACTTCCGTCCACCACTGGTACATTCTCTCTTCTTTTTTTTTTACTTGTAGGTCCTTATACAGTCATTGTACGCGACCCACAATTACTTACAGTGCCCCTTATCTGTGACCAACCATTTTGAATTCAAAGCATAGGATTAAAGCGAGGATTATAAAGCTTTGAGAAAGAAAGACAGAGGCATAAAACATCATTGTAAACTGAACAAATTTTAGCTTTATTTGCCACCAATAACATGGCCGCCTACAATCCTTTTTCGTGGGATTAAAGCAGCACCAGTACCGCACCATTTTGAAAAATATCAATAAAGTCAATTTATATGCTTATTACAATCACGCACGGTCGAAAATGCAAACATCTGAACGGCATAAACAAAGAAGTAAAAAAGTTTTGCACTAAAATATGCGAAAATTTGCTTCAACCAGCAGAATTTCACTTGATTGCGTATTATGGGTCCCTTCCTTCAATAGTGTAAGGACTAAAGGCCGCTTGACAAGGAGCAATACAACGCGAACGAACTTGCAGAAAGAAATATTGTATGCAATAGGTAAACATTGCAATTCTATTTCAATTGGCACCTCTGCCAACAGAAGAAACAAGATACCTACAAAGAATCGCATACAATTTTCAGTAGGGGCCACCCACCTTGCATTCGAAAACCAGACTTTTAATCTGGCTGATCCTTGAACTCGTAGAAATCGATTGGCGAAAATTTAACATCGATATTTCTTTTTGTTCTCGAGACAGGCGGACACAACCATCATATAACGGGAATTTTTCGAAAGCATGAAAATCCATTTTTAGGGGAATTTTTCGAAAGAATCCATTTTTAGGGGAATTTTTCGAAAGAAAAAAATTCCCCTAAAATGGATTTGTCAATAAAGTTGCTAACATCAAATAAAGATTAAAATTTGATTGCTTCAAGCATGCAAATTACATAAATAGGATTAATTATCATACGAAAATAGCCATTCCTATAAAAAAAAGTCTATTGCAGCAATTGATATCCTACTGTATGGTCTAAGAAGGTAACTGAAAAATATTATACCTATTGGATGTGGGTCAAAATTTTGTTTCTAAAAAACCAGCTATGTTTGTTTTACCCAGGTAGGTACGAGTTTTACCATTAAAAAACAGGTGGTTACTCTATTATTTTACCAGCATAAAGCACTAAAATGATAGCTGTTAAGCCCCACACATGCCAAATCTTATATAATTTGCGAGATAATTTGTTCTCATTCATCATTGTATTATCGCTAATGAATGGTCAAGGTGTTTGTGGCATATCCATATCTTGTAAATCATCAAGATTTGTGACATCACAGGACAACAATATTTTACCATATGAAAACAGACATTATCTGTAGAACTCTCTCCAAGCCAAATTGTAATCAAAAAGTTCTATTACCTAAAAAAAAATAAAAGGCTTACTTGCAGGTATCAGTAAAGATCATTATATTCCCTGAAGTATTTTTAGACCGAAATGTTCTAATGGTCTCAACTAGGTAAGCATCACGTACATCCTGTGGTGTTAAAACGTAGTGTTGGTCTAATTCCTCCACTGTCGCAACGTCCGCAGGTGCTTCGTACAGAAATGGATCGGTGCCAATTGTTTCCTTTAATTTTTCCAAGGTTTCGGTAATAGTTGCGGAAAAAAATAACGTTTGTTTGGCTTTAGGTAAAACCTTAAAAATGGTGCGGATTTGTTCGTCAAAATGTCCACCCAATAAACGATCTGCTTCATCGAGAACCAAAAACTTTATTTTGGAAAAATTTAAGGTCTCATCGCTGTCTATATGATCGGCCAATCTGCCGGGTGTAGCCAAAACAATGTGAGGTTTCTTCGCCAATTCTCGGCCTTGTGCCACCATATCCATACCGCCGACAATAACGCAATGCTTTAAATTCATCGGTTTTCCAATTACGGCAAACTGGTCGGCTATTTGATACGCTAACTCTCTAGTAGGCGTGAGAACCAACGCAAAAACGCCATATGGATCTTCACATAATCGTTGTAAGATAGGAAGCGCAAACGCTAACGTTTTCCCACTGCCCGTTTTCGCTGCACCGATAACATCTCTATTTTTTAAAATTTCGGGAATGCAATGATATTGAATGGGAGTCGGATCTTTAACACCTGGAAAATTATGCGATAATAAGAGTTGATGCATTACTTAAATAAATGGGTATTCCTTACCGATAGTTGCACATTGCCGAATGATCCAGGGATTTAAATTTAAATCAGAAAATGATTTTTTATCCATTTCCCCACGAACATTTAAAACAAAAAGAACATAACCTCACTCAACCAGACCTCAACCACAACCGTCTATAATTACCCATGTCTCTGATAATTACAAGCCGTGCTGAGAATTATGGCAACACTGCATGGTAGGCCGATTTCCTAATTCAACTTGTCAGATTTCAGGTGTATTTTATATGTGTTTTGGGTGTAATATTCCTATTTACTTGTTTTAACAGAGCGAGATTGCGTAAATTTGTGTTACTCCGTATGGAATCAACAGAAATTATTATTCGGGTAAGTTGCTAAACGAAATATATCGATTTGTTGTCATAACCTCTAAAGCAGACTACTCCTTACTGGACCCTTTACAAGCACTTGTATTTGTTCAAAGTACCTGTACAAGCTCAAATATGACCTACACACTACATGGTACGTAAGTACGGTAAGTGTTTATCGTAAAAAAACACAATTAGTTTGTATTTCAGGTATTCTAGCACGGACATGTCAAGTCGATTTTCTGAAGGAACCGTCCGACTTATTCCCGGGAGTTCACGGTACGGGAATTTGAAGTCTACGGTGCTCCTTTAAAAGCTTCGTACCTAGACCCACTGGAGTAGCGACTGGCTTAAAGTCTGCCACTCCGAATCACACCTGGTCGTTGATAAAACCTCGCTGATGCAGAGCGATTTACTGTCCTTTTGCCGAAATTAAGTGCTCAAGCGTGTACTTTACCTCGACCTCTTTCGACAGAAGTTCACCAATTTCATAGATCTCGATGGAAAACACATTATAATGCATTTACCAATTTACAGCGTTCCGAATTTTAAAGTCAAATAAAAATGTTATTATCCATTTTTGTAAATAAATAAAATATATGTACAATTGTAAGCTGCCTAAGTATCTTTCTTCTGTATTAAAACCACCAAGGCGAAACACAGGAGAGAGGAAAAATGCCATTTTTCAAGAGAAACAAGACGCCATTAAAACTTGAATCGGCCCACCGATTGACTTTCGAACAACGTTGCCAAACTTCTCAGCATGGCTTGTAATTATAGACGGCTGTGCCTCAACTCAGGCCACGATAAAGGTAAGTTCATAGCTCTACGTTCATACGTTCCCGTTTGTCCGTTAGTCAATCAGAAGACAGCAAATTTTTAAATCGTACGTCGTCCGTTTACGACGGAAAAGTTGGTTGAAGTTGAACATTTACGTTTCCGTTGGTCCGTTTTTAACAAGAGTGAGGTTATGTTTGGTACGTTAACAGTATTCGCCTATTCGTTCTTCACAGTAATAATCAGATAGCAACGTGTTTTTACTTTCGTATCATTTTTACATACTGAAAATCACAGAGGGTATAGTACAAAATAAAATTTAGGTTATGGTTATACGTTGCAAATGTACAATGTGGACGGATTGCTATGAACCTTAACAAAATGTACTATGCGTTTGACGGATCAACGCAACGGATGAACGAAGAGCTATGAACCCACCTTAAGAAGCACAGCCATAGTCGACTTTGACTAATGTACCTACCGACATTATTCACGAAGCTGGCAGCAAATGTATGTTGTGGCAACAGCGTACGCATTCAATTAACAGCCTATGACCTATGTGCATTGTTGTGACCATATATATAATATATATATGGTTGTGACTCACGATTCTAACCTTAAGTTACTTATTCCATCATGGCCTTTAGGCCATGTATTCCATAATGAAGGGGCAGTTACGAGTATTTACTTTGAATTTTGTAAGTATACGCATTTGCTTCCTTTTATTCATACGGCCCATTATATACCGAACAGAGTAGTGTAAAGTTTGTAAAAACATGTCTGATCTATTCATGTTGTGACTCTCATATATATGGTTGTGACTTAACAATCGGCAGTTATGATAATATACAGTGTGGTCGTGGAGCTCCCAATTATGCTGTTTCCACATAATGACATTGTTATAAAAGTCAGACCTCCGTAACTACTACCTGTGCCTCGTAACACTCCCTTGAAGAAGATTAAAAAATGAGTCGCCGCCCATGGGCAAGGCGGTCCTCGGTTACGGATGCTACGCCCCTAAAGTTGAAGGTTCGTGGGCCTTCAGATTCTTTTATGCCTTAGCTCTACAATACATTTTTATTCTAGCGTCTGATGAGCTCCCTCTCACGGTACGTAGATATTAGTTACGTACAACAAGGTACACATATTCGTGAATGCTACGAGTTCCCCTAACCTAAATACACCTGGTATTGCATACCCTACTTCACGGAAGTCGAGGTTCTACATAGGTACACACCCGTGCACCATGTAACTGAGTTAAACCTGATATATCGTAGACTTCCACAAGCACCTGGACATTATTTAACAATTAGCATGTTGTAAATTACATAAAATGTATTACCCGATATCAAAGTGACTGAATAAACTCGAACACAAGAACAAAGCAAAAACTGTATGAATATATGCAATATTTCCGCTACAAAACACAAGTGACGCCAAACCAAAACATCTAGCCCATGGTACAATAAGACAAGGTATGTCTATATCCATTGACTTTACACCTTAGACCATATAGTACATGGACTGCTATTCGCCCTATGCTTTCAATACAAAATGGATGGTCACGAATAGAGGGCAGTGTAGTCGTGGGTATGTGAATCTCAGGGTAAACTAAAGTCGTGTAAACACCAGTAGGATAGCTTAAAGAGCAGCTTTATAGTAACCGCGTAGTACGGGAAGCTTTAAATGCTCTTCATTATTTGCTATACGTCCACAAATAAGAATAAGTTTGCTTTTTTTGGGATATCTAGGCGATTAATTAATTGACGTTTGTTAATTTATAGGTTGACAGTCTCAAATCGTGTCTCATCGGACAACTTCGGACAGACTCGTTTACCCTGAAACTCACATACCCAGGCGATGTCCTATATGGTCTAAGCTTTACACACTATAGACAAACGGTGTAGGCTTAAAAAATGGCAACACAAATGGAGCTGGAAATGTTAGTATGGAGCTGGGCCACCAAATGGTCGCAGCGCCACTCTCGTTGTTATTACGTCATTAATAATTATTGTACCTACAAGTGCATGCACAGTGACTGTGACAGGTATTGACATTGACAAGCGCGGATTAGTAAGAACGCAAATTTTGCATAAAGATAAACCTCCATGGCATCAAGACGAAAAGGAGTTTGTCATAAAGTTATATACTACAAGTCTCCGGCAACTCACAAATTTCTGGAGGCAAAATATCGTATGACCCGCAATATCTACCTTAAAAGAATGGATTTCGGCATCTAAATCCACTACAGGATATAATTCAGCATAGTTCGAACAAATTAAACTAAAAAGTTAGTATACTTTATCGTCAAGAACGAGTGGGTGTTATTTGTTTCGACGAAATGTTCAGAATCGCCATCATGTTCATCTTCTGCATTTTTTCAGTCGTCATTAGAAAACTCCATCTTGGACATTGAAGTTGGTAACACTACGTACATTACTGGAAGAGTGAGTTGATCAAATTTGCGATCGAAAAGTTTAATTGCACACGATGTGAACAGCTTCTTAGAAAACCACATCAAACCTTAATGACGCCAAGGAACTATTAATTTTACACAAATCCTTTGAAATTAGGAAAAAAAACGCTGTGCATCGGCCATATCTGTTAAATTGTTGCTAAGAACTTTAAATTTTGTAAATGGTCTTTGTAATACTATTAAGAGTAGTTCAAACAAAAATGTACAGAATCAAAAATTAAATAATGAAACGTAATAGATTTCCTTGCGTTCATATGTCGTCCCATTCGACGTCATCATTAGTACGTGCATTGCAATGTGTTTAATAAGTTGCCTATTTAACGCAAATATTCGCTACAGTAAAAGCGGCTGCCATTTTTCGCTATTTGTCCGTTTGTCTATCTATAGTGTATAGTCAATGCTATATCTAAACGCAGATGACGTTTTTATCTCAATGACGTCAGCGTCACAAGAATCACCGCCAAGTTTGAAAATGACATACGCTTCATACTTGAATTAGAAGTGTCATTGCAATTACTCAATTAATTTGGTTGAGTAATCATACTGAATGCATCTCGGAATGCATTTAGATATAAATATAAGGCAACAGAGAAGCTAAACGTACCACGTAATATACTTATTTCAGAAATTTAATCAACCTTTTAAGTTTTTTTATTGCCGCTAGATGTCTCGTCCTTATTTGAAAACGCTAATATAATTTTTACTTTTTTTACTTACATATTTTATTGTAACTTTAAATATTTGTATTGATAACATGCAATAATTGATACTTTGTAAGTTTAATGTGAGAAACTTGACGCAGTTGACATGAACTGAACAAATCTTATCACATCCGCAAAGGACTACACAAACCCCATTACTTTATTTAACGGTAGAGCCTAAAGCGCTTTCTTTCGGTGATCCCATATATGTATAAAAGACATATGGGTGATCCAAACGCGTTTGGATTGTCAAATCACGTTCTTTCGAAGTGTGATCTTATAATCATGATTGCTATTTAATCGTGAACAAACTGAACATAAAAGTTTTATGACACGAATTCCTAACCTATAAATGCAAGGATATTTTTGCTCCAATGTTAGATTAGTCAATATTTGTAACTGAAGAGGAGCATAATCGTGCAAGTACTTCCACTTGTATTTAAATTATTTTCATAATCCAAACAAAAAATACGTAATTCGAATGCAAATGTGCGCTACGTAAACTTAACCAAACTTTGATTCAAATTCGCGCGTTCTTTCGTAAAACGTGATCCTACGAATCACGATCTCGAAATCATGATTGCGAAGTAGCCGAAAGAAAGCGCCTCTAGTTATCCCAATGACATCACGCATAGGCATACCTTGTCTTATTGTATCATGATCTAGCCCATAGAACAACAAACCATCTAGCCAAAGTTATAAAATTATTTAAAAAAATTAAAAAATCAACCAGGGTGGTGGCTCATGTCCACACTCTCCAACTACTTGATTGGTTGCATCCGACGCTGAAATATACAGGGTATTTGAAGGGATCTAGACATCTCAAGGTATGCACCCATTCATCGGTATCACTAAAAATTAAAGCTTCTTTTATCTTTGTTCATCATATTGTGCTTGATAAAACTTCACACCACTTGTGATTTTATCAGTTTGTGTGCTAACCATTAACAGATGTCTTCTCAAATTAGATTTATAATTGGTAGCGAAATCGCAGTAGAAACATTTAAAAATCCTTGCAAGTTTTGTGCCTAAACAGGATTTAAAATTTGTTGAGAACTCTCAATGAGTATATTATTTAAAATTCTCTGCAGTCTTGTGTCCCAACACTCGTCCTAACAGCTGAGCTTTCTTTATAACTGCTGGCGTAATCACACATAAATTAGAATTTCTTAAAATTTCTATGTTTAAATGTGTTTTAAACGATTTATTATTGGTTGTAAAATTACAATGGAGATATTTAAAATCTTTGAAGTGTATTAAACTTTGGAAGACTTGTGTCTTCTTAACAAATGTTTTCTCAAGTCAGACGTAAATTACAGTGGACACATTTTAAAGCTTTAGAAGTCTTCGTGTGTTAACAGATATCTAATCAAACTGGATTTAAAATTTGTTGCAAAATCACAACAGGCACAATTAAATTCTCGGAAGCATTGTGTGTTAACAGGTGCCTAGTCAAACTGGATTTAACATTGGTTGCAAAATCACAATGAGCACATCGAAAATCCTTGGAAGTTTTGTGTAATAATAAAAAATGTTTTATTAAATCGGCTTTAAAATTGGTCGCGAAATCGCAATAGACGCATTTTAAATCCTTAGAAGTTTTGTGTGTTAACAGATGACTAATCAAATTGGATTAAATATTTGTTGTGAAATCACAATCGGCACATTCAAAAACCTTTGAAATCTTGTGTCTTCTTAACAAATGTCTTCTCAAATCAGACTTTAAAATGGTCTCGAAATTGCAGTGGACACATTTAAAAGCCTTGGAAGTCTTGTGCCTTTTTAACAAATGTTTTCTCAAATCAGACGTAAAATTGGTCGCGAAATTACAGTGGACACATTTTAAAGCCTTAGATGTCTTGTGTGTTAACAGATGTCTAGTCAAACTAGCTTTAAAATTTGTTGCAAAATCGCAACAAGCACATTTAAAATTCTTTGAAGCAGTGTGTTTTAACTTGTGTGTTAACAGATGTCTACTCAAACTGGATTTAAGATTGGTTGCAAAATCACAATGAGCACATCTAAAATCGTTTGAAGTTTTGTGCATTAACAAAAAGTGTCTCAATAAATCAGATTTGAAATTGGTCGCGAAATTACAGTGGGCACATTTTAAAGCCTTAGAAGTCTTGTGTGTTAACATATGTCTAGTCAAACTAGATTTAAAATTTGTTGCAAAATCACAACAGGTACATTTAAAATGTTTGGAAATCTTGTGTGTTAATAAATGCCTAATCAATTTGGATTTAAACTTTGTTGTGAAATCACAACAGGCACATTGAAAAACCTTGGTAACCTTGTGTCTTCTTAACAAATGTTTTCTCAAATCAGGCTTATAATTGGTCATGAAATTGCAGTGGACACATTTCAAAGCCTTGAAAGTGTTGTGTCTTCTTAAAAAATGTCTTCCCAAATTAGCCTTATAATTGGTCGTAAAATTGCAGTGGACACATTTTATAGCCTTGGAAGCCTTGTGCCTTCTTAACAAATGTCTTCTCAAATCAGATTTAAAAATGGTCGCAAAATTGCAGTGGACACATTTTAAAACCTCTGACGTCTTGTGTCTTCTTAACAAATGTTTTCTCAAATCAGACGTAAAATTAGTGGCAAAATTACAGTGGACACATTTTAAAGCCTTAGAAATCTTGTGTGTTAACAGATGTCTAGTCAAACTGAATTTAAAATTTGTCGAAAAATCACAATGAGCACATTTAAAATCCTTGGAAGTCTCGTGTGTTAATAAATGTGCTTTAAAATTAACTTTATTGTTGGTTACATAATTACACTTCGCACATTTCACTTTCTTGAAATTGTTGTGCGCAATCATATCTGTTTTAAAACTGGATTGAATATTGGTTCCATAGTCACACTGGCTACATTTAAAATCATTAGATGTTGGATGTGACAAACACTGTGAGCGTTTGTCAATTCTATGTTCAACACACTCAACTTCGGGCACCAATTGATCATCTTCCCAACTATGAGAGTCATTAAAATAATTCATACTGAAGGTCAGCCCGTCAGCATCCTGCTTTATAATGGCGGAGACATCGTTGGGAAGAAAAACATTTTCGTCAATGACCACACTTATTTCTTCTTCTTGATTAGGTTCAATTTTAAGAATTGCAGACATCATAGAAAGTTATCACAACCTCTTCTGAGTTGTCTCTGGATTGTGGGTAACTCAAGATTTTGAAAGAATACAACTTCAGCCAATTTTGTTGATGATGTGAGCGATATTGAACATGATCCCATACAACTTAACCCTAGGAGTAAAAAAAGCGTGAACTCTACAAATGATTTTATGTTAAACTAACTCACTAAAATCGAACCATAAGCATCCTCATACATATATGAATGTGTTCTGATAGCAGTAAGCAGGAATACCCGAGACCCGAAAAAAGCAAAATCATATCACGCAGCAAGACACGTAGACTGCAAATCAAATCAGCATCCTGTTGAAAAAGAAAAATACATGCAACCACAAATTGCAACGTTGTCGCATTTCTGTCTCGCAAACCTTCGACAATAGACGGCTGTGGTTCCCTTTGATCATAGGTGGTTCCAGGCAAGCATTTTGGCAATTCACTTGCTACTGTATTAAGGTAAGTTCATTAGCTCTCCGTTCACAAGGTTGGTATATTACAGGTTGCCTCGTAACTGTCGACCAATAGCAATCGAGGCGCGAATACGTCACTGGTATCCCACGATTTAAACGATCATGCAGCAATGCTATTGTTTACAGTTCTTTCATGATGTTTCAATCTTTTAACTAGCGAAATACAAATATTCAGTTTTATATTTTAAAATTTAGTAAATATAAATCGTTATATAATACAGCCTTCGTCTGATGTACCAGCGTTGAGTGAAACAGCTTCATCTAACAATCCATCGCGTGGTCACATTTTTCTTCCAATTCTCTTAACGTAGTTTATATCGTTTCTACACTTACTTTTGGATTTGTAGATGAGATAGGCGATATCAACGAGACCATATGATTCTCCTGCTTCGGTCAGTTTTAAACACGTTCATCTTCTGCCGGCCGTCAAGCACTAAATAAGATGTGAGTTCCGTCAAAAAATTTGACCGGTGTCTTATTTTTCCCTAAAACATCATTTTCATTTTTAAGCTCTGTAGCCTTTTCCAAAGGAAATGTCCACATACTGGCAGCTGGCAGCTTTCCGTTTGTCAAAGAATTCCGGAACCCTTTTAATAATATTTCTAGGTTCTTAATGCACAGGTATTACAGGAGGTTCAGTATTTATAACCTTAAGGCCGCTTGACATGGAGCAATACTACGCGCAAGAACTTGCAGAAAGAAATTGCAAGGTCAAATCCTTGCATGCAATAAGCATTGCATGGTATTTGACATGGTGCAATTCTATTTCAATTGCCACATGTCTGCCAACAGAAGAAACATATGGATTTGTCAACAAAGTTGTTAACCTCAAATGAAAATTAAATTTTGATTGCTTGAAGAAACATGAAAATTACAAGAATAAATAAGATTAGTAAAAACAAGTAATGAGTGCGTCTCTCAGCATCACAGTTGCCGCCGCTGTATTTTACTAGGTTGGTGCCACAAAAACAACTAGATTTATCCCTAGAATTGCACGATTCATGCAAGAAAAATAGCACCGGTCCTATAAAAATTGCATGCAAGTCTCTTGCAGCAATTGATCAGCTGGCTTTGAACTGCGCATGCCTTTCGCAATTTTTCTTGCAACTTGCATGCAATTGCAATTTTTATTGCTCCATGTCAAGCGGGCTTAAAAGTTCATGAAGCAAAACTGCTGACACTAATGGTACCGAATAATTTTTGAATTCATAAATATGTTGTTTACCTAATAAAACACATTTTATAATAAAAGAAAATAATTTATTATTACAGACTTAATAAAATATGTACAAAATAAATCACAGTTAAGTAGGTGCACTAAAATATCACCGCTTTAATCAACTTCTTCAATCGTTGGGCCTTGCGTGTTAAATCGTCCTGCTTGTTGACCACAATTTCCTGGCATAGGTCCATTTTGTTGTCCATATAACTTGGACATAATTGGGCTACATAAATTTGTAAGCTGTTTCTGTTGATCTTCGTACTCCTCTTTCTCGGCAAGTAAATTATTGTCTAGCCATTTTAAACATCCGTCACATGCACTCTCCACTGCTTTTTTATCTTCTGCTGATAATTTATCACCTACTTCACTAAGAGATTGTTTTAAATTGAAAACGTAACCCTCCAGTTGATTGCGGGCTGAGATACGGGCTCGTTGTTTTTCGTCTTCCTCTTTGTATTTCTCAGCATCCGCCACCATTTGGTCGATGTCTCTCTGCGATAGTCGGCCTTTGTCGTTCTTAATTGTTATTTGTTGCGACTTCCCGGAGCTGGTGTCTTTAGCTGACACGTTTAGTATGCCGTTAGCATCCATGTCGAAGGTAACTTCGATTTTGGGAACTCCTCGCGGTGCTGGTGGAATTCCGGACAAGTCAAAATTGCCAAGTAAATTGTTATCCTTTGTCATGGCTCTTTCGCCTTCGAATACTTGAACCGTAACTCCAGATTGATTATCGGAGTAAGTTGTGAATGTTTGGGTTTGCTTGCATGGGATGCGAGAGTTACGTTCGATGATTTTCGTCATGACACCGCCAGCAGTTTCGATGCCCATGGAAAGGGGAGTGACATCTACCAGCAGAACGTCTTGGATTTTATCACTTGTATCACCGCTAAGGACGGCTGCTTGAACTGCTGCACCATAAGCCACAGCTTCATCTGGATTTATTGATAGATTCAACGGCTTGCCACAGAAATAATTTTGTAGTAGGGATTGAATCTTGGGAATTCGAGTTGAACCACCGACAAGTACCACGTCATGGATTGAGCCCTTGTCCATTTTTGCGTCTGCGAGCGCTTTCTCAACTGGCTGTAGGGTTCCACGGAATAAATCAGAGCACAATTCTTCAAAGCGAGCCCTGGAGATCTTCGTGTGGAAATCGATACCATCAAATAATGCGTCAATTTCTAAAGTTGCCTCGGTGCCGGATGACAATGTTCGTTTTGCTCTTTCTGCAGCTGTGCGGAGACGACGTAAAGCTCTGGGGTTGTTACGTATATCTTTCCTGAATTTTCTTTTAAATTCTTCTACGAAGTGGTCAACTAAACGATTGTCAAAGTCTTCTCCTCCAAGATGTGTGTCGCCAGCAGTAGATCTGACCTCGAACAAGGAGCCTTCGTCGATGGTGAGTATGGATACGTCAAATGTACCGCCGCCCAAATCAAAAATGAGAACGTTACGCTCACCTTTGAGGTTTTTATCCAGGCCATAAGCGAGAGCGGCGGCCGTGGGTTCGTTTATAATTCTCAATACATTTAATCCGGCAATAACCCCAGCATCTTTTGTAGCTTGCCTCTGGGAGTCGTTGAAATATGCCGGTACAGTAATAACGGCATCTTTGACTGACGCGCCCAAGTAAGCTTCAGCCGTTTCTCTCATTTTCGTGAGCACCATTGAACTTACTTCTTCTGGGGCGAATTTTTTAGTTTCGCCCTTAAAATTAACTTCCACTTTCGGCTTACCCCCATCGCTTATCACCTTGAAAGGCCAATGCTTCATATCCTGTTGAATTTTTGGATCGTCGTATTTTCGGCCGATGAGTCTTTTAGCGTCGAAAATGGTGTTGTGGGGATTCATGGCAACTTGATTTTTGGCCGCATCGCCGATGAGCCTTTCCGTGTCGGTGAAGGCGACGTAACTTGGAGTTGTTCTGTTTCCTTGGTCGTTGGCGATGATTTCCACCTTTCCATTTTGCCACACGCCTACGCAGGAGTAGGTCGTGCCCAAATCAATTCCAATCGCTGGTACTTTAACCATTTCTTCTTCAAAATATCACGAATAACTTCTTATTCACACGTATATTCACAATAACGGCGCACAAATGTGTCGTTACTATGTTCCTTCGCTCAAGTTTTGAACTGTTATGAAGTTGCGCGCCTCGAAACGCTTATATATGCTGAGGCCGATTTATCCCGAGCGGTCTCGAACATTCTGGAACGCCTATAAATGTAATTGGTGGAATACGAAACGCGCGCCTGGAAAATAGTGAAATTCTAGAAAGAGAAAGGGTAATTCCTCGAATGATAAACTGATTAGGGCCCATGCTCAATTCATTAAAAAATTGACATTGCTTCTTGAGCGTTCGAATTTTCTAGCACAATAAAACTTCGAATCAACACTGGAACTTGTGACTAATTTTTATTCGCTTTTTCTGTAATTATGTATTAGCCCGTTAGCCGTAGATTATTCTATTTTAATTTCTACTAGGCGTAAAAGGTAAAAGCCCATACAAAATCGCTTATGGGGATTATTTTGTTATCAACCATTTATTTACATCAGTTATCTATTCTTTGTTGCAAATTGAATTAATCTCAAGAGCTATCGAAACTACCAAACATTGGTTTACAAATTTACATTCCGTTGTAATTAAATCATAATGCAAAGTACAGAAATGGAATATTCTAGGAAATACGGATTTCAAAATGCGAAGGCAAGAATACAAAAACTGTATTTAAATTAAGGAAACATTATTATTAAATGCAGAAATTCCGTTCTTTTGACAACTGGGTTAAATCATAAGAAGAAAAATTTATTCGATCCAATCATTCATTACATTTCTAGAATATTCCTGCAATTTCGCAAGCGCGCGTTTCGTATTCATCAATCATATTTATAGACGTTCCAGAATGTTCGAGACCGCTCGGGATAAATCGGCCTCAGCATATATAAGCGTTTCGAGGCGCGCAACTTCATAACAGTTCAAAACTTGAGCGAAGGAACATAGTAACGACACATTTGTGCGCCGTTATTGTGAATATACGTGTGAATAAGAAGTTATTCGTGATATTTTGAAGAAGAAATGGTTAAAGTACCAGCGATTGGAATTGATTTGGGCACGACCTACTCCTGCGTAGGCGTGTGGCAAAATGGAAAGGTGGAAATCATCGCCAACGACCAAGGAAACAGAACAACTCCAAGTTACGTCGCCTTTACCGACACGGAAAGGCTCATCGGGGATGCGGCCAAAAATCAAGTTGCCATGAATCCCCACAACACCATTTTCGACGCGAAAAGACTCATCGGCCGAAAATACGACGATCCAAAAATTCAACAGGATATGAAGCATTGGCCTTTCAAGGTGATAAGCGATGGAGGAAAACCGAAAGTGGAAATTCATTTTAAGGGCGAAACTAAAAAATTCGCCCCAGAAGAAGTAAGTTCAATGGTGCTCACGAAAATGAGAGAAACGGCTGAAGCTTACTTGGGCGCGTCAGTCAAAGATGCCGTTATTACTGTACCGGCATATTTCAACGACTCCCAGAGGCAAGCTACAAAAGATGCTGGGGTTATTGCCGGATTAAATGTATTGAGAATTATAAACGAACCCACGGCCGCCGCTCTCGCTTATGGCCTGGATAAAAACCTCAAAGGTGAGCGTAACGTTCTCATTTTTGATTTGGGCGGCGGTACATTTGACGTATCCATACTCACCATCGACGAAGGCTCCTTGTTCGAGGTCAGATCTACTGCTGGCGACACACATCTTGGAGGAGAAGACTTTGACAATCGTTTAGTTGACCACTTCGTAGAAGAATTTAAAAGAAAATTCAGGAAAGATATACGTAACAACCCCAGAGCTTTACGTCGTCTCCGCACAGCTGCAGAAAGAGCAAAACGAACATTGTCATCCGGCACCGAGGCAACTTTAGAAATTGACGCATTATTTGATGGTATCGATTTCCACACGAAGATCTCCAGGGCTCGCTTTGAAGAATTGTGCTCTGATTTATTCCGTGGAACCCTACAGCCAGTTGAGAAAGCGCTCGCAGACGCAAAAATGGACAAGGGCTCAATCCATGACGTGGTACTTGTCGGTGGTTCAACTCGAATTCCCAAGATTCAATCCCTACTACAAAATTATTTCTGTGGCAAGCCGTTGAATCTATCAATAAATCCAGATGAAGCTGTGGCTTATGGTGCAGCAGTTCAAGCAGCCGTCCTTAGCGGTGATACAAGTGATAAAATTCAAGATGTTCTACTGGTTGATGTCACTCCCCTTTCCATGGGCATCGAAACTGCTGGCGGTGTCATGACGAAAATCATCGAACGTAACTCTCGCATCCCATGCAAGCAAACGCAAACATTCACAACTTACTCCGATAATCAATCTGGAGTTACGGTTCAAGTATTCGAAGGCGAAAGAGCCATGACAAAGGATAACAATTTACTTGGCAATTTTGACTTGTCCGGAATTCCACCAGCACCGCGAGGAGTTCCCAAAATCGAAGTTACCTTCGACATGGATGCTAACGGCATACTAAACGTGTCAGCTAAAGACACCAGCTCCGGGAAGTCGCAACAAATAACAATTAAGAACGACAAAGGCCGACTATCGCAGAGAGACATCGACCAAATGGTGGCGGATGCTGAGAAATACAAAGAGGAAGACGAAAAACAACGAGCCCGAATCTCAGCCCGCAATCAACTGGAGGGTTACGTTTTCAATTTAAAACAAGCTCTTAGTGACGTTGGTGACAAATTATCAGCAGAAGATAAACAATCGGTGGAGAGTGCATGCGACGGATGCTTAAAATGGCTGGACAATAATTTACTTGCAGAGAAAGAGGAGTACGAAGATCAACAGAAACAGCTAACAAATCTTTGTAGTCCAATTATGTCCAAGTTATATGCAAATGGAAGCCAACAAAGTGGACCTATGCCAGGAAACTGTGGGCAACAAGCAGGGCGATTTAACAGCCAAGGACCAACGATTGAAGAAGTAGATTAAAGTACTTATAATTTGTAGCTTTACAATCTCATTTTGTACATAAGACTGACTTGTAAATAAATTATTTATTATATACGAAGTATTTTTTATTGTACCTACTGCTCACACGTGGGCACAAAGGGAATTTAAGAATCATCGAGGTAAATAAATAAAACCTGGTATACACAATATAGACAATCTTCGACTTTATTTCGTAAAACATTTTGACAACAAAATAATAATAATTGGTTACTGACTACTTATGAATATACAAAAAATGAAAAGCTCAAATGGCAATGCAATTCAGATCCTGAAAAAGGCTAACCAGTTACGAAACCTATACACTAGCAGGTAATGCCAACTTATACACACAAACGGGCTGATCTCAAAACATGCTAAAACATTCTATATGCAGTACATCTGGGTAGTTGAACTTTGCAATGAATTAAAAAAGTGATAATAACTATTATTGAATTGACAGATTTTCTTTAATGAGTGTGATGTAAAGCGTGAACGAACAAATTTGTAACATACCATTTCATAATGAGGTATGCACATTTTGCCTAATTTTGATAAATGATATTGCATTTAGTAATTTAGTAGGTTTATTCAAACCACTGGAGCATATTTTCATTTCCTAACCATTATGAAAAGGTAAGGTTAAGGCATCCATAAAGTCGATCATATGTAAAGAGTTAGTCTTGAAAAGTCAAAATTAGACAAAATGTGTTTTTTATTTAAACTGGCAGTATTGGTGGTTTCACTATTATATATACGAACCATTTATGAAATAAACATTTGTACCACCTGCTTATGACCTTAGTTGCGAAAACAAGATGTGCTTGTTTATTCGGCTCATTCCCCCTCCAATTAGAGTGTCAACTCATTTTCAATCATTAACCATAGACGTTTGACTATGCAGGGTGCCCATTATGTATGGAATATAGTATATATCCCGGTAAATATCGACTGTATACAAAATTTTTCTATATGAAAGTTGTTTGACATTCTAGTTCCCATAATAAGACAGCATTCCATAGTTTTTATTTCAGAAAACAAATGAGTAACGAAAAGCAATTGAATTTTTTTAAATAGCAATGCACACTTTCATGAGGCTCATATGATAAGAGATTTTTCTCTTTTCAATTACGTAACATGTTAGCACCCATGTAGAAGTAATTAATTTTTATTTCAAGCTTTTTGTGATAGATTATGCCATTGTCTTGCAGTTAATGTGAACATTTTGAACATTCATTGCGATGAAAACCATTTTACTGCTACTTCCCTTTATTCTTCAAGGTTTAATAAGAAACGTACACGTTCATTTGTTTTATTTGAATGTCTGGATTAATGTTATTGATCTAATTATAATAAATTTTGTTGAATATGAGTACTAACATGCTATATCATCGAACAGAGAACAAAATCTCAATTGAATGAGCCTAATGAAAAAGTGCACTGTCATTTAAAAAACTTTAATTGTTTTCTGAAATAAAAACAACTGAATGCTGGCTTATTATGGGAAATAAAATGTTAAACAACTTTCATATAGAACATTTTGTATACATTCGATATTTACCGAGATATATATACTATATTCCACACCTAATGAGCACCCTGTATACATATAAGGTAGCAAGTCAATGATTTGTATCCAGTATCGGCCACTTCAGGATTCAATAGAAATTTCTTATAATCATTCTCACTGATAGTGGACTTGGTAATTATGTTTTAAGATTAAATTAATTTATAGCTGCAAATCAAACGACACACCTCCATCAGTTGTAGGTCAGTATAAGGTAATAGCAATCTTGAAAAATGTCTAATCCCCTTAACCATGAAGTGCGCCACAATTGTTAACCTACATTGAGATAAAACAAAAAGTTTGATTTTCATCAAAGATCTCAAAAGTCTGTGAATTTCCAGAGCAGCCAGAGTCAAGTCAGAAATGCTTACTTCCTCATATTATGGAAGGAAATAAATGTTTGTAGGTGCATGTTAATTCACATTAAGACGCGTTTACATTGGTCAAGTTACTTGATTCTTGGTTCAGGGTTTACACTACATTCAAGTGAAGCACTCGAATGAGAATAGTCATATAAAGCCGTTTGCTACCTTGCGGTGACCTTGGAAAGTAAGCCAATGTGATGCTCAAAAACATTCGCTTTCAAGGTTATCAGCACCCAATGACCCCATTTTTTGTATTTCCACTTTCAAGGCTACCAAAGATCAACTACCTATTTTTTCCGGTGCCACATAGGTCAAGGTGAAGTTATAAAGTCGTTTGGCACATGCCGGTGACCTTGGAAAGTAGATCAAATGGGAAGGTAGGATCTTGGACACGGGCAGTGAGCAACCTTTGAACTTCCTCGTCAGGAGAAGAGTTGACGACGCTCGAATTTAGCCTTATGGAATTGTACATGAAGTTGATTTAGAATATTCCTATATGTCTTGTCACTTGCTTTGGTCATGAACTTATCAAGGTCATTATTTGAAGGCTTTAATGCTATTCCGAAATTTCAAATTGAAACCTTTGAAAACACCGGATAAAATTCCATTTAAAGTTTTTGCGCGGACACCTGGTATAATACATTATATCATATTTTTCAAAATTTTGAAATGACATGTTCCCACCGTCAGTCATTTTTTAATTGGTATCAGTTACCATGGATACAATAAACAAAACAAAATCCAGGGCCTACTATTTCCAAACAGTAAACAAATAACGTTTTCATGGCTGAACTTAAAAAAATTTAGCTATTTACGTAATCCGGAAAAATAATGAACAATTGACGTTAAGATATACAGGGTGTTGCATTTAAAAAACCAACTCTCAGAAACTGTTGTCCAAAATACGCCACTGGATTCTACGTAAAAAATCTAAAATAGGCAGTTTTTACTTTTTTCTATCTTACATGGGTAATAAGATATGATACCATCTCAAAAAATCAAACTTTTCGTTTTCATCCTGTATCTCAGAAACATTCTGTTTGGGTATTAAAAGTTTCACAAAAAAGTCTTTATCTCTAAAAACAACTGAGTGCAGTCTTAACCAAAGTAGGATACAGTGTACAACGCGAATAAGGAACTGTATCAACGAAATTACAGATTTCTACAGCATTTTTTGAGGTTATACACAGAAAATGAGTATTTTGAGTAGATAATACACCTTTGCGATGACACTTTTCTTGTTAAAAGTTTAAATAGGGGAATGTTGCGATAATTAGTATATTACATTAATTTTGATGTACTTTGGCAACACTATTATACTGAATACTGAGTATAGGTAGGTATCCTTAAAACCTGCTGTACAAATCTGTACCTTGTTGGGTACTGTAATACTGTTTGATAAGTGGGAAGTAGATGGTTAATCACTTTATTAGACACATTTTAGCTGAGAACAAATGTGTTTTGGTAATAAAATGTGATAAGGACAGCTGGTTTGTTTATTCCATTTTATTGTTTAGGTAATATTTGGTGGGGTTAAATAGTAAAATATATCTGGAATGTTTTCTTACGTCAAAAATAACTGTTTTTAATCATGTAAAATTCAAATAATGCATCTTGTTAACAAAAGTATGTCACTAACCGCCATCTTGAATTTTTGTGAAACAATCTGAATGATTCAATAACGATGCAGATCAAGTATGTAGATTGCAACCCTTGTTCCAACTTGACTCAGCATATTGTGTACCATTAAAACAAATGAACAGTAAATATTTCTTACTCAAACATCAAGTGTCAGAATTGATCGACATGATGATTCTAGATCTTTGCTGAATGTAAAGTAAAATATCCAGTGGAGGTTTTACAAAAATGAACTCAAAATAAATGTACTTCAATTTAATTTCTGTAAATACACTTCTGAAAAACAAACATTGTAATTGCTATATTATAGAAATATTTCGAATGTGTGTACATAGAGAACAAAATTTGGTGATTATAAGATTCGGTTTATTATGAGAGGTGTCTGAAACAAATCTAAACGGATGTAACGTAATACTAACAATGCGCATTAAACTGAAACGACTGTACCGAAAGCAGATCTACTAAAGCTCTCTCTTTCTCTCTCTCTTAAATGCTTCTTAAATATCATACAATTCAAAAACAACAATAGAAGAAATGTAACAAGGAATGTAAATTTTTGGCCAACGCTCATGAAAAACAACTTAATCTATTCGCGCCTGAAAAACCAACTAAAAAATTATACTAATTTCACGTCATTAAACGCGGACTATGCAATCCGTCAGTTTGATAATCTAATTCCGGATCGTGCGACATACCTGGATCGCCCCAGTCGTATAGACCGGGCGAATTTGCGAGTCTGTGTGTGAGACGATGCGCTATAGAAAACCCTCCGCTACCCTCTAATTGCGTAAGAACTATTATCACTTGCCTATGCAAAGGTGGTACCGAATCAACAGTTTTTAAATTACCGCGAGTAGAGACGACGTTATAACTCTCCTGACAGTCACATTTCACGTGAATCCACTTGTTCTCGTGTCGATTTTCAACCATTACCACCAGACCTGCCCATCCCTTCGTTAGATAATATGCGGTCATTCCTTCTCTTCCTTCGTGGCGTTGACCTCTCGCCAATGTCAGCGATATAATTGCGTCGGCCAAAATGTGCGAAGGGGGGCTAACTTGGTTTGCCAATAGCTTCTTCGAACTGTGTATTGCGAGCACATATCTACAATCATAAAAATTACATTTTACTAAACATTGTCGATTTGACTCATATTACGAATGTAGTTGAATTCACTTTGCCCTTTCAAAAATTTGTATTTGGTTAAACATAGGTAGGCAAATTTCCACATGCAGCGCTTCATAGTAAACTTGAACTAAGGTCATTCTGGCGATAAGACGCGATAACAAGAAACGTATTGGATAAAGCGAATGCGGTTGCCACGATCGCTTCGGACCTAAAAGTTGCGTTCATTCCATTTGAGTCGGCTGAAAACGCCGAAATGCGTGTTTTCTATTGGTTTGTCAGGGCGCGCCAGTCAAGGTCATTCCGCTCGGAAAAGGAGGCCCGTTTCGGTTTTTCTATCGGGCTAGATTCAAAGCAAAAGAAGCGGAAAAGCTGATTTTTGCGAGCATGTACCAATTTGGGTACACTAATTATTATTATTCTTGGCTTATTTCACGTAAAAAATAAAGGTTTACGTTTAACTTCAAGGGCATTTTTACCTGCCTTGTGAGAAATAACCTTGCGTACGAGTGAAGATTTCCGGTTGGAATTCGAGGACTGAAACGTGAAATTGGTGGGTAAAATGGATCAGAGCGGTTGTAGAGAATTAGCAGTTTTACTTCGGGTAAAATACAGTGGCGGGGGCTCCTAAATTCGGATTTGTGACAAAGTGCAGGTTACTTACTATTTTATACGTGGGAGAATAGACGCATTAGTCGAGTAGAAAACGTTTTACCAACTTGATTCGTAGCAAATATTTACGAGTGGTAAAATTTACGCGAAGGAACATTTTCGAGTCTGAGAACCGAGAAACGGGATTAAATAAACTCATTGATAAGCAAAGAAGTTTTTCTTCGGATTGCTAACTGCTATGGTTGGTTAAGAGCAAGCTTCTAAATTTTGAGTGACATCATTGGATAGCGCATACGGCGCAACGGCATACGGCTGGGAATTTAAAGACAATTAATCGGCGCAACAAAATTAATATCCCGACGGCGGAACATTTTACTCCTGTGCATAATAAGAACCTCCAGCGTTATTTTTCGCGAAATTGAAGCCGGTTTGCTTAGATTCTCAATACGTACGGACATTTTTCATGGTAAAGTTTTGAATTCAGTCAACTGTACCATCGAAGCGACCTGTTTCCATGTTTCTAAAAGAAAGCGGCATTTTCCACGGAGAGATAAGATTAATTATTACAAGAAGAGGATAGCAGCCTTGGCTGAAATCCCGCCCACTCAAAAATAAAGGCAAAAAAAATATTATCCTCGTCAATTACGGTAGGTAACCATGGCCGATTCTAGCGCATTTTGACCTTGAGTTCAAGGCCATTCGATTCGGTTCTTATATTTTTCGACGGAAACAGGTTGGTTAAATAAATATTCTGTTAAAAGGATCTATATCTATTCAACAAAGCTGTTTCTAAGGAACAGACGTGTCTCTGTTTAACTGGCCTATTTCTGATACAGACTCGTTTCTGCTCAACTGACCTGTTTTGGTCGACAAATATAAGAACAGAATCGAATGACTTTGAACTTGGAGCATGCGCAGATTTCAAGGTCAAGGTGCGCTACAATCGGCTTTGTTTACTTACTACTTGGTGGACAACAACCCCACCGTTTGAATTTCAGTGACATTAGTTTTTAGTTTAGATAACAACCACGCTTGGACTTGGCGCTTGTGCAGATCTCAAGGTAGAACTGCGCTAGAATCGGCCTTACTTACCTACTAATTGTATAAAGTAGTGGTCGGTTATTTTTAGAAATTTGGATATGCAATGTTAATATTCCTAAAGAAATCGACTCGTGAAAATTATTTGCATGAGACTGATTATTATTGTATTTATTGAATCGACGCCAACAATTTTGTTTATTTTACCTGAAACCGTCAAGAAAATCTAAATTTCAGGGCCATTTTGACATTAGAAAGTTGATCTTTACCTGATTAGTACTGTAATATTTTTGCCTGACTCCCATTACAGTCCTAGTACATGCAAAATAACAATTAGATCGTTCATTGAATAAGTTATTCAATCAACGATTGGATAATTATAATGCAAACTATGTGGATATTTTTAAATATTAATATACCCACACAAAGGATCATGGTTTTTAATTACTAACAATTAATGGAATATGTGCGGAAGTAATTATTCCTTTAGTTTTGCGCCAGTCATTAAAAGGTTCGTACGCCTTTTTCTACCTCTTTCTTGACTCTGTGGGGAGCGAATATTGCACTACGGCGGCCGCAGCTTCGGCTACATTATAACAACGTCTCTCGTAGGTACTCTCTTCACTGATACCTGCTTTTGTACCTAGTTGTAAAGACTGTATAGTTGAAAAGCACAAAGCATAAACTGCAAACTGCATTAAAAATGACACTGATTGTTTTAATTATTTTGAAATCTCTATGGAAACAATTAAATAAAGTGATTTTAGCATGCGTGATTAGGAATCAAAATTTCACACATGAATAATTTAATTTGGAAAAGTTATCTACATGTTGCGGTTTCAGGTAAAATTTTATACATAATATGTCATGAAAGTGAGTCCACCTGCCTTGGAGGCATTAAAGAGATACTCGTATTTTTCAATAAGCCTCTGCGTCATGTAAACGACCACTTTCATGACTTATTATGTAAATAACTATTGTTTCATTGATTGGAAAATTGCATTTAATGCCAGTCATACATACTATTCCTTTGGTTGGATTAACATTTTGTTTAGCATTCAGAAATGTGTGTATATTTTGTACAGGAGAATGTATCAGTAATTTATTATGTGGTAAGATGAATTTTAGATAAGGATCAAGTTTAACATTGATACGTGATCACGAGACAGGTATTGCATTTTTTGTATTATTTCTTTTTAGCCAAATTGGTATTTTAAGTCAAATAACTTTGAAAGAAACATGAAATTTGATGTTAGTATTCAATCAACTAAGTTCACATGCGTATTCATTTGAGTTCAATCAAATAGATCTTGAATTTCAGATGTTCAGAGGCGATAAAGGGTCAAACTTCCGCAAGGGTATAAAAAATCTTTATTACTGAGCTAGCCGTGGACAGAATAAAAATTAATTGTCATATTAAATTGCAGAACTAGTTGGTTTGAAATACATGTGCGCACATGGAATTTTACTTATTGGAGGATGATACATAGGGCATGCAATTTTTTTAAACAAAAGTAGTACGTATTTTTGGGCATCCCCTGATATTGTTACTGACGTTTTACATGGTATCAGCACCTGATGAGCCACCCTGAATTTCAATTTTTTGACGTTAGAAGTGGTTATAAATTGAAGTCATTTGAATTCAACGTCAATTTTGTTTTGTATCAGAATTGTTAGTTGTTAATTTGTTTAAATAACTACCTTGTATTATATTTATTTGTTCAATTTTATTATGATACAAGACTAGATTTAAACATCTGGAATTAAATAGGTGAATGTTTTGTTAAAGTGATCTCTTGCAAATCAGGTCGTTGCGATAAAAAAAATTCGTTATTGCTGCGTAAGCTAATTAAATTGGAAGCACGTTTGTTTTGTTAAGAAGGAGCCGGGGAAGTAAGAAAGGGAATTGCTTTTAAATAGAGAAGACGGGCGTTAATCGTTGCTGGTTTGATAGTGGTCTGTCTTGTTTAATTGTAAAGTTGTGTAGAAGAAAGTTGGAAACTGTTTAAGAGCGTGCCGACGGAGAGGGGTGGGAATCAGAGTAGGAAACGCGCCCTTAAATTTTTCTACAAAAACCGTTTGTTGTATCAGACAACTTAAATTAAATCCACGAACTTATAAATTAAGATGGACTGCTAATGCTGAATTGACAAATGACACCTACATGGGGGCAGCCATGATATGCACTCATTTGGCCCGAAATTCAAATCAACTAATAAACGAGCATAAACCTCACGTTTTCTAACATGTCATTTTTCAAGGCTGCAATAGTCTCAAAACTTGAGCACTAGGAAAATTCCCCTAGAAAATAACTAAAACGTGCACATCATGGCCATTTCTACATCTATGCAACTGTTTGATCAGCAGTCCATCTTAATTTATAAGTTCGTGATTAAATCTTAGAAAATGAAAAGCGCAATTATGACCGGATGATAAGGATTATATAACTTAAGATAATTAAAACTTTATTTAAATTTAATTTGTTTAATCGATCTCTTGTTGCGTGGTGTATTTTATCTGGCCCTGAGTGTCATTTTTTCTTTTACCTGGTTTGATTGATTGATGTTGAATAAATTTGTTTCATCTGCCAATGGTTCGTTTTGTGTATAATCGAGCAGAAATTACGGCCCAGATAAGAGTCTTCATATTAAATTTTCGTAAATTTCGTACCCGAAATTATATCAGGTCTTAATTAAAAATTTGTTTACCGACTTAGCTGGACAGGTGTTTATGTGGGCGGTTTAGTGACCATTTAACCAACAGGTAATTGTATAAGTTTTTTTTGTGATATTGCCCCCATCAAAAGTCGTGACCATGCATCATAGCAATGAGAAACTTATAATTGAAACGAGGATTAATAATAATAATAATAAAAATAATTTTGGAAATTTTACCGAGGATATGCAGCATCAGCGTCTTCAAGTCCAGTGTGCCAATGATTGAAGGCGAGCGGAACTAAGATGTACTCGGCTGCTTCCAGCATTTTATTACAGCCCACAAAACCGCGAACTTGTCGTTTACTGTGCTCTACTAAAGCACCAATATTTGGAGGGTTACTGCGTGCTTTAAAAAGTACAACACACAAATCTAATTGCGAACGTTGCGATTTCTCAGATTTCCGTTGTCCTTCCTAAACAACAATTTTAGTAATTGACTGCTACTTTGATCAAGTTCACCTGAAACAGTGTAAAGTCGACCTCAGTAGGCTCAAGAATCGATAACAGAATGCACGAAAGATGTTGTTGAGAGGCTAACGGAGGCAGTATCCCAGACAGTCTAATTTCGTTCCATCCACACCTGGCCTTACAAATATCAATGCAATCGAAATACTTTAAAACGTCACCAAACGAAATCCAAAATGTTCCATCTTTCGCTGCATCGGGAATCAATTCGGACCTAAGGGTGGGAGTCCACTTGTCTGAATCATCCGACCAATCACCAGTCCACACATAGTGACCTTAATTAGTCACACATTACGACTGCATTGTTGAACCTTTTACATACCCCATGGATTTCGTAACTGTAGTAGCCTGTGTTCGCCAACGTTTCTTACATCGAGCAAGGAATAGGCGTGTCGAGGACGTAATCCTCTCCGCTGGTATTCATCTTCGTCTATTTTCATGTTTCCTCCTCCACACGAGGCGCCCATTAAAAAAAGAGCTTGACGAGAGGACAGTAACCTATAAAAGAATGTTCAACTATCAAAATCTGATATTTTTTATCCCAATAAGACAGTAAACATGAAGACAACAGCTTAAAAATTGTAACCCTCAATATACATACTGTGCCCAAATGAGATCAGTATCCAGTTCATCTTCAGCAGGTGCAGGAATAGAAGAAGGTTGCAATGGAATACTTTCACACGGCGCTCCGGTTAAAGTGGCCAAACCTTCGATTGCCCTACCTGAAACCAAAGCTTCAAAACAACCGTGAATCTTGGCGACCGCCTTTTCGATTAACGGAACCCATAATTGTTTTCTTTTAGCCTGAAATGGATAAACTGTTCTACCGTGTAAAACTAAAGTAATTGTACAAGTACTTGGGAATAAAACAAGTGGCCTCTTTTATCGCACGGAAAGAAATCGTCAATTAACACCGTCGTCCAATGACCATCTTTGCACAGCCTAACTTGATAGACACCTTGAGGACATAATTGGCGGGTAATTAGGACCGCTCGGATCAGCTCCTCCCTTTCGGCCAGAACGGCGAGTGCGCTCAGCAACCAGCAGTTGCCCAGGACACCTACAAACATTGGAAGGTTTAGGTTAGTGACTCGCCTAATTTTATAGAGATGACCTTGAGAGATATCCGAGGGTAGGGGTTTCCTAAAGACCGCCCAAGGTAGGTTTTTATCACAGTCGTCAACGACAATATCGCGTAATCGTTTCCATTTAATTAAATGAGTATCTGTATTGTCTTGCGGGCAATAATACAAGCTAGTCGGCGCAGGCGGGAATGTTTCATCAACATAAATTTGTTTCTTAAGCTTGCAGTAACGGACAATGTAATGCCAATGCTTATTCGCCAATTCCTCTTGAGTGAGTCGTAGCGGCTGTTCTGGCGGCGTTTCCGATATACTTCCACGCATATTCAAACACATATCACAGATTATGTGGGATTTTACATTTTCAAATGTGCAAATTAAGCATTGCCAGGATTTGAAATGGTTAGTAGAATCTTCGTGCGAGTTTGTAATACCTGAAATATGCTTTCCTGTAGAGATTTTTATTTTGTGTACAATTTAATTTAACTAATCAAACTAGGTAAGTGAGGACAAAACAATTCATTTTGTTAGCAGGAACAAAATGTAACTCTTATGGCGATTTCAATCCCATTTTGTAGGTGATGATACTTTAAAAATTCCATTCTAGGAATCCCTACTAGCAATAATGAAATTCTGCAAAAAAATTGCGCATGCGCAACCCAACTTTGCTTTTACGTTATCCAATTTTTTTTATAAATTAAGATACTTTTTTATTTGTTAAGATATTTAAATGATATTTTGTATGTAGGCCCTGCGAATTAAAGTAAATCTAATTCCAATCAAACAATCTATTTTGCGCATGCGTAATCCCTCCAGATCTGGAACATCCTGCATTGTTTAATTTGAAAAAAGCTCAACTTTTTGAATTTACTTGAACAAAATTCGAGTATAAATAAGTTCCATTCCTTGTGTTCTCCTATATTTTTAATAATAGGTGAGATACCTTGGAAAACAAAATTAGGCCATTTTTTAAAATTGCACGGTTGCCAGTTAAAGCAAAAAGTTTATGGGAAAAGTAGACCAAGAATGTAAAAACTGGTTCCGAATATTTCTATAGCTAAAAAAGTTTCTCCTATCAAGACACCAAAATTTCAACACTCTATACTAAAAACATTTTTTTTGTCGTGGTAACAGGTGGCGCTGTACTCACAGACTAATATTTATTTTGGTAGTGCTCATGTTTATAAACAAGTATAAATTGTGCACAAATTTTCCAGGAAATTCGCCCGATAGATATTCTCACACGATTAGGATGTTGTGGGGCGGTGCACCATCCTGCTGAACCCAACAGAGTTGCCAACTTTTTTTGTGGCGAAAGATTGCATTTTCCCCTTGTAGGTACCTTCCCTAACATTTTGGAGATATTCATAATTAAGTTTTTACCTCGGCAGTAGATGTGTCACATCTAGACCACCTTCTGCGCTTTGAGAGTACCTCTTCCGACACTCCGAAAGTTTTGACATCACCAATAGATATGTAATTTATGAGTCCTGGACACCTCCTTTTCAAGATATTCGCTTCACCAATAGATATGTCACGTCCAGATCGCAGAGCCTTCCCCCGGCCATGAAGAGGAGATTGGGGAATTCCATTTTCAGGTCATTCGATGGAGAGGGTAACATCCCTGGGCCATTTGTTAGCCCTTGAGTTATAAAACGAGTGGACGGATGGTCTCAACAACCCTGTATGTACAGGGTGTTCCTAAATATGATGTCAATATGGAAAGAACTATTTTTTTGACTTATTTTATGACTAAAAGTTTTTATATACATAGGCTCGCAAACGCCCTTTTACCGATCTACAAAGTTAAAATTTCCAGACTAAACAACAGCAATTCAGCTTATTTTTCGATTGTCATGAGTTTATACAATATTAGTCTTACACATGGTAGTACCAGAGGGCTACTATCCAGTTTTATGGTTACTATGGTCAAACAGAGAGTTTCTTCCAGTTCAGGAATTGGAGTTGAATTCTTTTTGGGATTGCACAGTTTTTCAAATTGGGTGATGCAAGATTGAAAGAGTTTCATTATTTTGTAGGAATAAATTTTTTTTTGGTTGTGTTTTCTAAGAGTAACTCCTAACCTAAGTCCAAATTTTCAAAAACCTACCCATTTCACTTTCCCAGAAACGTTTAACTAAAGCTCCCAACAAAACACCCTGTATAGCAAACTTACCCTAATAGCAGAAAAATGTTAAAACCAGCTGCTAAAAGAAAAACGAGACACGCTGCATAATTCACAACACTAAATCTATTTATTGCCACTATTAAACCTGCCGTATGTAAAAATCTACATCAAGTAGTAATTAGTACTTACTGTGTTCTATCGTACTGGTATTTAAATTAGGCGGTAACTCTTTCTTCTTGTGAGAGGGTTTTTGTTCGTAATTTATTTTCGCATAGACCGCATTGCTTTGCCTTTTCGTGCCGTGTCTCGGGGAAGGACTCCGTGATGTTGCCGGCCGATCTAAAGTATGTTTTGTAGTTTTGCAAGCAGTACAGGCAGATGAACTCAGCGCATTTTTAAGTGTACACTTAGGGCACGACCAAAACTCCCCTCTTCGTAACGTCATGTCGTTTGTTACGGTTAATGAACGCAATTTGGATCCGCAGCAGGCTTCGCACGTTAAAGAAAATCCGCTATTTACCAAAGTGCATTTTTTACATGTCCACGTTTGCTCTTCGCCACCTAAATCAGACTGGATTAACACTAAGAGGAATTAGTATAAAATGTAAACCTGAAAGTGGTGAGTTATTGTCTTCTAATTCTTGATCTAATGTTGCAATGGGAACCTGCATACCGGCGGCGTCTTCCCATTTATGAAATCTAGAAGTTAGAAGGATGTTGAAGCATTACTGACACATAAACTTCACTTAATAATGATAAATGCAATTTATAAACAGGTGTGGAGTTTTAATGACATATCTGTACCTATCTTAAGTTTTGGTCAAACATTTCAGTGACAAAATAAACAATACACATGTATATAACTTACAATAGAAGTATTTAACTTAACAATGAAAATAAAAGTGATGTTTGTTTCAATATTACAAGGAATGTTATCGCTCTGCTTTGTTAGGAAATGTAACTTTGACCAAGATAAGATTGGCGGTACAAAATGTTTATCAAATTTGAAAACTGCCCACTATAATCGCTTTAAATTTATTTGCGTTTTTTGCATGTATAATGTTTTCACGCTAATTAACGTTTCGAAAAGAAATTTCTGGCAAATTGTTGCGAGAAGTTACTTCTTAAACGTCATAATTATTTAAAAAAATCGTGTACCTACTGTTCGTGCGAAACTAGACGGGCGTTTCTTCGGCGGCGGAATCAAGGCAGCGTAATTTCCGCACCATTGCAACATCTTATCGCTACGCTGTGATCAATCTGCTCACGCTAGCGAAGCCAGAACGGAGCAGCGTGGAAAAAACGCCCGTCTAGTTTATTTCATACAGGCTTGTAGCCAGGGGGTGGCAAGGACCTTTTAAGGATTTAGCCCGATCTTTTAAAATAAAAATATGCAACAATCAATTAAAAGAAAATTTTCCCATTTGTTCCACATTGTGCATTGTGTCCACATGTGTGCCGTGAATTTGTTAAAATTTGAGTATTTGTCATAGTGTAATAAATAAATGCATGTAAATCAATTTTATAACTGTTTTTAAACCGCGTTGACCTTGAAATGTCATATAATTGTCGTCTGCGGCGCGAAAAGTTGCCCACTCTTACCATCCATTTGTCCTACCTTCACTTTCGGTCTAGCTACGGTCCTGATTCCAAATAAACGCGTGTATCTCATTCCAGCATGTAAAACGTTGCGCTGATTTTGCCGCGGAAAAACACTCGTCTAGTTTTGCACTTAGATTATTTAAATGTCCCACTCTGTTTGTGTATGTTGTATAGAGTGAGTCAGCGATTGCATGAGTGCTATTATGGTCGAACATTTTTTGTGTATTTTAGAAATATGTTGAATTATACAATTATACAAATTATTTCTTAAATTTTGATTTCAGGCTTCCTATCATTTATTGATGGTATTAAATTGAATAAGAACTGCTATTAAACATCAATATGAACAACGTTTTTTATTGTATCAGTTTCTAATGACAAACTCTAAAATTATTTATATAGCAACAAACTACTACCTTAGATCAAACATAAATGAATTATTTAGTTTAAAGATTTTAGTACAACACTTCCCCTCAAACTTTAAACTTTCATTTATGTTACAATGAAAACATCCCCAATTTTTCTCTAAGATGTTGAAATTGAATTTTTGGAATTAGCTTAGTTAAAATATCCGCAACTTGATCTTCACTTGCAACATGCACTATGTTCATCTCCTTATTTTGAACTCGTTCCCGTACAAAATGCGCCCGCACATCAATATGTTTCGATCTCTTGTGGAAACTTGGGTTTCGAGCGAGTTTTATTGCGCGTATGCTATCTACACGAAGCGTTGGTACTTTTTCTAATGGTGCAATTTCCCCAAAAAGACGATTTAACCATACAATGTCTTTAGCTGCTTCGCTGGCAGCCACATATTCTGCCTCTGTGGTAGATAAGGAAACACTTTTCTGCTTCCTGCTTGCCCAGACGATAGCACCTCCACAAAATTTAAAAACCAGACCGCTGACAGACCGTCTTGTATGAGGGTCACTTGCAAAATCTGCGTCGCTGTATGACTCTAATTCGTTAACTTGAGTGTCAACTTCTTTGTAATAAATTCCCATTTCAGCTGTGCCCTTCAAGTATTTAATGATCCTTTTTACCATTGTCCAGTGCTGTTCCCTTGGTTCTTCCAGAAACTGTGAAACATAATTTACAGCAAACGTGATATCAGGACGAGTAGATACTGCTAAATACATTAAGCACCCTACTGCTTCTCGATAAGGGGCTTTTGTCAATTCAAATTTCATTTCTTCCCCTGTTAATTGACATCTTTCAATTGGCGTACTAACTGAATTTGCTTCTGTCATTTTAAATTTTTCAATTATGTCATCAACGTACCGTTTTTGATTAATGAAAATTGTTCCATCGTTATGTTGATTAATTTGAATATTGAGAAAACATCCGACTGGCTCCGCTGTCATTTTGAATTCTTCTTCGAGTTTTCCAATGAATTTATTAATAGATTCTTTTGTTGTGGCAACAACCAATCCATCGTCCACATAAATAACGACTATCAGTTTTTCATTTTTGGAAATACGGTAAAATAAACATGGTCAGCTGTACTCTCCTGTAAACCAAATGAAATTAAAACCTCCTTGAACCGTTCGTTCCAGCATCTTGGGGATTGTTTTAAACCATAAAGACTCCTCTGCAATTTACAAACACGCTGACTTCCATCTTCATAACCTTCAGGTTGATCCATGTAAATTTCTTCATCAATTTTTCCATATAAAAATGCAGTCTTGACGTCAAATTGAGCAATCTTCAATTTTTCTTTCGCTGCAATACTCAAAACTATCCGAATTGAATCAAGTCGTGCCACAGGACTAAATGTCTCATTATAATCAATACCTTCTCGCTGACTAAATCCTCTGACAACTAAACGTGCCTTAAACCGCGAAACATTCCCGTAAGAATCCCGTTTCACACGATATACCCAGCGATTAGAAATAGTTTTTCGCTTTTCCGGCAGTTCAACAATTTTCCACGTCGAATTTTCTTTTAATGATGCCATTTCTTCGTTCATGGCGGTCACCCAATTCTGCTTTTCTGCCGATTTTATGGCCTCGTTATAACTTTTTGGTTCAACAACTTCCGAAAGCATTGCATATAACAACCTGTTTGGTGCTTTGAGATCGTTCCGATTTCTGAGATGTCGTTTTTCCAAGATTTCTTCCGATGCTTTACACTCCAATTCCTTTTCTTGAGTTGGTGTGCTCGTCTCTTGATCGACAAAATCTTCTTCATGATCTTGCAAATTCCCTTGATCGATGAAATCTTCTCCTGGAAATGTTTCGGGACCTTGACTATCTGCGCTTCTTGTCTTCTCCGGAAATAATGCCAATAATTTTTCAGACTGTTCTGGTTCAAAAACAACGCATTTACTGCGAACGATGCGATTTTCCGATTTATACCAAATACGAAAACCGTCAATGTTGTCAGAATATCCGACAAAAATTCCTCGTTTGCCTTTTGGGTCCCATTTATTTTTCTTTTCTTTCGGTACGTGCACGAAACAATCTGTGCCAAAAACATAGAAACGATTTAAATTCACCTTCTTCCCCGTGAAAAGTTCGTAAGGAGATTTGTTTTCAACTCCGCTTGGTCCACTGCGATTCAAAATGTAAACAGCAGTATTGACCGCTTCCGCCCACAAATATTTTGGCAATTTTTTAGCCAAAAGCATTGTTCGAGCCAAATCAACCACTGTTCTGTTTGTTCGTTCAGCGCATCCATTTTGTTCATGCGTATAAGGATTTGACACCGCCAAATTCACCCCGTCCAACTTCAATATTTTTCGAACCTCGCTGTTGTCGAATTCTTTTCCGCCATCGCACTGCATGGTTTTCATCGATCTACCAAGTTTTTATGATTTGTAACACCTCCACAATTTTTCCAGCAGTTTCTGATTTTTCCTTGAGGAAATAAACAAATCGCATTCTTGAATAATCACAAGTAAAACACGCAAAATATTTAGCGCCACCCAACGAAGTGCATTCCATTGGTCCGCACAAATCAACATGTAGAATTGTTCCAGTCGTCGTAGCACGCTGATTTCGTGATTCAAAAGTACTCCGGTGTTGTTTTCCTTCCACGCAAGCTCCGCAAAACGTTTCGTCCTCGATGAAGTCGATTTTCTGGTTTTTCAAGATTTTCTTGACATGTTGTTTGTTCTGATGTCCGAATTTTTCATGCCAATTTTGAAGTGTAATTTTCGTCGTTAGATTGACCTCATTTACATAATCTTTCGGAAATGTTATTTGGATCACCATCCTGAATAATTGACCCATTCGAACTCCGTATGCTTTTACAACTCCATCCCTAGTGAATTCACATCTTTCGCTGGAAGATCTGAACTTCATGCCCTTGTCCAACGCAGCCGTGACCGAAAAAAGATTTCTTCGTGCCCCTGGCACAAAAAGAACATTTTCCATGTGACATTCTATTTTCTTTCTGTCAACATAAGCCTGAAATTTTATACTTCCTTTTCCGAGAGCGTCCATTGTTGATTTGTCGCCGACATAAATTTTTAAGGGAACTGCAAACTGCTCATAAGACAAAAACCACTCACGATGACGAGTTATGTGATCTGTAGCTCCGGAATCAACAATCCAAACATCGCCATCTTCCGCGCTGAGAGCCTCAGCCTCGTCTTTCGATTTTTCTTCACTGTCTTCTTTTCCCTTTTTGCAATTTTTCCGGATATGCCCCACACGTCCGCACCGGTAGCATTTAATTTTATTAAAATTATTGCCACCATTATTGGCATATTTCTTTTTTATGTAGGCCTTACTAGAAAAAAGTGCGACTAACTCTTCCTGTTTTCCTGTTTTCTGCTGCCGACGTTTTTCTTCCGATGTCAACACTTCAACCAAATTCGCAAATGTTTGCTGTTGTTCAGATCTCGCCCACCAAGCTTGTTGAAGGCCCTCGTAGTCATCTGAGAGAGAATCGAGCATCTTTACTACGAGTGAAGACTCGTCCGGTTTCACATTCAGCTGCTGCATGCGCAGAACCAGCTCCTCATAACGAGCAATGTGAGTCACCATATTTTCAGCAGGATTTTTACTAAAATTGAAAAATTCAGTTTGAACAGTATGCGCAGCTTGTTTGGTTTGTTGCTCAAAAATAGAATGCAATTTGAGCCAAATTTCCCGTGCCGTTTCACATGAAACCAACAACGCCATAACCTTTGATTCTAGAGATTTAATAATTATCTGACTTGCTGCACGATCTCCCCTGTCCCAAGCCTTGAATTTTGCATCGTATTCTGCCTGATTAAAGTCCTTATCTTCAATAGCTAATTGCTCTGGCTTCAGTATTTCCCCAATGCAAACTTCATACGCGTCCACTTTTCCTCGTAATAAATTTCTTATAGCAAATTTCCAAATACTCCAATTTTCAATACCCCGTAGTTTTTCTATTCCTTGAATTTCCATTTTTCGTGTCGTCTCTTGTCAAAAAAAAAATTGATTCCGATTTTATCGATCCACTGCGCTATCTATTCCACGCTAGCAACCAAGATTTCCTTTGAATGACGTACCAACGAATATTTAGAAAGAACCACGCTCTGCTACCATGTTGATGGTATTAAATTGAATAAGAACTGCTATTAAACATCATACCTGTAGATGATTGAACAGCATTTGATAAATCCAATTTGGCGGTCGCAAGAAATAACATAATTGACTATTGCAAAAAAACTTAGAAAAAGTTCGCTACCTTCATTAAATTGACCGCAGTCGCTAATACAATAATACCAATTTTTGTTAAATTTATTTATAAGATGGCGGCCATGTTTCAATTTTTCCAAAAATCATAATTTTTAGTTTGAGAGGTTCTACCCTGTATATACAACTTACGACGATGCACACATTTTTGAGAATTGGCAACCATGCAATTTTTAGGTGGGAAGAAGCTGCCTGCGCCATCTAGGAAGCACGAAGGAGGGTTACGTTTGGCCTCTTGTCTTGAATGGCGGTCGTGAACGCGTCGCTCCATAAATGTTTGTTGTTATTTAATGCAGGTAGTAATTTTTGCATTTCTTTATATCGTATTTGTGTTTTGTATGCTGCCTTTTATATTTTTTGTGTGTTTCAATCTTTGTTTTTGAAATTTACTTGGTTTAACCACAATGCACAATTACATGTTTAATACCGTTATCCTTTTGTTTGTAATCGTTTACGTTTTTGGTGTAATGTTTGCTTAATTTATGTTTATTGAGGTTGATTACTTGGTCTTGTCCCTGAAGTAACATTTATGTAAGTTTTAATCATTTTATTTTAATATGTGGAAATTACCGACGTTTGATGTATGTTGTTGTTGAGTTGTTGTTTGTAACTAACAATTTTCTCCGTGAATGAAGCAGTCACGGGGGTGGTAAAAACTGTCACCATTTGAAGTACAACATCTAATTCCGTGATTCTCTTCGACATTCAATTGTAGGCTCGAAACCAGGGGCGGGTTACCTATCTTGCCGGAGCGGGATTACGCTAATCAAAGCTCTTCAGTTTAAAATCTATATGCGATAAATGAGTTACGATTCGTAATTTCCACATATCTTGTTTTTAGTAAAAGTTTCTTAGAATCTTGGTACCTGCTTACTTGACCCATAATTCCCAAAACTGGTTTTGAACCTAAATGTTACCTCTTGAAGTCTGCAAGCTACTTTTTGTGTTGTTATAATTTTATGTTACATTCACATCATTACAAACAATTAATTTTACTACACAATTTAATATTAATTTGACGGCTGGTATTTTTTTTTGGTAATTTCTTTTTTTTCCCAGTCTAATACTATTTTTATTCAGTGAACTACCATTTTCAAAGTTTATTTTTGCAATGTAATTTATTTTGACTTAAATTTCCGAGCATTTACAATCAATAATAATCACGACAATTATTAAACAAACTTTTTCCAATTTCAGTGTTTTATTTTACGTTCCTTCCCTATACTGTGCTTCAGATCATATCGTTGATTACAACTAACGTAAGGGAGCCCTGCCTTAGATGTTTGATCACGTGCCACTTTTCAAATTTAAGCGGGATCTTGTTTAGTTTTGGAGGGAATAGTCATTCGGCTGGCCATTTTTAAACGTTGCCGGGCTGACTTTATTTCCGTGTTTTTGTAGTGTGAAGTTAGTACATCTTGATGGTTGCTCTATTAACATTCATAATTTTAGCTTTTGAGTGCAGTGTTGTCACTTTTCAAAGCAACAATGTTCTTTCATATACCTACACTACTATCTTTCATGATACAAATAAAATTGTACTCACGGACCTGCGCCCCTGCATCATCGATTTGTGACTACATCTCAGACATATGCTTGAACACTGCAACATGTGGCAAGTGTTAAAAATCTATAGAAAACTTGATTCACAAATCTTTGACGCAGGAGAACTAACTTGTGTCCTTGATTCTAAATTGAATGTCAGCATTGATTTATACTTACAACGGCATTGAATCGGATGAACTACTTGTATCATCAGTAACAGTAATGGTACACGGTTGCGAACGAGGGCTACTACAAATTTCACAATTGTTAGCGTAGAGGGCGTTATAAGCGTACGAACACTGTCGACAAGTCCAACGCCTTTCCTTCACATTTAGGGTAAGCGTGGATTCCTTCACCTCTTGCAATCTAAAAAACATTTATCGGATTACGTTTTCCACATAAGACCACACTTACACATCATCCGGTTTCTGCGCATCAAACAAATATTTGGGCTTACTCTGCGCGTTAATAACAGTCTGGTTCTCGTAAATATGTTGTTTTTTAATTGTGGATTCCGGCTCCGCTATTCCTATGTACGTATAGATGGTTTTACAATTCGTTAAGTCATTAGAAGCTATATCTCCGGTACTTTTACTTGCCAAAGTGTTACGATTATGTGGTATGTCCACCGTTTGTGAAGACTGTATGTCGGTCATGGAGGTACTGGCTTTGGGAAATGTCGCAGTTTCGAGAACGTCGCTTCCTAAACTGTGTCTATTTATATTCAATATACCTGTGTTCTGTTTGTGGAAATCAGAAAATGAACGTCTATAAGTTGGTCTATGGGGAGTTATGATTGGGTTTGGTTGACGAAGAGCTTCATTATCCGCCCAGTTGTCAACCTGAAAAAAATCAAAAATTGAAAACTGGTGACTAGCACTGTACAATGAGTAACAAGCAACATTGCATTTTACATTCAAATTAGTTTCCCCAGGATATGGAGTTCATGGACAAAACGAGACGTTTTTCGAACAAATATAGGTAGTGGCCATTTAAACGAAAAAAGCGCATTTTGCATGTGTATCGTTATTTCGTTAACATGTAAAAAGTTTGTTTAAGTTTTCTGTCCAGGAAACCGTTCGATGACAACATGTACTATTTTAATCACAAGATCCCAAAATCGATTAAAGCGTAAGTCAACAGCAATTTTTTAATTATTAAGTTTGTACAATTTTAAAATGTCTACACAAGGAGATATATTACGCACGTTTAGAGAAGCGGGAATTTTACACAAGTGTTTAGAAAATAGGAAAAGGCGTATCCAAAAACCTAGGGAAAGATCCACCTACGTAGAGATCTACGCTTTAAAGTTGGTGAGAAAAAAAAATAGTTTTAAAACATGTCTAAAAAAAATTTAAAATGGCCATTTCCTAAAAATGGCAATTCTTCGAAGTTGGTTCCGGATATTCCTAGGTTTTTATTGTTGAAGAACGAAAATGTGAAAGTAAAATCCGAGGTAAAATCTATTGTTCAAATGATCATTTTTTTAAAAATATTTTATACAGGGTGGTCAGTGGCGCACCCAGAAAAAAAATTCAGTGGGGGTTATTGAAATTAGTAAATCCAGAATGTTAACATCAATTATATTTTTAATAAACAAAAGATTATACAGTTACACTTACTCTTTGTCCGAAAAAAACAAAACAGAACATAAAAGAAATTATTTATGACTAAAAATATTAAGTTAAACTAAGTTTTAATTTTCTAGGTTTCTGTGCGAATTTCTCTAAAATATTTTCCACAGAAGGGGTCATGTTTCTATAAATGTTTAGAAAAGTTAAGCCATTTAGTCGGTTTTCGGAAGAACTATTTTTTAAATAATTTTTGAGACTTCTCAAAGTTGAAAAACTACGTTCGCCTTCCGCAGTAGAGACAGGCAATTTAGCTAATATAGCAAGTAATAATATTTGTAAAGGTGTCTGTAACGTGTTGTAAAGCACTTAAGGCATCTCTGGGTCGATCTTCATTTGGCAATCTATACGAAAGTCTAAGTTCGGCAACTAGCTCATCTATAGTTCCTGTCAAATCATCTTTATAAAATGATACTAAAGACTGGAATTCAGTTAAGGTTTCCTCGGAGAGAATGGTCGGATCTTTGGGAAATAGGCTTTGAAATCCGGTCAATATTTGTTTGTGTTTTAAAAATCTTTCCTTTAGGTTACTTATAAAAGAATCCAAAAATGGAATATATATTGCAATCCGGTAATAAGTTTCGGTACTTTCCGTATTAACGTTACACCTTTTTGTTTGATTTAGGCTAGTTCGTGGTTTATTTATATCAAAATCTATCAGTGCTTAATTTCGGGGGGGGGGGGGGTTAACCCCGAAAACCCCCCCTATGGGTGCGCCACTGAGGGTGGTTGTGTGATTTTATTTTAAGGAGGTGATGTGGCACATTCAAAGAAAACAGCTAACGCTGTAGATACTAGTTGATACTCGAAAGCAATGATGATTTTAGGATAGATCGATTAAAAAATTGTAAAATGTCAGAGTGATCCTATATTTTCTTAGTTAAAAGATATTCTGAAAAATGAATATTATAAAAGTTTGTTTATAATGATTGAATAATGTGCCGTTTCAAAATAAGTAGGTACGAGTATACAGTCGGGTAAAAAAGTTATTTCCTACCCTGAGTTTTTTACATGGAACACATATTTTAATTTAAAAAGATAGCAAAACATAACACTAAAGATTCCAAAAAATATGTACAAAAATTAAAAAATCTTTTTGAAATTTTTTTAATTATTTTTTTTAAAAAACATTTAGGTCTTTTTTGAATATGTTCCCTTCAGGAAAAATTAGGTTAGGTCCGACAATTTTTTTACCTGACCCCTTATACTTATTTTGAGAAAGGCAGATTATTCTTAACAATCATTATAAAGAATCTTAAGGTCTCGCCCTGGGTCTCGCTTAAGGTGTTGAAAATGGGACAAGCATGATAATTACCAAGTGTGAATCATAATGCAAGCACTTATACTGAGCAGTTAAGTATGTTAACGAAAATGGGTATGTACTTACTCAATTTTCTCGTCTTCATAAACTTATAGTCTGTACGTTTCTGCACTACAAACGTGAAAACCAAAAAGAGTGAATAATCATCGATCTAGGAAATGATGATAAGATGTGGTCTATGAATCGACTATGTATTTGCTCATTTCTTGGTTTAGGTCAATTTAGGAGATTTGTAAAAATAAAGTGGAATAATGTGAATGTGTACGTTAATTAATCTCTTCACCTTTACTTTTTCCAACACCGACCACCAAAAAAATTACGCTAGGACGACATCCACCTGGTAAATGTCCAACGCTTCAAAGGAAACTTCTTTTACGACGTTTTGTAACTTCACTTCTACAATGGGGAAAGGGAGGGGTGCAGTGAAGAAACGTATCTTTCGAATAGCTTTTTACATACAGGGTGTCCAAAAAGTATGGAATATCGTATATAACTATATAGGTACCTTTGTAAATATCACTTTATTGAAAAGTATTTCAAATAAACCAAATAGTATTTTTCTCTTCGCAAGGAATTTTTAATTTTTTTAAAACAAAAGCGCAACAGATGATGACAAGATATACCTTTTACCTCGCCTTTTACCAACTTATTTGATAGAGTGTGTCATTCCATTAATACTCTTACATGTTTGAAAAAGGAATAAAACACTATCAAAAAAGTGACCAAAAAACATGTTTTGCCATTAAAAAAAAAATTTTTATCCGTTGCGCTTTTGGTTTAACAAATTAAAAATTCCATGTGACAAATAACTTTTATGAGGCGAACCCCATTTGCAAAAGTGGCACAATTTATTTTCTGGTTCACCCTGTATTATGACTTATGACACGAATATCGTAATCGTTGTCCTGTTTCATGGTTATTTTGTGCGCTGTTTCAAGGAGACCAGAAAGCGTTGTGGACGTTTTTGTCCTTGCTTTTTCGCTCGATCGTTTTCGTTCATCTTTTTGTACGATGTGTACTATTTTGGTTGAGACTGCAGTGTATCTCAGCTATTTTAAAGATAGAGATTTGCGGGTTTCGCGACCCTGCGCCACTTCTTTGTGAAATCACAAACAGAATCAATCTAGCTACGCTTGTTTCTGGGATACAGGGAACGAAAAGTTGAACTTTTTGGGGTATCATCATCATCTTACCCATGTAAGATAGAAAAAAAAGTGAAAACTGCCTATTTTAGATTTACATAGAATCCAGTGCCGCGGTCAAAAATATTTTGGACCACCTTTTCTGAAATTTGACCGAAAGTTGGTATTTTAACCTTTAACGTAACACCCTGTATATATTAACATTTTTGCCATGGAAGATACAATGATAGTCTGATTTAATCAAAAACATGCAACTTAGAAAAATTTCCGCTGTAGATTTTGCGTTTTTTGTAATTTTTCAGCTGCTAAAAGGGATATCTAGATTTCTATTTCAGAATAGGTGGTTTTGAGGCAAGCAAAAATTTTTATAAAGAATGACATTTTTGCGTAATGTTAAAATTAAAAATTTTTTCCCTCTTGTTCAGTCCATCCGGGAACACACTGTATAATTGATAAAAACATTTTGAACCTCGTTTTGATGTTTTGGGATCCTGGCCTGCTTTGTCTGAAAAGAATTTCAAACACATGTTTACTTTTTAAAATCCAAGATGGCTGTGACAATTGAGTAAAAAACAATTTTATGTTGAGACCAAGTACCATTTCCGTCAATAATACAGCAAACTGTTATTAAGAAAAGTTCTTTAGAATATGAAATTGTGTCCATTATGCAAAACTTCACAATTATCGGATCACTTTGATTAAATCAGTATTTGATTTGTACTTAGTCTTGCCATAGAGTAATTTCCTCTATGGTCTTGCATAGCAATGATAAAAACAATTTATCAAAAAAGTAATATAGGCGTAAGGTGCTGTTTTTAGGTCAAAATTAACATGGTAAAATGATAAAATTAAAATTTGAAAATATTCGCTTGCTTAAGAAATACGAGGGAACATCAAAAAATTTCAGAATGACCCTTAGTTAAAAGAGATGCAAAAAAATGTTTATTACAAAACTTTCTTTCTAATGATCGTTGAATAGTCTGTTGTTTTCACCTATAAGGAAAATTCAATACACTAATTTAATGAAAAGATTATTCTTTTTCGAAAGATGTATACAGTGTGTCCAAGATATGAATCAACAGCAGGGGGAAATCGGAAACCATAAGAGAGAGCTTAAAAAATTCCTCTGGGGGAGTGTTGTTTGTTTTTTGATATCGTAAAAATGAGGGAACAAATAAATAAAAAGGAACCGAAAGGAACGATGGTTAATTTGGTTTTTTTTCGAATATCTTCGGAACTAATCGGAATTTCCGAACTTTTAAAACATCATTTTACTAAGCCCTAAAATACGCAACTTTTTTCTAATTTAACCCACATTTATGAATTTCGAGTTCGCCATGCTGTTTATTTTTTATCTTGGATACACTATTCAACAATTTTTTTAGTTTTTTTTGTTTTTTGGTCTTTTTTTATCTTCTTTTTGTCTTTTGTTTTTTTTCTCTCAGCTTTTAGTTTGTCTCTTTTTCAGTTTATTTCATATCTTAATATTGTGTCAAAACCTCAGCCAAAACAATACTCGAAGCCGAGTTCGAAACAATGATATTGAATCCCCACATGGGGGTAATTGCAGGATGTTAGAGGTAAAAATATACAAACAGTATACTTACACCTCGCTTACACCTACTATGAGTTTCAACCCCAAAATAGGTATTATTAAACTGCCACTGAAAAATCATTACTATAAAAAATGTACTAATTAAAAGGCATGTTACTCCATAGAAGAATTTCTTATGCAGATTTGTTTGTCTCATGTTCTTGTTCTTCTACTTGTTTTTTTTACTTTAAATCTCGCTTTAAATGTATGCCGAGTGTAAAGTCCATTGAGCATTGGGACAGTAATAATAATAATAATAATAATAATTTTTTATGGACACCATATTGGATCTTAACGGAATGAGATGTTTTATTGAGAAATGAATGTAAAACATTTGATTTTGAAATGTTTCTTAAAAATTTATGAAAAATGATTCCGTAAAAATCCAAAATGGCGTCCTCGATGGCTTCCATAAGAAGTAAGTGTTATGAATATTCTGATAACAGATTCAGATTATATTAAAAAAGTGCTATAACGGAAACAGTTTATTTCTGACCGCTTAAGCTAGTGAAAATGAACTGTGACATTTTCAGTTTTTCGGTGGTATTTCAGTTATTTTCAAAGATTTTTCAAAAAGTTCAAATGAGTTTTTTTACTCACACAAAGGGACAACTTTGCCCCTATTAAACCCACACTGTATCTCGCAGCCTCGCTCGCAGCGTTACACACTCGGTTACACAGATCCCAATGGTGAGCCGCGAATTTGAACCAGTTTGTTCATAAAATGTTTAATGGTAAAAATCCGAAATACTTATGGGTCATGCATGTCATTAAAGTGTAAAAAAGTTAAAAATAAAAGGTAAATGTTGGGCTCGATGTTGGGTATATTTTTTTAATAATAGATTCCCGAGTAAATTTCAAAATAAATACATCTACTGTTACTTATTCAATCACAAAAATAAAAATAAAAAATAAACTCGCATCTAAATAACAAAAAAGTAATTGGGAAATAACGAGAGAAATAAGGTGGAAGTCTGATAAGATACAGGGAAGATTAATGGAAGAGGATGAAAATGGAATGAATTTTGCCCAAGGGCCGAGCCAAGGGCTTGAGATCTTAGCACTCAGACTTTAAGGTGGACCCGAGGGTGGACCAAACAAATGTCAGAAAATTTGTGTTTTATCTTTGTTATTGTCAAGACCTTGGTCAAGACATTTTCAAGAATTTTTAGTCAACTTCGACTAAACAAAAAAGCCAAAAGTGTTTGTGTTTGAAAAAATGAAGTGATATTTTATTAGAACAATAACAAGTTGTAAATCAGCATATGCATGATTAAAGCGCATTTTTGGTAATGCAGGTCAGTATTTTATTAGCGAAGTTTAAAATTATCGATCTCGCGAGTAATTTTGGCTGCGTTAAATAATTAACTTTATTTAATTTCAATTGACGGTACGTCTTCATTTTGTAAAACAAATCACAAAGTAAATAATAAGTTTTTATACTGGTAGAGCTATCTAACGTAAAATTATAGCACCTCCGAAACCCATATCGCAATTATTTTCTTCAATTATCGATCTCACAAGTAATCTAACTCAAAATAGACTAGTGCCTGCACATCTACACTATAGCAGAAAGCTTTTAGTGAAAATTTGAAGTCTCTAGCTATTGTAGTTGTGGAGATCTAACGCGGACAGCCGGCCTGCCAGCAATAACGAATATAATAGCGTATTTTTTTCAAAAATGCGCTAAAAAAATAATTGTACAATAAGTTTACTAATAATGTATTTGCTTCCTGCATCCATCTTGCACACAATTTGACTGATATGGATGGAACGAGGGTTGGTAGGTACCTAGGATAAGAAAATAACATAAAATGTGTTTTAGTTTCGTACTTTCAGATTTAAGTACGTTTCAAACTGAACACAAGTGTGAATATTTCAATTTTTTTACTAAACTGACGAGGTTCTCACAGAGCAGAGTGCTCATGCCCGTGCAAACCAAAGTAGGTAGTTTCCAAAATTAAAGGGTAATAATCGATTACGAAAAACCACTGTAGCCACAAAATTTGTCTGTTATAAATAGCAATAGGTCGGTGACAATATTTAATTATTAATAGCCCTTTTGAATGCCATATGCCCAAAATCCCACACCACAATAAAAGTAGATTAGATGGTGCGTTACTGATCAGACATTTTTTCTGAATAATAGAACACTTTCAAACAATGAAGAGATAGGGATCAATAAAAATTGTAAATGTAATAAAACAAAATAAAAATAACCAGATAAATAGAAATCAATAATCCTTAGAATAAAGAAGCGTTACCTTGATAAGGACACTAGGACTAATATTGCTATTGAGATCTTGCTGAAAAGGAGATTCACAAGCTTCACACAAAACACTGCCCGCATTGTTTAATAGCGTACACATTTTGCACGTCCAAGTTAAGCCCGGCGGTAAACTTTTACGGCTCCACAAATAATTTTTACCCTTGCGCGGCAGCACGCTCTCATTTTCACTACTATAACAAATACCGCTCGATGTAGTTCTCACGTTGCAGGCGTTATTGCCGTCCATAATAGAATCACAGTTTGTGTGTTGCGCGGTCGCGCAGCTGAAACTTTTTATATTCGATAACGAAACGAAATTGGTTCTGTTCTGCTGACAGCTGCACAGTCGAACGTTCTCGTACGTCGTCTCCAAATTTCGATAGGGATTCCCATTTCTAAGCGTCTGAGGATGTTCGACGGGGGTCAAATAATTTTTCGAGCTCAAACAGTTTTTACATGGCGAGTGCGCAACGTTCATCTTACTCTCTTCAGCACCGCATGCTATGCAAATCAGTGAGGAACAAGTCGTCGTGATTTTGCAATTTCTGCATGTGTACGTATAGACCAACAGGGGAACACTGTGGTAGCGCTTGAGATTTAATTTTTCGGCAGGTGGATCGTGTAAGGTTGCCTGATGTACTAACAATGAATTGTAAATAGAGTGTCTAACTAATGTGGAGCAGTCGCGTGTTTCTATTTGGCTGTAACAGAAAAGGCATTGGTTACAATTGGGTATTGATCTACAGAAATGAAGGCCAGCTGTTGTATTAATCCTACCTTTTGAAAAAATTCTTTCGGTATTTAAGAATAGATTTAGGCCTTCGAATTACTGTACAGTTAGTGCTTCCGCCAAATCTCTCGCAAAAGGAATCCGTTATGTCATCTTCTTTGTTTATATTGTTTTGCCGCTGTGATCCGCAACGAATGCACTCTATTTTTTCGGTCGGATTTATCAGACTGCATGACTTACAATGCCATTGCAGTACTGATGCAATCGTCCCCATGGTCCATACATGATCACAATAAACATTTAAAAGAAACCTAACTCATAAACCCCATTTTCGAACAGCTGATGCAGAATATTTTAAAAACATTCTTCCATAATAAACGAAAACGACGCATGCGTAAATTGCGCGATCTTTATTTATCTCCTGCGTCGGTCACCACAGCGGCACCGACTGGCATATTTTAAAGGTCAAGTATTCGCGGCGATTTTAAACTTTGCATACCTTATTTTTTACTCGTAGTCCGCATACCTACCTATAATATTTGCCTTCTATTTGTGCACCTACTTATTTACCTATATTTCAGTACAGCATTAAAGTGATATGCGAAGCAGAAGCTATAATTACCTAACTTACTGTCGGTACTGGCTATTACCTCAAGTTGTACAAACAATTATTAGCAGCGATCATATTCAATAAATAACGTACTGAGGGATCTGACGCAGGGGCGGATTTAGGCAGGGGCTATAAGGGCTGCAGCACAGGGCCCCTGCGGGTCGCGGGGGCCCCATGCCTGCCAACCACTACAATAGGGATTAATAAAAACAATAAGATGCTAAACTGCTAAACTTTAAGGCCCTTGTACACGTTCGGCCAACTAGTTGGGCCAACGTGTACAGGACCACTTGGCGGACTTGGCCTACGTTGGTGATTGTCGGCCAGCGTTACTCTACAAACCGAAAGTTGGCGGTTTTTCATTCGCACATCAAAGGATCTTGGCGCGTTTAGAAGACTCACAAACAGCGTTCACACGTTGGCTTTCAACAGTCTTTTTTAAAGGTTATGCTATGCGGCGGTTTCAGTGTTTTTATATCGTTTTTAACTTAGGTAATATGTATTTATCAATTAGGTATTATTTAGCATCCAGCACCTTCTTTTGAGCCATTTTTTTTAAATCACCTTTGTTTGGTGCACCTTTTTATATGAATTGAAAGCGGTGTACAAATCAATTGCCGCGGCTGCTAAAGTCTCCACATCATCCACATCCATAATCTACACTCTACAGGACACTCAAAAAGAATAGTAAATGGCCAATGAAAACTGACAACTGAACGATGACCACCTGGTGACCAAGTCATTGGCCCAACTAATTGGCCTTGGCCCAACGTGTAGTTGTTGGCATTGGCCCAACTTATTTGGGCCAACAACTAGTTAGCCGAACGTGTTCAAGGGCCTTTAGATTTTCAAACTTTATAAATACCCTTTGGCGGGCAATAGTCGGTGTAAATGTAACAGGTACCTACATAGTTACGAGGCGAAACCCTTAGAGCATTATTTTGTACATGTCATGTCATCTACGTTAGAGTTTCTTTTTATGATATATTTCATAACTACAGTAAGGTCGCGGTAATCCGACGTTCCGTGCAATCCGAGGTCCAAAAGAAAAACAAGATACGAAGAATCGTATACGTTTTCAGTAGGGGAATTTTTTGATACTTAGCTCACATTCGGAAACGCAACTTTTAATGCGGCTCATAATCAAAAGCACTGATCCTTGAACTCGTAGGAGTTGATTGAAGAAGCTAGATTTGCGCTGTTTCTTTTCGAGTTAGACGAGATACAGACGGACGGGCAAAACTATCACATAAGGGAAATTTCTTTCAAAACATTCCTCTAAAACACTTGAAAACTCTATTATTCTATTTTCATGTAGTCACCGTGCAGGTAATATTCTACGCTACTCACCCCAAGGCACCGCGTAACGTGTTGAAATTCATACAGGTCTATATAAGGTATTTCTAAAAATAGGTCAGTGGTTTTTCGCCTGCCACTGTGTACAGATCGAGCTTCACTGTTTCTGTGTAATCTGTACTTTTTGAAATTTGAACCCTACTGTATTTCAATATTTTTCATTGTATTTATACTTAGTGCGTTTGCCTTAGACCTGTAATTTTAATAATCATTTTCTGAAGAAATAATAGAAATAGAAATGAAGATGTTTTTCGATAACCCGAAATTCATTAAGTAGAGGGCTCCTTACAAATATTAGCCCAGGACCCCCTGAGACCTCGGTTCGCCTCTGATCTGACGCGATTGCATTTTAGCTGCTTGGAAGGGTTTCCGTCGTAGAATTCTTTACACTTTACCTTTATAACTTCGTGCTTTTATGTGATGTCCGGCTGTCTGTCCGTCTGTTCTTCGTGTAATTCGAGAACGAAAAGAGACAGCGACATCAAATCTTCACCAATCGATTTCGAGAATCAGTGGCATTGAATATGCGCCAGATTAAAAGTCGCGTTTCCGATTGAGAGCTGAATGTCAAAAAATTCCCCTACTAAAAATCGTATGCTTGTCTTGTTGGCATCGTGTGAAATGTAAATCTCGGTTCCTAAGGTTGCGTGTTGTGTAGAAACCAGTTTGGACCTATTGAAAATAACGGTTCTGGTTCTGGCACTTTTATCGGAAAAATATTTATAACGGTTCCGGTCCGGGTTCCGGTTTGAAAAATAATTGCGGTTTCGGTTTTCATATTTTTTTCGGCTCCAACGGGCCGAACCTATTGGAAATACAGTTCTGGTTCATATTTATGACGATTCTAGTTCTAAACATCTAATCATTGTGTTGAATCCTTTTTTTAAATAATGGTTTCTTCGGTTTCAAGTGAAAAATGGATATCAAAACCGAGCTGCTTACTTAATTCAAAATTACAATTGGACTTGGCTAGGAGAGGAGCCTATACCATAGAGTGACTGACCCAAACAGAAAATGTATTGTTATAGTATTGTCATAAATAAAATGTTTATGAGCATTCTTGGATGACATTAGTCCCATTTTTCTTATTCCGCAAATCGTACTCGCACAAAGAAGTGGTTGTAACTAAGAAAAGTCAAAACCAAATATTCAACAAATATATTTTAAGAATGGTAGTGGCTAAATTATCGCCCACCGTTTTCGGATGAGGCGTTTCCAAAAAACCCAGTTTAACTTCTAGCAGTGTGAAGTTCGGAACCGAAAACAGCCATAAAAATCGTTAACAAAATTATGGGTTACGGATCTCAGTAGTTTTTTTAAGGGAAGGAATTACGGTTTCGGTTCTGAAAAAAACAATCTGTTTCGGTACGGTTTCCGGTACTTTTTCGGCCCGGTCCAGCTTCCTGGTAGAAACACTGTTTCAAATTTTCTAATAGATACAACAAAAGATTGTATCTAAAACTGCTCAATAAAAAAAGTCATTCAATTTTAGTGGAAAAAATTACGCATTGTCCACTAGTGTATGATAATTTGATGTTTTCCTCTTTTATATTACTAAAACGTTAACATTAAAATTAATTCTAAAGTTTTTTTTTGAGGGATCGAAATAGCCGTTCCTACTTGGTCTTCCATATTCGAATTATACAGAGTGGCCCAACGAGAAGTATACAGAGGGCTTTTTAGGGTATTAAATTTAGAAATTTCGAAAAATCCTCGAACACGTCAATTTTGTATTCGAGGGGGACAACTTTTGGAATACAAATCACGAATTCAAGTCTTCACCTCTCTACGTAGGGAGCTTAACCCCTAAAATTTTAAATGGAATCCTATGGCAAATGGCACATTATTTGAAATCCAATTTAATCGTGATTACTAATCTGCTTTGCTTTTTAAATTCTATTGATTCGTTTCAGAGAACTGACAGGTTCACTTAAAGTTTAACAAACAAATTGAAGCGTCAAAATAAAATTTTAATACAAGGTGACTTAGATCGCATTTGTTTTGGTTTAGAAAAAACCATTTCAAATACGAATTATCTTCGAAACGAATCAATGGAATTTAAAAAGCAAAGCAGATTAGTAATCACGATTAAATTGACTTTCAAATAATGTGCCGGTTGCCATAGGATTCCATTTAAAATTTTAGGGGTTAAGCTTCGTACGTAGTGAAGACTTGGGTTCGTGATTTGTATTCCAAAAGTTGTCCCCCTCGAATACAAAATTGACGTGTTCAAGGATTTTTCGAAATTTCTAAATTTAATACCCTAAAAGCCCTCTGTATACTTCTCATTGGGCCACTCTGTATATTGAGACTTGTTGGTAAAATCCGGATGGTGTGACCTTTTTAGGTGCAAAAACAGCAATAGCTCTTGTTTCGCCATACCCTTGGACTTTCTTCGCATCTCTAATTTGTTGGAAACGGAATTTTCGACGTATAGCTTTCTGCCACTGCAGAAGATTTTCAACCACCGTGACGTTTGAGGATTCCGTGCGGTAGAGGCACTCATCGGGTAGGTTCCCAGGTGGCGGATAACATAGACGCTGAATAATCGTAAAGTGACTTGTGCTTCGGTGTGAGTAGTGATGGATTATAATGTGACTTGACTCGTCGGGGCCAAAACCCAGATTGGTAGCGACGCAGGTCGTCGTCGCGGACCACCCACCTACGTCAAGGCGTTAACGATCGTGCCGAGGAGGCTGCCCCTTGAATAGCGGGCGACCTTCGACTCGCATTTTCGCACTACTCGTGGGAATCTCGAAGCACCGGCTCGATGGTAAAATCTGGAACCAAGAGAGCCCTGCGCCAAAGCTTAAACGTGTGTCTGAGCAACCCGACATCAGAGACCAAGCGTCACAGATCGGAGGGAAGCACTCCAGGGTCTGGTTTGAGGCAGCCCGTGGGCAAGTCGCTGCGGCGGGGCTCACGGTGACCATTGTTCCATGGTCCACTCGGGGCTGGGCATCACTGAGCCTCAGTCGAAGTGCATTAATGACCTGCATTGAATGCAGTCTTTGACGAAATGGAGCGAAGGCCCTTATTTCCTCGACTGGCAGGGTTCCGGTGGAATCCTCAGGCTGCAATTGTGGCCGAATGCGAGGGCCAGTTGACCTTGGATCAGTTTCGAGCTTTCTGCTGGCTTCTCCGAATTAGGTTTTCATGCAGTTTTTCTAATTCCGTAAGGTAAATACCGGAGTAGTAGGTATAGAACTTGTGCAAGGACACCTGTAATATCATAATGAGGGTCACTCTGTAATTGGACGTAAGCCTGTTGAGAGCCCAGAACAGGAGAGGGATAATAAATAAATAAATAAATAAATAAACAAATAAATAAATAAATAAATAAATAAATTAATTAATTAATTAAGCCCTGACAGTGCCGAGACAATACCCTAGGTTAACCAAGGCGATGGCTGTGTTATACG